AATTATGTTTTTAACATTGTCGATTTACAAAAAAGAAAGAGAAAAAGACAGAGGTGCTGACATGCAGCTGTGCCAATCCGGTCCGCAAGGGACAGCGCTGAACCCCTTTGGCGTCTCCAGCTCCAGCGGCTTCGAGGCAGCAGCCTGTGGGCAAAGAGCGCCACCTGCCGTCGCGAAGGAGAATGGCCCGAACCCATAAACAGCCAGCAGAAACTCTGTTCCGCACATCAAATGAGAAGTATTAAAAGACCACAATCCCCTTTTGTTTTGTTTTTTTGCTAAATGGTTGAACGGTTGAGGGGAGCAAGCCTCTTTCCATGAATCATCCACAGCATTCATGCACCGTCCAGGCCAAAGCCCGATGAGCAAAATGTATTATTACTGGGCTTCATTTGCACCGTCCGCCCCCCTTTGATTGTTCCCAGGGGGCGGGGGGGCGGACCTCCGGCTTCCTTGGGGACGGGGGTGCACAGGACCTGGGGGTGGGGTGGGGGGCTAACTTCTGAGTCGGTGTGCCTGGGGATCAAGGTGCTCACGCTAGCAAACAAGGCTCGTTAATTAAATCGAATGGAAACCCACGCTGCCATTCAAGGAAACGGACTCGGCTGGAGACACAGTGGCTGGGTATAGATAATAAAATCATTATTATTATTTCAGTATTGTTTTGGCAACGTTGCAGACAGACGGTGACCTAGTATACAGAAAAAAGCAATCAAATACAAAATAAGACAACCTTCCGTCGGGGTTCCACGTATAGCTCTGGTGGCGGTGATCCAGTAGTGCTTTATTCAGCTAAGCAGAATCAACAATAGCAAAAATGTTGGATGGGAGACTACATGGCAATCACTGACTCCTGCCGGCTATATGTGGTATTTCATCATCTTTTGTCTCCACCGCAAGGAGAACTTCAGCCCTCCAAAGCGCAAAGAGTTAGCCCTCTTTTGGATTCACAGAAGCAAAGTTTCATTTATTTATTTACACCTGTGTTCCAGCTGTTAAGAACTTACTCTTCCTCACCCACAATTCAACCTCCTGAGTGTAGAGGGCTTGTGTACAAGGCTCATAAGACACTGGACAGGGCTTAGGTGCAACAGCCAGGACTGCTTTTCCTATTTACTGACGGGCACTGGTCTCATCTTGCTGACAACCAAGTGTCTACCAAGATTTCAGCCCTGCTGCTTTGTGGTCCCAGGCTTTGACTCCTGTTCACAACCACTGTGAGAGAGAACTGCTTTCTTACCTATGAGTGTCTGTCATAGCAGGTGGTTAATTTATTTATTATAATTTATTAAATTTCTATACAGCTCTTTATCCAAGGAGCACAGGGTAGTTTACATTTTTTAAAATAAAAAACCCCATAGTAACAAATAAAAGCAATACCCCTTCACAGTTTGAAAGGCCATAGATTACTTAATTAGGAAAAGGCCTGGGTAGGAGAAGAGAAATGTTTTTGCCTGCCAGGCCAGCTTCCCTGAGGAGAACGTTCCACAAACGGGGAGCCACCACAGAAAAGGCCCGTTCTCTTATTGCCACCACCCACCCACCCACCCACTTCTCACGGAGGAGGCACACAAAGAAGGGCCTCATTTCAAAGAGCTGCATCTCCGAGAGAAAGCAGGATCTAGTGCAGTGTCATAGATGGGGCTGGTCCACCTGTAAGGCATGGTAAGGTGACTGCTTCGTACAACAGCATCCACAGGGGCAGCAAATCCCGATATAAGTCTTTATGGGATGTCACTCTCATAGCTGTGCAGACTGTGGTCATCTTGATCAGCAGGCAATCCCCCCTCCCCTGTTTTTGATGTAGATCTTAATCCACCCCTTCTTCTCTGACAGGGAAGGGAAGTTCCATTTTGTGGTTCACCTCATGTGCCAAAATGTCTTGGGCTGGCCCTGGTCATAGGCCATTTTCATCATCGGGCTGCCATACCCCTGCACAGAGCAGGTCCTCCTCTTCCTCCTCCTCCTGGTTGCTGCCTGTTCACTCTCCTTCTCCCAAACATGCAAAATCCCTCTGGGTGAGCTGAGCAGGGGTGCAAATGGGGCCCTGTGGGAATGGGCAAGGCGGTGGTTACAGAGCAGCGGTTACAGCAGCAAAGAGGCTCTGTGAAGGACCTCAGCATCTACAGGAGCGCTTCCATGTGGGACGATGACCTGGCAGAAGTTGACCAGTCCTTACAGTAAAACTGGCACTGCATACACTTGTTCCCTGTTCCCCTTCTGCTCAGCACCACTGTCCTCTGCCTCCTTGTGGGCATCTGCACCAGCGGCAGACGGGAGGAGGAAGAGCAGCAGCAAACACCCCAGGGTGTGTGAGAGAAGGAGGCCAAGCCACTTTTACTTCATGACCTCCTGCCTCTAGGTGAGGTTTGGGCCCAGATGGTAGAGAGAAGAAGCCAGGGGAAGACACAACAGTGTGATGTAGTGGCTAGAGTGTGGGTCTTCAGGACACGAGAGAGACCAGGGTTCAAATCCCCTCTGGGCTATGAAGCTCACTGGGGTGTCCTTGGGCCGGGAACTGCCTCTCAGCCTATGCCTACCTCACAGGGCTGTTGTGGGGATAGAATGAGGAGAGGATCATGGAGCCACCTTGAGCTCCTTGGAGATGAAGGTGGGATATGTACGCAATAAATAATAGCGAGAGGGGCGGGGAATAACACAAAGGGAAGAATTCTCTGGGAAAGCCAAGCATCACCCTTGACAGCCCTACCTGCTGGCTGCCACCCCACCCCCTCCGCACCCCACCGTGCAAGGCCCTGCCTTGGGCTCTGCTGTTGACCAGCAGCAGGAGAGACAGACGGGAACAGGCAGCAGAGGCAGGCCAGTAGGGCCTCCAGGGAGGTGTTTTTTTTGGAGGGGGGGGCTCCAGGGAACAAAACGGGGAAAAACGGGGCTCCAAGGCAGCGCAGCACAGCTGACTGCCCCCGCGCCCCGTGGACATCGGTGGGAAAAAGCCAGAGAGTCAAAAATGACTCAGTTGCTCCACTAGGCGGCAGCAGCAGGAAGGACTGGCAGCTAACACCTCCCCCCCCCCGGGGGCTGGGCGATGGGTGGGTTAAGGAGCTTTCCTGCCTTTCAGCAAGGCTTGCACAGGTTCGGAGGGGAACCCAATTTGTGGGGGGGGGGGGCGTGTTCGTAGTTAATTATCCTTTTCAGCAACTGATGTCGGTTGCATGGCAGTCCGGTTTTGCTGTAAGAACCGCAAACTTCTGGGCAGATCACGAGCCCCACATGCGCAAGTGCTAAGGCCATCCTCCACACACACCCCTGCTTTTGCTGCACCCTAACTCTCTGCATATTCGATTTTGTTCATCAGGCTAAAATGCAAGAAAACAACAACATAGTACTAAGAGTGTTGTGCGCTCAGGTAATTCCCAATTCACGTAATGCTACATGCATTATTTGTATGGGTATTTTAACGCACAGTAAGATTATGTTCTACCATGTTGCTGTTATTTGTTTGTAAGTCGCTTTGGGATCTTTTGAATGAAAAGTGGCATAGAAATAAAATCCATCTATCCAAACCCTTTGCATATTTTATATGGTCTGCCAAGCGTGCATTGACTTACAACACGGGTGGGTGTTTTTTTTTAAGGAGCTTGAATTGTGGCGGAGCTTGTTCCCTAATTAAATGTTCTTATACTTGGCGTGCTATTAACATTACTTTGTTAAGAAGTTGGTGGGAAAACTTGCTGAAGACAAAAGGACTTAAATATGCCACAGAACAAACTTCTGTCGCGTAATACACCGTGGCTTCGTTGCAGTGCGCATGTAGCCGTCCACTTCCTAAGCAGAAACAGCCCCGGTCTGTATCTGGATGGGTGCCTACATGGGAGTGCAATGTGCCGCATAAATATTCTCCCTTTTGCGGCAACTTTTTCTTCCTCTTCTGGCTATTTTATACAATGCAGTGGCGTTTTAAATACAGCGCTGGCAATCCAATATTTATATCAGGCTAAAATGCAAAAATTAAAATAAAATACTTTTTTTCTCTTTTTACCGAGAGTGTGATGTGCTGCGTTCGGGCAGTTCCTTTTATAACACAGTAGGAGGCGCTGCGCCAATGTAAAAAATAATGACTATTCAACGGTAAAACAGTCCTTATTTGTGTGTAGTTATAGTGAAGCCTCCCTTCCCAGCTGAGGGATCCCCGCCCCCTCCTGCTTGCACGCAAGAAGGAATGGGATTGGGGCTACTCTGATGGGAAGGGAGGCATCCACCGCCCACTCTCGGCAACTTCTTCTCCGCCTTCCATGCGCACCGCTTCACCACCACCACCAAAGAACCACAACTCAGGGGCTGCCCAGGATCATGGAGAATGGAGATAGACGCCTGGGGGGGGGGGGGAGGGAAAACGTGGCGGTTGAGGTGGAGGCTGCAGCCACCCCTCTGCCCCTGCCATCGCTGCAAAATCAACGTCCCAAATGTGTAGCAATTAATTAATTAATTAAAGCGTTCCCGGATTCAATGAAAAAAATCTGGTAACCTTAGGTTATACGCGCCAAGAACCTCGGCTGAAACAACACGATCCCCCCCCCCTCCCAAGCAGCTTCACCTTGAGCACACCTGGAATTTCAGCAAAATTATGCGCATGCTTCACTTCATTGGGTGTTTTTTTGCTGTGGACTCGCAAGGGTTTAACCACGTGCTACGAAATATCTACAGAAACCACGAGGAGGAGGAAGGAAGGAAAGTGGGGGCGGCTGCCTCGGACTCCGCTTCGCTTCCCACCCTCGAGAGGGAGGAGGGGAACCGAAGCTCCTGCTTTTGAAAACAAGGTCCTATATCCTTAGAGAGGAGAAGCCAAAGAGACCTCCGAAGGGCTCGGGCTGGCAGAACCGGTGCAGAGGACGCCTCACGTGCATCCCCACGACCAAGGCTTTCACGCGTGCGTGTCCATAGGCTAGCCGGCGTTCGGGGCCGTGACGCGTCGCCGACCTGCGCCGCTGGCCAATGAGCAGCCGAGTGGCGCAGGAACCTAGGAGCTGAGCCTGTGGTGTCGTCACTTCCTCCCCATCCGCTCTTGGGCAAGCAGGCGGGAGGCCGCAGCTCCTGCCGCCTCGAGGCTCCTGCGCTGGTAGCCAGCGCCATGGGCAGCTTGCTGCAGTTTCTGAAGTTGGTGGGGCAGTTGAAGGTGAGCAGAGACCCCGACTGGCTGGTCGGGAGCAAATGCGGGGTTGGGGTGTGTGGGGGGGGGTCATTGCAGCAGTTTTGCCCATCTTCGCGGTATCGTTCCCCAAAGGTGCTGCTGCACAAACCCCCCACGCATCTCCTCACCTCCCTTTTTTAGCGTCGATTAAGACTGCAGTCCAAACCCCACTTACCTGGGAGTGAGCCCCATTGAATGCGGTGGGACATACCTCTGAGTAAACATAATAATAATAATAATTTATTTATACCCCGCCCACTAGGCTGGGTCTCCCCAGCCACTCTGGGCTGCTTCCAACAAAATATTAAAAATACAGTAGAATATCAAACATTAAAACCTTCCCTAAACAGGGCTGCCTTCAGATGTCTTCTAAAAGTCAGGTAGTTGTTTATTTCCTTGACATCTGATGGGAGGGCGTTCGCAGGGCAGGTGCCACTACCGAGAAGGCCCTCTGCCTGGTTCCTTGTAACTTGCTTCTCGCAGCGAGGGAACCAGGCAGATGGCCCTCGGCGCTGGACCTCAGTGTCCAAGCTGAATGATGGGGGTGGAGACGCTCCTTCAGGTATACTGGGCCGCAGCAGGGTCAGGACTGCAGTTTGCAGATTTTCCCTGCAGCAACTCCTGTTTAGCTCAGTGGGATGTACAATTAGACCTGCGTAGGATAAGGCTGCAACCCTAAACACGCGCTTCTGCTTAGATTAGACTTGCTTAGTACAAAGGTGCATACGATGCTTGCGCCTGGTCACCTTCTTAGCTGGCTGAAGGACTTCTGTGTTCTGACTCTGGTTTAGGAACCTGGAGACCAGATAGCATAGAAATAATAAGGAATCTGTCGCAAAAGGGGATGGTGGTAAAGCCAAGGGACACTGGAGGAAAAGTTGGCCAGCAACGAAAGTGAGGTAGTTTACAAGTAATAGAAATATTAAGGAAGCAAGGGGAAATAGCAGTTTGTGGATTTCCTAATAAATTGCCTCTGTTGCCTTGAAGAACCTAAAGACTGCAGTTAGTAGTTCTGCTTTGCAGTAAGCTTAGTAAGATAGTCGTTAATAGGATACAGGCAGGATCTCTCAAAGTTCAACATTTCACACCCAGTATACAAAACTATCCACCTGGGGAACTACGAAGTAAATATTTTATTTCTGGGGCACAGGTGCTTATAGGAATACTGCCTTGGAATTTTTTTTTTTGTCTTTTAACTATTTATAATCAGTAAGCATGACTAACAAACAGTCTGTTAAATGTGGCAGCTTGTGTTTCTAAATGGCAGCTGGGTATAAAAAAAGAAGATGCATGCAAGGCTCCCCCCCCCTTTGACAGTATTGCTTAAACTCTTTTTGACTAGAGAGTCCCACGGACTGGCTGGGTATACAGAAATGTAGCAAATCCAGAGAGCGTTTCAGACCATATGTACAGGATGGCAATCATGGCTATGGTAACCGAAGATAAAGCACTTAATAAAGACAGGTATGTATACTGATTGCAGTGGGTGTCTTTAATGGATATGGGGGACTGCACATTGTGGCTTCAGTTTAGTGAAAAGTAGCTGCACTGAAGTTCCATTCTTGATGGGATCAAGTTAGTTGCAACTGTCTTATTTTACTTTTCATTGGATCCAGGTTTGTTTGTTTATTTGCAACACTGAACCATCAGTATTGTACACTGCCAAACCACACAATTAATAGAAAAATAGAAGTGCTGTTTTAATACTGCTTGATTGCATCAACTCTTGTAACTATTATTTAGGTGGGTCAAAAAGGGTTGACAGTATTTTAAAATCGTGGCTTAATAGGAGGAATTCAGTGTTGTGCTGTTAAAAATATCTGCTTACTTGATGGAACTAACTTTTCTCCCTGACGCGCGCACACACACACACACACACACACACACCCGTTCTGGGGGTTCTGCAGATACACACACCTTGAGCCAATCTGAGGGCAGCACTAGCAGAAGTCCTTGTGTGGGCTTCTGCTAGCTGGGCCAGCTAGCTGAATTCAGGCCAATGTTAAAATACCATAATGTGAAATTTAGGCCATTCCTTAATTTTCGAAAATGAATGTGTGTGAATTTGAGAGAGTGCCTTGCCCAAGATAAAGAAGAGCTGTAGCCCAGGTCTAAGCCCAAGGGTGTATTCCTCTCCCCTCTCATTGCCAACTTTCCAATATGTGTTTCTTTCTTGGTGGAATGTGGAATTCACATTCGCCAATATGATTGAAGAACTTCTGCTGGGTAAATTAATATGTAATGTAAAGCTGTGCAATATTGTGATTGTAACATCAAAGAAGTAAATCCATGCAGGTTTAAAAATAGAATGAATTCAAAAGTTAAATCTCCATTTAACTGGTGATAGCAATTATTTTACCAGGCTTAGTACTGAAATTGTCAGGTTGGTATATTACTTATATTGAATACCTTTTTATCATGACCTATTAAAACATCAGAAAGTGTCGGGGAACCAGCCCACCAGGTGCGGAGGAAAATGACGAAGAGTCATGGGTGAAGGTTTAAGCAAGGAGTGAGCTCTCTCTCCCAGCAGCCTTGCATGTTTATTAGCCTTGCGCACATTACATCATGTTGCATATACACGTGTAGCACTCGGGTGGAAAACAGCTAGGGTTTGCATTTCTTAGAATAACTATTCTCTACCAGGACATAACTCCAGACAGCATGACAGCCGCGTAAGCTTTGCGGTTAGGCAGCGCGACAGTGACCCAGGCGTGTGGGGGGAACAAGTCAGCAGAGTCAGCAGATGTTTCCTCTTGCACAATCTTGCACAAGGGTGTATTTTTCTATTGCATCCCCACATGCCCTCCTTTTTTATATTATTTAATCAGAGTCATAAATTTCATTCCGAGGCAGAAGCTCGCCAGGGTCGCACACAGCGCGCTGGTAACCAGGTAGGCCGTCCATCCAGGTCCACTGCCGCGTAGCCGCGTCCCCAGGAGATGAGTGGCACAGGACCATGCCATGTTGGATCAGGTAGCTGTATGTAAGATACAAGAGGTCGAGCCAAAGGCTCTGCTTTTCGAAAATGAATCTCAGCCGGTGTATATTCCCTATTATGGGGATACAAAAGATGGTTAAGAGTGAATAAAACAGTATGCACAATTGAAGGAATCTCGGCTGAGGGGGCATTTCGACCTCCAAGTTGTTTGGACAGCAGTGTCTTGAAGGTCAAGTGCGCCCTCTCCACAATCGCCTGTCCTGTTGAATTAAAAGGCAAATCATGGATTAATTTCACATTCCATAAATCACAAAAGGATGAAAACTGAGAGGAGATATAGGCTGGGCCATTATCCGTTTTAATGCTTTGTGGCTTACCCATCACAGCAAAACAGCGCAGGGTGTGCTGAATGACGTGACGAGCGGTCTCACCCTTCAATGGGGTGGCCCAGATAAATCCAGATGAGGTGTCCACTGTCAAGTGAACTTTTGAGAATGGGGCGAGCAGAGGGGTGTGAGTAACATCCATCTGCCAAACCGCAAGAGGGGACGTACCCCTAGGGTTCACCGCATCAAAGGGAATCATGGTTGGAGCCTTAGAACAGGTAGGACATTGAGAGACAATGTCTCGTGCCTGTGCAATAGGAATTTTAAACATTTTTGCCAAAACTTTAGCAGGCTGGTGAAAGGTAGAATGAGAGAGAATAGGGTCAGAAAACAAGGAAAACACTTCAGATCGCAGTGCAGCGTCTGCCACGGCATTTCCCTGAGCCAAAAACCCTGGGTGATTGGTGTGGGAACGAAGGTGTGCAACATAAAAAGGATGACGGCGTTCTTGAATAAGATACTGCAAGGTAGAAAAAAGAACAAACAAATCAGCATCTAACGCAGGCGTGATATAAGAAACAGGCAGGGAAGACAGAAGGCGATACACATATTGTGTATCAACAAGCAAATTAAAAGGTTTGTCAGGAAAGAGTTGAAAGGCAAGGATTACAGCAGCAAGTCCGCCCGCTGGGCGGACCTCTGTTGCTCAGTAAATTCAGTTTTCCATTTTCCACCCTCTTCCCATGCTACCACCCCCCGCGTTTTTGACCCATCAGTGAAAAGGGTAAGGGCAGAGGGGATGGGGGTTGGAGAAAGAGCAGTTTTTAAAGTATAGACAGTTTGAGAAAGAAAAGCCAAGCGTGGATCAGAGGGGGGATTATGCGTGATGGTTCCCAAAAATCCACAAGTGCTACTTGAGTAGCCACGGAGGTGGAAATCAGGTGTTGTGTTTCTGTGAGTGAAAAAGGCAGGTAAATTTTTTCAACGTCCAGTCCAGAGAGGGCTTTTGCTCGAGCGCGCCCTTTAATTACCAAATCCATTACAGCCGCTGGAGAGGAATAAATGTTACGCGGTGGAGTATGCGGAAGGTGGATCCATTCCACAATGTTGACACCCGAGGGGGCAGCCGATTTCTGTGAGTAGAGAATGGCTGTAGGCAGCAAAGGTGTGGAAAAAATTGCCAAGGATAACTGCACATTGTGCAGAGTGTCTATGCGATCCACCATTCGGTCTCTTAATAAAGCATTAACCTGTTGTAAGGCTTGTAGCATTTCTTCTGTAACTGGGATGACTTCTCCGGGTAGTTTGTGTCCTTGTAAGGCAGAAAACAATGGTGACAAGGTGCTAGTAGGCAGAGGCATTGCAGCAGCAATTAAGGGGGTATCTGTAGGAGTTGTGGCGTCCGCAGGGAGCAGTATGACTTTAGCCACTGGCGTGCCAGATGGGGAGATGGCAGGGACGATCAGCATATAGCGTAATGGTGATTGAATTATAGGGTCCTTGAATGGTTCCAGGCACAGCATATACCCCAACAGTTTGTGCAGAGGCAAGTGGCAAGACAAGACAACGTTGAGAATTGTCTATAGCAAATCCACAGGCCATAACCAAGGCTTTGTGAGGACAAAATGGAACCGGGAATCGTACATCCTGAGTGAGAATAAGTTGTGGCATCAGACATTGTCCCCTATTGATTTACTGGGGCCCGGGAGGGCCCGTCTGCCGGTTTCCTGGTTCTGGGATGATTGTCCTTGGCTAGAGGTTTGATTCTGATTAGCAGGGTTTGAGTGGCATTGATTTGCCCAATGAAAGCCTTTCTTGCAGATAGGACACTTAGAGGGGGGGCGCTTTCCAGACTGACTGCCAGTGGAGCGGCATTGTGCGCGGAAATGGCCAGGCTTATTGCATCCAAAACAAAGTTTGTCTTTCATAGGGTTGGCAGCTTGGGATAAAGCTGCGGCAAGTAGCCGTGCCTTGTGGCTTTCTGAGCCGATGGACTGACAAGCCTTTAGCATGTCGGCTATGTTTATCCCTTGCTGGCTGATCAGAGGGCGAAGTGCCACTCTACAATCCTCATTTGCATTATCAAAGGCAAGTTGTTTCAAGATCACCTCCTGAACTTGAGTGTCTGCTATTTGGCGCTTCAAAGAGTCATATAGGCGATCGATAAAGACAGCATATGGCTCATTTGGACCTTGGCGAACAGTACCCCAACGGGACGTACTGTCACCCTTCGTGTCAGGCACCTTTTGAAACGCTGTCTGGGCGCAGCGGGTAGCAACTTCCCAATATGCAGCGCCTGCAGCAATCTGTTGGGCGATGGTAAAAAAATTGCCAGTTCCAATAAGACCATGCATAACGTCCTGAGGAGTAAGGACTGGAGGAGGGGGGGGGAGGTGCTCCTCCTGCGGCAGGTGCTGGAGCCGCGGCCGCTGCTGCTGCTGCTGCATTGTTTAAAGCCATGGCAACATTTGGGGCTTCTTGTTGGCACAGAAATTGCCATTCCTGCATAAATACAATGACTCCAGATGGTGGCAGTATGGTCCTAGCCAACATTTTTATGTCCTCCGGAAGACAGGGCTGCTGAAAAATAGTGTTCAACAGACCCAAGGTATAAGGAGCCTGGATGCCGTTTTTCTGGACGGAGTCATGCACCTCTTTAATTAGTCTATAGTCAAATTGTTCATGACAAGGTGGCCCTCCCCCTGGTCCAGCAGGTACCAAGACAGGAAAAAGTTCTGTGCCAGATGAAAAACCTAAGAGGGGGGCTGCTTGTTTAATAGCAGTCCCCAGTGGCGTCGGTGGGTGCGATTGAGGATTAATGGGTGGAGCAGACGGTGCCGGTGAAGGCTGAGAATCTGGCGGTCGTGGAGGAGGTGTAAAAGGTGGTGGTAGAGGCGGTGCATCTAACGCAGATGCTGTTTTTTGTTTTGGTTGCGACGAAGCCAAGAGAATGTTTTTGGGCGTAAGAGTTGCCATGCAGCCACGGACTTTAGCCCAGGCACTGAGGACGTGAACATTTATGCGGCCATGGCCATGAAAGTGGTCGCCAATTTTGTCCCAGTCTGGTATTTCCCATGTCCCGTCCTCAGGGAACCATGGACAATGTTCATCTATGGCCAGAATCAATGCGATTAGATCACCTTCAGGTACTTGCTGTTTATTTTCCCGAAGGAGGTGCTGCATGTCTTTTAAAAATTGTTTCTGAGGGTTGGAGAGCGCAGAACCCATGATAAAAATAGAAAAATAGCTACTCACCGGGGATCCGAAGATGAGAGGGCGCCTTGAGCCACAGCCGGGCGGGTGAGTAGCAGGGAGGAGCGTCTTTGACAGCACGCGTCCTGGAAGCCGTTCAGGCAATCACACGGGGCACCATTTGTCGGGGAACCAGCCCACCAGGTGCGGAGGAAAATGACGAAGAGTCATGGGTGAAGGTTTAAGCAAGGAGTGGCTCTCTCCCAGCAGCCTTGCATGTTTATTAGCCTTGCGCACATTACATCATGTTGCATATACACGTGTAGCACTCGGGTGGATAACAGCTAGGGTTTGCATTTCTTAGAATAACTATTCTCTACCAGGACATAACTCCAGACAGCATGACAGCCGCGTAAGCTTTGCGGTTAGGCAGCGCGACAGTGACCCAGGCGTGTGGGGGGAACAAGTCAGCAGAGTCAGCAGATGTTTCCTCTTGCACAATCTTGCACAAGGGTGTATTTTTCTATTGCATCCCCACAAGAAAGTAGTGTACAAGCTTTTGATTCAGAGAACTCTTCTTCAGGCTAGACATTTTATTATTGTTGCTGTTGAAGGAAGTCAAGAAAAATGTTTCAGAGCCTGATGAAAATATTTGTGGCTCTCAAACATTTTTTCCTCTTTATATTAAACTACATCTAGCTTGAAAAGGTAAAGGTAAAGGGACCCCTGACAGTATTTGGAAGCTTTGTCTGAAAGTGACATTTTAATTGATATTTGGTCCTAATAGGATGTTACACTGCTGTTATTTTGGATTTTTATTGGAACCAAACTTAAGGTTAACATAGATATTTAAGGAAATAAATATAATTGCACTAACCAAAATGAATTGCAGAATAAGTTGACAGAATGCAGAGATTGTTATACAATACTATCTTTCGTAGTTGCCTTTTAATAATCATGTCTTTAAATATTTTCTGCTTCCCAGATGCATCCGGTTAGCTCTGGTTCATGATATGGCTGAATGCATAGTTGGTGACATTGCTCCTGCTGACAATGTTTCCAAAGAGGAGAAACACAGACGAGAGGAGGTCAGTATGGTGGCATATGTAGCTTGATGGTCTCCTTCTAAAAAACAAAGAACCAAGATTAGTCTGTAAAGTCTGAAAGATCCTCAGAACAAAAGAGTCTTGCGGAAAGTTAAAGACTAACAAAAATATTAAGCCATAAACTTCCATGGATAGTTTACAGCCCACTTCATCAGATGTATGAAGTGTTATCCTGTGTTACAGGAATATCTATACAGGCAAGAGATTGTTAGCAGTGAGATCAGAAGGAAAGGAAATACAGAAAAGTGCAGACGTCAGTTACATTATTAACAGAAGCCAGTCACAAAAAACACACATCACTGGTAAGTTAGTCAGCACACGTAGTGTTGTAAAAATATATCGTCCCAGTTCAGTCCACAAATGATAACACTGAACTGCTTCATAATGGTAATTTGGCAGTTTCAGTTTGCTGTTTCCTTTTGAAGTTCCTTTGAAGACCTTAAGGTCAGTGATGGCACATCCAGGGAGGTTAAAATGTCCCCCGCTAACACTTAGATACTGCCATTTCTGCCATCTGAATTGTGGCGTTTGTTCTCTTGAAAAGAGGCTGGCTTGTTTTTCCTATGTAGAATGCAGCTGGAAAGACACGCAGGGCTCAGCCTCATGATACAAAGCTTCCATGGGATTTCTGTTATTTGAATTTGCACCTTTTAAAACTTCATTGATGTTTTCTGTCAACCCAGTTGAAGACAAAATTGTTTCTGTGAAGTGGCTCTAATAATGGAATTGAACAGATTCAGGGTGAGTAGTGTAGAATACCGGTCACTAGAGGGCACAATCTTGTATTTTACAAGAAAAGATTTCTTACAGGAAAAGCAGTCTAGTTTGTGGGATTCCATAGTGCCTTTCTTTCTAGAAGGGAAGATTCAAACATATAGGCTCTGTCATCAGCTGACATTCAGTTGCCCTCTCTATCAAGAGAAAAGTAGATGGAAAGTGACTTATTTGAAAACTTCCTACCTCTCATGAAAACTGATCGGCATTCTGTGCCAGTAGCTGACTTGTCAAAGGACAGTAAAGACTAGAAGGCTCTGAGATATAAACTTGTTATGTGTGAAATATTTAAAGTAAGGGGCACCACACACAATCTATGGCAGTGCAATTCTGTGAAAATGGCAGGTGTTTCAAGTGGACCCCCTCTCATTCATATCCATTGGTGCTTTTTGATGATCTCCAGAGGTCATCCTTTGCTCCTTCCTTTACCCCTTTATAAATTATACACAGGTTGAAAACAAGCTGTCTGCTGGGCAAGACTGTGTTCCTGCTTGCTATAGTGAGCAATGAGCATTGGAGAAGGGACAAGGAGGCCTGTAGTAGCTGCCTCCTCTCCCACTGCTTCAGGGCTTTTAAAGTAGGGGTGGGGGAATTCAGGCTGGGAAGGGGGCAAATGCAGTTCTTCCGGCCTCCCTGACTGGCCCTCGCCCCAAGGGCCCCCCTACCTGGCCGTGCTCCCTCTCCCCCAAACACTTGAGTGTTTTTACCTGGCTGCAATGTGCCCTTGAATTCTGATCATGCCTATTATTTGCCTGGATGGTGCGTAGGGAGGGGTGTGTGAATGGGTGTAGAAACCAGCCTACTGTGCAGAAATAAAATTCACATTTGGCTTTGGCCCTACACACCACCGGCATGTGGCTTTCATAAGAAGAGTGTCCAGCCTGGGCTGAAAAGGGGACAGTCAGGATGTCCAGGTTAGCAACCAACAGCCTTATGGACTCTTTCCCAGGGGGGTGGTCTTTGGAAATCTTTCGTAATATGACTTCCTGAGTGAGGCCAGAATTTGGCACCCATAAATGGATCTTCTCAATTTTGTGCCCTCTCGGCTCTGCGCCCTGTACAGGGAAACCACCTGCACCGCCCTAAATCTGATGCTGCTATTCCCATATCACCTTTGTTGTTGCGTAGGAGCTGAGGCAGCATGAGTCTATGTGGGAAGGGAGGGCTCCATTGTGTAGCTTATGCATCTACCAGTGATAAGTTACATCAGTTTCCAGGAAAGGCAGTGCTGTGGGAACTTCTTCCACAGAACTGAAGCTTTTGATGTTCCTTTAGTTGCACAGGAAGAAGCTGGCAAGAGGGTATCCTGCATAGTGCTTGGATTTCCAGATTATTGCTCTGAAACACATCTCACTTGCTTTGTTGTGAGAAGCACCAGATTGCTTAATAGCTTGCATAATTTTCTTCTTTTGGTTAGTACTTAAGATGATGAGGGATGAACTGCATTATGGAGGGAGGTGTGTGCGTGTGATCACATTCTTTTTACATTCACCAAGGCCAATCCTTGCAGGTTTGTGATCACTGCCAAGGTGTGTGAGAGCAAGAGAATGCAGCTCATCTCTGCCAAAAGCAGGGAAACAATATTGGAGTGACACCAAATAAAATGCAGGATTCTGTTTTTCTAGGAAGCTATGAAACATTTGACCCAGGTGCTTTCTGAGGAGCTGAGAAAAGAAATTTATGAACTCTGGGAAGTAAGTTTTAAACATCTAAAATTGCTTAAATATTAAAATTCATTTTCCCCCTAAATAGGTATTTCTCTCTGCTAAACATCAACTGTAGATTTAAATAATGACTGTTTTTTGGAAGCATTCTTGGTGTAAAGCAGGCTACCAAGCTAAGTATGGATATGTTACAGGGGGCACTAGGGAGACAATAAGCTTTCTGAGTTTGCTGCCTGCCTGTTTTTATAAAATCCAGTGGGGCTGTCATGCAACTGAACGCCATGGTGAGCTGCATTGGACTTGGGAGTGGTTTGGAGTAAGGTTTGCCTGAGGAGACTTAACATATTTTGTACTCTTGCAATGACTTCTGCCATAGGATAAACTCCAACCAGCTGAGCTATCCAAGGTGTCAGTTGTTAGAAAAAAATGGTTGTAACCATGTAGTTTTGATTTCAAAGTAGAAGCTGGTACGTGCTTACCAGTAAAAACTCGAAAGTGGAAGCAGATGGATCACCACAGGAAACTGGCATATTAGAAAGCAAGAACCAGTTTGAAAAATAAAGTATTTGACAAGCATGTCTAACCAGTGGGAAACTCCTGTGTTCTGCAGTGAATGCATTTCATTATTCAGGTGTTATGAGATACCTGTTGGCAAGGTATTGGTTCGGTTGATGCTTTCTTCAGCAGCAACTGATGAGAATTGCTTCTGGACTCATGAACATGTAGTGCTGGTTCTCAATATTTGGCTAGAAATCCTTTACATGGGTTAGACCAGGGGGCTCAGAAATGAACTGCTTCCCTTGTACAGAAGTGCATACAGTTGCAGTTTCTGTGATTTTTTCCTTCTCAGTAAAGTGGGTTACCACCTTGCACACCCCAATTAGGAATATGAACACCAGTCAACTGCAGAAGCGAAATTTGTAAAAGAGCTGGACCAGTGTGAGATGATACTTCAAGCCTTGGAGTATGAAGAGTTAGAGAAAAAACCTGGAAGACTTCAAGACTTCTATGATACAACGGCAGGTAAGACACGCCCTCCTCTGTTATTCTAAACACTCATTGTGTAGCTTGGTATTATTTTTATAATGGAACCTGCAACAAACATTTGCAGAGTAAATGGAAAATGGTGTTCCAAACAGCCAGACATGCCACCTTAATCCCCCCCCCCCACCTAATCTTTTCAACCTTGGTGCTCTTTTTTCTAGTAGCACTGTTTTGGCTACATAGCTGCCTGAAGTCAGCACCCGAGTTTGCAATTAATATATATTAGGGGTGTGCAGTGACTCTGTATTGAGGGCTGAATAATGAGGCACAGTGGGGTGATTTGGGATGCTTTCCCCCTCCCTGCACTGAAGCACAATGCTAGTAACTGCCCCCCCCCCGAAGTTGGATCAGGGTTCCCTCAAGGGTACCCTTGTTTTTGAGTATTGCAGCTCTGTGTTTTCCTGCAGCTCTGTTTCTCTCGGCCAAAATGTTGCCTGTAGAGCACTGAAAAATGCCACATTTTACTTTATTTCTATTAAAGCACAGTAGTGGAGGATTCTTAGAAACAAGTTAGAAGCTTTGGGTTTTTTTAATCCTACATTTCTCTGCTTTAGTGGGAAAATAAACACAGCTCTTCAGATCTCTGCAGGGAATGAAACTGCTTCATATTGCAGAGCCTTATTGGAGGACATAAACAAGCACCAGAAAGGAAGGTGTGGAGTTTTTAACAAACAGAATATACAAGGAAGAACACATGCCAGTTGCCCTTCTCTTTCTTACTTCTCCCAAATTTTTTCTACTTATGAATTTTGGGCTTTTATCTAGCCTAATAAAGGTTTTCTTTAATTTTGATGAGCACCTCTGGGTTCTGTTTTTTTGTGGGAAGAATTGCAGTTCAGTGGAGGAAATAAAATCCCTTTTGCTTCCCCAATGAAAAGTCTCTATACCTGTTTGTCTGCAATGTGGCAAACATAGTCTACACTGGAGGCTTGCCCGTTGTCTGTACATTTCAACTGCTCTTTTCAAGACGGGGGAGTTAAGAGTCCTTTTTAGAGCATAGAGTGACTGAGTAACAGACTGGAATTTTTAAAAAGATAAGAGATGCAGTGCCAAATTTTAGAGGCCAGTGCACACTCCTTATATATAACTATAACGGTAGAAAAGTTTTGAAGAGAGATCCAGTATAAAACAATACTAACCCTTGGTCTCAAACACCCTTTCATTTGCCACTTGCTTTGAAGATCAGAATCATGCAAAGCACCCCAATATAATATGGTTTTGACTAGTATTGGCTTCACCGGCTTATTCACTTGGTGGGCAAGTGGGTTATGCACGTATACTTCAGCTATGGTTTAATTACACCTTGTCCTTCTGGGAATGGTTGAATTCCTCCATGTGATGGACGCTCTTACACAGGGAACTGGCAGGTGCCACTTCTATGATGGCAGTTGGATGCATTCCATTGTTTTATTTGAGTTGCTTCGAGACTTGTGTTACAAGGAGAGGCAGGAATAATTTGAGCATCTGAACCACCTTGGGAGCTTATCAACACAATTAACTCAAAAGTGTCTGCGAGCCAGAACAATGACTAGAAGTTCCATTATTTCCCCCCAATTATGACTCCTGGGGAAGTCCTCCCATCAAAAAGCAGACTAGATATAAATTGATATAGAATGAAACTTGGGGTGAGTCCATTTAGATAGTGAGCTTGCCCCTTCTCCCTTGGAGTGCAGGTCCACATTAGAATCACTAATTGCTTTTGATACTCCCCTAGTTTAAAAACACATGCACTGTACTGTTTGGGAATGCACTGTTCATACCACCTCATGTCTCCAGTGTTTTTGGTAATGCTCAGCCTACCTAACACTTTCACATGACACCCCCCAAGATTCATGAACCATTGATGGTCCCCAAATCCCGCTTTGAAAGGCAGGAAGAATGGCACCACACTGCTGCTTCATGCTGCCACCTGGTGATGCCCTGATGCTTCAAGGATTAAGGAAATCACAGGGCATGAGCATCAGGAATTCTCCTTACTTTGAAATGTCCCTTCCTAAAACTATAATAGTGTAAGAGCAGCTCAGTATAAAACATGAGAGGCTATCCAATACAACAAGAACAAGCATTTCTTGTTGAGGAAGGTGCTTTTATCTCACTGCTATATTCTTGGTACATAGCAGAATGAGAAAACATGTTAACGGTGATCTCTTGATCTACAGGAAAATTTAGTCACCCTGAAATAGTCCAGCTTGTGTCTTCCATAAATACAGAAAGAAATACAAAAATAGATGCAGCAAACAAAGATCGTCCATCTTGAGTCACCTTTCAAATGTTTTCAGCTGTATCTATAATAAATTATTTTAAAAACTCTACTGTGTGTTTGGTTTTGCAGTATACTACCACCAGAATACTATTTGTTTACTAAATACATTATAGAAAAATAGTAAAAATTAGGGCTATATGATGTAGAAAGTAGTTTTATAGGGGACAGCTGGGCCCTTCACACCATTCAGTAACATATGTGTGTTGGTCTGACACAGTAGAAATATATCTAAAAATATATTTTTTTTAAAAAAATTGTCTAGTAGCACGTTAGACACCAACTAAGTTTGTTCTTGGTATGAGCTTTCGTGTGCATATCTGAAGAAGTGTGCATGCACATGAAAGCTCATACCAAGAACAAACTTAGTTGGTCTCTAACGTGCCACTAGACATTTTTTTTAAAAAAAATATATTCATGTGTAAATTGGATACAAAAAGGTTTCTGTGGTTGCTTCTGAGATAGGCTCAGTGTACATGCTAAAAGAGAGCTCCTTGTGAGAAGACAGTGCTGCCTTGCTAGATATTCACTGCGCCTCCTAAAGTCAAGCAAGCTTGGACATGAAAACCCAAAATATCAAGATTTGATGTAGCTGTTCATGGGGTCTACTTTATTGAAACATGTACAACAAATCAAAAAAGCCTACAGCAATGCCCACCCTCCATTGAATCAAACACAGCAAATCTAGAATAAAAGTAGGTGGTTTTAGTAAATGAGGCAAACCAATACAAGATGTCCCCCCCCCCCCAAAGTCCAGTTCATGGGTGTGAAACCCAGTAAAAGCCCCAGGAGTTCAGACCAGAAATCACTGAATTTGGTTTGAGCATTACCTTTCACTATGCTGCGAACTGCCCTGAGATCTTTGGATGAAGGGTGGTATACAAATTTAAATAATACCAGAGGCTTAGCTATTGTGGCAGTTTGAAGAATATATAGCTTACATGATACTGTATTCTAGAATTAGGGTAAAATTTGAAAGTTGTCAGAAATTTGAAAGTCAAGAACAAAGTTAACTTATACTGTAGTTCAAAGAAACCAGTTGATTTAGCTTACTTTTTCCTCTTAGGCTCTTGTTTGTGCACTGGCCTGAGGTGCATGCAAGGTTTCCTGCACCAAGTAGTGGGGAGATTTCCACAACCACCTCCCACTCTGCTCCAGAAAGTCTCCCAATCCCCTAAAAGAGCAGGAAAAGGGTAATTTTTGCCTCTTCATCTGTTCCTCCAAGAGTGGTATCCTGTGGATGGCATTCCACTCACAGCCACTATTTTTTTCACATACAGGGATGCAGCTGTCCTGTTATTGTGGAAGTCAGCAAAAAGTGTCACTGTACTTTTTGTAGACAGTAGCTAAGAGCTGCTTAATATATAAATACTCCAACTCTTTTACACCCATATATGCTTTTTGATGCTGAAAAATCAAGTTTACAGACTCCTTAACTAGAGGAAAAGAAAACCATTTATTAGAAACATAAGTACTTTGCTGTGGCAGTGAAAACAGATAAAAAGGGAAGAACAGTCTCTGTGGAACAGTGGTGGGTGGGTAGGCTGGTGCCTCAGGACAAAATGGCATGTCTCATGAAATAGCTGACCTTTAAACTTTAAAATAAAGCTAGCTGAAGACAGAAGCAGGTAGAAGAAGAGAAACCATAAGATTTGAAGAGTATTTAAGCAATATATTTGAACAGAATGTTCAAAAATTCAGTATATAACATATATACACATATGGACAAATCTCTAAGAGTACAACATTGGTAGAAGCCATTTTCAAAAGTGACGCAACTTTCTTATAGTAGCTGGATGTGTAAAAGCATTTATGAAGTTAAGACTCCAAGCTTGTTCCCCCAGAATAGGACTCGCTTATTTTTTTCCATGCAATCATGTATGTAGGCAAGTGACCACATAAAGAAATACTTAAAGAGTTAACTGGATAGTATATGGCAACAGATAGTGATCATTTCTGGCTTATCACAAGAATCACTGTGGTTCACTCTGGGTACTGCCTGCTTTACACTAATGTTTCAGCATACAGTCATACTCAATCCTGAAGCAAAAATAAACAGGGCTTCATGTGTGAATTGGACCCGAGACATGGGATGGAGAGAATGATTAGCATCCCTTCAGTCTAGCATTGAAGCTCCTCTTCTGTTTCTGGGAGTCGAGTGCTCACAGCGGAACTCTGAGCACTGGCATGGGCAGCAGAATTGAGAACCTCCTCAAAACTTCCTCCGGTATGGCTCGCACCTCCAACTTTTGTCTGAAAGGGAATGAGCAAGGGCAGTCAGTAACTAACATTCTGCTAAACAATTTGCCTCAATTTTCTTTTTCATTCTCAAGCCAAATAAACGCTTAGGACTATTATAACTCAAGGGGCTCTGTAACCTCAGTTGCGAAGAATGTTAATTCCATGTTGTCTTTTGTTTCCTCAGCTCTCAAGGTAGCAGATTATAACTATAGCGTTAACTAAAGGCAAGGGTGGTAATGAATGTTTAAAATGGTTCCCTTTGTACTAGATGCTAGAAGTCAGTGCCAGATTGAGAATAATGTATTGATATGTACTGACTTCCACAAAAAAGGTAAGAGGCAAGCTTAAAATGAAATGTTGAATATGAAACAGCAGCAATTTGCCCAAGGTTAACTTCCAAATATACATTCTGTTCTGTGTAATTTGACTCAAACCATAATAAATCTATATTGTTCTTTACATGTGGGAAATCGCTCAGTTTATGAGTAAACTAAATGCCATGCCAGCTTGGAATTCAGCTGGTTATCAGTAACATGGGAGAAGACAGCAAAGCTAGTTGGTTAGGTGCTCAGATAAAATAAAAGTTGGTATATGACGCTGTGGAGCTTTGCACTATTTAAGTATTTGATTCTGATAAAGGCCGGATGAATTCTTGACAGCTTGACAAGTTGTATTGAAAAAGCAAGGGGATTTCAGAGCATGAACTTAGTGCAGTCCATCTTGCCGCTGGCAATATTTTTTTTATTCTCTTAGGCTGTATCTGCACCATATTTGTCACATTTAATCAGATTTAATCTTGTCCCCCTATCTCCCAGACGACATTTCATGATCACAGACATTTACTTACTCTTAAATATGTTTAACTTCTCAACTCAGGCCAGTATCTTTTATAAGCCTGCTTAATTTTTAAAAGTTATTTTGTTTAAAATAATCTTTTCAATTAGGAAAAATATTTCCTGAGTAGAATCTTTATTTTTAGTAAGCATAAAAGGTGGGTTATTAGCAAATGGCAGCTGCTGTGGAAATTCCTTCATCTTCCTTGGTGGTCTTATCATTGTTTGGTTTTACATCTTTTTACAGATAAATAATCACAACTGACAAGGAACAAACATGCACTACCAAGCCAATGCTCATATTATATGTGAACAAACTATTTTGAGAAGTGTGGGAGGCCCAAGTATCTATACTCATAGAAATTAGATTAATCTATGCCTCCTTAGCCTTGACTGATAAACATGAGCCCAAACAGGAAAGTCTTAGTGCTTCTGGAATGAGTTTTGGCTTCACCCTTCAGGAGAAGGTGGCTTCACAATGTGACACAGCTACCAATGATAGGTTTTTGTACCATGTTGCCGTGGTACAATCATGAAGCTGCTCTACTGATCTTAAAGCTCATGATGCAACAAAGAATAGGAAGTTATTTCTTAGGTACACACGGCTTAAAGGGAACACTGGTTTCTGCTGCACTGATGATGTACAAATGTGCACAGAAAATTCCCTGGAAGTGTAGGAACAATCAAGGGTTCATTTTAGGATAAGGTTTGGACTACTCTGGCTTCAGTTATTTTCAGTGACACACCACAAAAATTAACTAGTCTGGTCATAACCCTTCCCTCAATTCTAATCCATACCTTAAGGCTTGTGACAGTGGTCTCAACCTTTTCTTCAAAGGATTTGAATGTAGGAGAATTCCTAGAATAAGGTATAACAAAGAATAACATGATAGTCTTACGCTTGTTCATGTCCTTAAATGCTTCTGGATGTTTGCAGGATTGGGTTCTGATAACAATGGCTTGTGACGCCATCTCTGGCTTCTAATTACCACCAAGCTAAGGGTCAAACCAGCTGCAACATTATTTGGTCATGTGTGTGTTTAATGAATAGCCAGTGTGTGGATACCCGAGCCATATTGGGATCACAGTTTAAGCTTCAAGTCTTAGGTCATGCTATGATCCAATGGAAATCAGGCACAAGAAGGCTTGATCCTGATTAGGATGCCTTGGGGAAAAGGGTTAAAGCAACCCATGGTCTTAATCTGGTTAAAAAACAGCCAGCATGGGAGGCCTTAAACAGCCACCATACAAGGCCATGTGACATTTGGTCCTAACTAAGGAGGTGTTTTTTAAAACTACAGACATGTGGGAATGGATCATATGCCCTTCATATTACTTCACATTAACTAACGTGACACCTGTTTACCTTTCTGATAAGCTACAACGTCCTTTCTGTGACAGGGCTTTCTAGGGAGCACAACAATTACAGTGGTGCCTCGCAAGACGAAATTAATTCGTTCCGCGAGTTTTGTTGTCGTGCGATTTTTTTCGTATTGCGAAGCACGGTGTCGGGAAAGTTTTGGAAAAGCTTCAAAAATCACCAAAGTCTTTAAAAACCTCAAAAAAGGCTACCACACCGCGTTCTATGAGTTGCTCCTCGAAGTCAAGTCGCAACTGTATTAACGGTGTTAAGAAAAAGGAAACAAACTTGCAAGACGTTCCTGTCTTGCGAAGCAAGCCCATAGGGAAAATCGTCTTGCGAAGCAGCTCAAAAAACCCTTGCGTCTAGCGAGTTTTTTGTCTTGCGAGGCATTCGTCTTGCGAGGTACCACTGTACTCCAACTTGCCTCCCAGCCAAGGAGAAAGGACTCTGGTTAGGAAGGAGAAGGTAGACCTGACCCTCCATTTCCTACCATCCAAGCAAAGTGGCTCATAGCCATAACTGTCTGCCAGCTGGGGCAACTCACAAATGAAAACAGTGGCAAAGCTTATTTGGAAATTTATTTCAGTGAAATCTATGAGAATGTGGATTGGGAATCTGACTACTCACACGTGAACAACAGAGAATGGTCAATGGTGCCACATTTGAATTTCCTACTTTCTGTATGAAGAACACTTGAACTAGAAGGCTGATCCCAAAGGGTTATGACAATTTAAAATTCAGTACTAAAAACAAATTACTGTCACAGTAATAGTGTGAAGCCTGAAAACACACATTCAAAGGTCAGGATAAGAAGGTGATGTGGAACTTTTACCTCATAGCAGGCATACTCATGGAATGGCGAATAGAGTAGCTGTAATTGAAAAACATGGAAGAGAGAAAACAAAACTTTATAATATGACAAATACAAATAAAATCACAATTGCTGGCTAATTTAGTTTTTAAGTAATAATTTCTGGCACTCTTATGTCCTGGAAAAAAGCAATCCTGAAACTTACTAAATTAAGATGTGCATCTGTTAAAAAGCCTGAATCAAGACTCAAACGAACAATCAGCCTGCTTTGTACATGGGTGGCACAGTTGCAACTGAAAAATGTTTCCATCTGATGGCTATAACTTGAGTAGCCATTTTACCTACTCACCTAATGGACTGTTCCTAACATGAGATGTCTAGACATCACCAGTCAACAAACTGAGAATGCAAGAGTGTGGGTAGGTGAGAAGGGAGGGCACAGACGGCAATATTTCCAGTAGTGGAAGAGAGTGGGTACTTTCAGATCAGTATTTATTGTGGAACTTGTACTTCCCAGTGCTTAAACCTGGAAGTCTTCAATTAACCATAGTTTCCTATTTTGTTTGGAACAAACTAGAATCTTCAACCACACTTTGAAGTTGTTTTAAAAATCTTGGCTTGTTCCAGTTTGGATGCAATGGGATTAATTGAAGATTTCCAGATTTAATCACAGTGCACTGAGAAAGGAGAAGGCAATGGGTTGATGTGTAGGCACAAGAATCTTCCATAGGATAAATAATAAAAGATTGTGGATATTATTATCATTTATTGAATTTATATACCATCTTATACCCAGGGGTCTTAGGGCGGTTCACAGATCAAACTTTGGGATTCAAACAACTGATGAAATTAATTATTGTTCTACGATAATGCCCACTCTCGGAGAAACAATCAAAAAACAATTTTACTGAATGTTTAGTCCTTACGTTTCAATCTTGAGTGGTGAAGGGAGGATTTTTGTTTGGTAGAAATGCATTTTGAAAGCCTCCATTATGGGAAATTTGGTCTAATCTAATCAGGAGCGCATTAACAACATTCTGAATTCTATCCAAGGTTTTCTTCAGGGTCTTCAGCAATTTCTTCACTGCCTAATTAAACTATAAAATCAAGATGTCCCAGTTGAAATAATACAAGTTTCTAATCTTGGACCCAAATGGAGGAAATCATGCTGTGTCCTTTTCCATAAAACAGACTATGCCAAATGCAGCAGCAACATGCATTTATTTATCTTACCCAAGTGAATGTGACCTGGAACAGCAGCATAAGGAAAAAATTAAGAAGAGTTAAGCACTGGTATAATTACAGATCTTACCCCCACCCCCAAAATCCTGAACATGGAACACATTTTAAATGTTTAAATTTAGCTAAGTTGCTAACTGTTCATGCTCTCTTTGGAAACCTGTGAAGTTTGTAAATGTTGAGCTTGCTTCCACAACAAGTCACCAGCTGCAATTTCAAATTGGTTTGAGGATAAGCACATAATCCAGTTTGAAAACTAGCCCACCAAAGAGCTGTGTCAATTAAGCATGAGATTCTAAGCAATCTGTGTTTGTTACTGAAGCCTTCGTTTCAGGCACAATGGCATTCAGGCAGAACAACATAACATGAATAGCCCTGACTCACGACTGCCTTAAGAGAAATGGATAGAACATCTCATGTATTATCCATTAAAACTAAATTAATACCAAAAGAACAGTGGTCAGAAGGCCAAATAATGATCATTTCTTTTAAAATAAATAACACAAGTGGGAATAGGGAGTAGAAGCTTCAAATAATTACAACCCCTGGACTTCTGCGTTTCAGCTCTATCAAATCAATTGCAACAGATGCAACTTAATGGTAGTGGGACCAGTTACTTGCAGCTGATAAAATTAAACACAAGGATCAGTTACAAACACTGGGAATTGTTTATTGTATGAAGAGCAATTGATCAAGTACTGCTGCTGTGATACAGATGAGAGAATCTCTCTTTTTTTGTAAATAATTTTTTATTAATTTTCAATAAAATCCTCCAATTAAGGCAAGAGAATCTCAAGCAAACTCCATTTTAATGAACGGAAGTCCAGTAGCAGCCCCTGGTGGACCACAAGCCTGGCAAATGTAATACAACTGAATGTGCTAACTGGAGAAACAACCCAAAAGGCAAAACCTTGCTAATTTAAATTAGATCAACTGAATTCTCTGATGATGCAAGCTCGGTCAAGTCCTGAACTTGGTTGCTACGTAAATATCGTGCCATAAAATCTTGTAAATTGCCTTCCACTTTTACTGTTGATTTTTTATATGTCACTAAAAAGCATATTCCTTTTCTAGACAGACTACAACTTTATAGAGCTGTTCTCTTGATACCTTTATTCAGTACTGTAACAAAACAGAGAGACATGGAAGGTAAAGATGAGATTTGGCAAGTGGCAGCTTACCATGGCGAGCATAAAACTGGTTGGTCTTCATTAACCTGTCTAGTGATTAGAATTCTACCACACATCAGGGGCATAGTAAAATATAAACTATAACCACCCAATGAATTCTGCACTCCCATTTTTCAGCTGTAGTGGGAACTACACATGCAAAGCTGGACTGTGTAATTCCCAGTGCTGGAGCTCCGCATCTAGCACTCATAGTTGTATATGCTATTCCAGATACTGATTTTATAAAATTTTAGATACTGATTATTGCGACGAGAAGGCGGCTGTTTTGGTTTTAATAATATATGTACTTCCTGAGCATTCAGATCTATGAGTTGCCATGTCCCAGGCCTGATTAGCACTCTTCATCAGGTTTTATAACAAGATGCTCCAATGGATGAAGACCCCAGCCTGAGGGCTTGGCATGAAATAAAATGTACACCCTGCATAATTCACATACACATAACTGCAATTCTGTGCACATTTGTTTGGCAGTAAGCCCCACTGAACTGAGTTAACATGCAGAGCACTGCACTACAGAATATTAAGCAATTGTTTGCTTCTACATTTTAAGTACTATAGATAGTATTTAGCCCCTCTTTTTACTTCAAATAATAGTGAGCAATTATCTGAATGTTTGTACGTGTGGCACAGCCCAAACTTAAAGACACAGCATTGCTCTGTAGGACCACAGCATCTAAACACTTAACGAAGTTAAGAAAGTTAAGAAACACTAATCAATTCAACAAAATAAGAAATAGCTTCTGCCCTGAATTTATCTTTTAATTCCCAGGCTGATAACCAAGCTGCAATCAGCCCTCCAGCTTTCCTGCAGAATGAGGCTGGCACACAAATTCCTTCCAAACTACTGTGGACATTTCCCTTACAGGAAACAGAAAATAATCCCCTTTAAAAAGCAAGTGTTATGCCTAAATCAGTAACTGTTATTGTCAAGCAGCTCTTCAGTGATCAAGCAACTTATTAATGCAGTGCGCTTAGACAATACAACATTTCTGATCTAGCCCTGTTTGCAATTTCTTCCTATTTTATTACTGCAAGGGGTATTCAAACATGAAATAAGCATTTTAAACTATTTGTACAAGAGAAAAATGATTCCTATAAAAATGTTACACTCTAGCTTTTAGTCTATAGGGAAAAATAAATATTCTAACATCACATTCCTGGGTTTTTTTTTGCTTATATGCATGGGTGTGTGTTTGTGGTGGTAGTGAATAGACAAAAGATTCTCTGTAGTACCTACCAAGTACCAAAGATTTGTGCTAACCAAAGTAAACCTTAAAATGACATGGAAGCAAAGGGTAATTCGTCAATGTACACACTGTGTACAAACAGCATCTCAGCATCTTTTTCACTCATTATTTATATGGCACCATCAGTACACATTATTATGCATTACAGCAGTATTCTTCAACCTTGGGTCCTCAAATGAGTTTGGACTACAACTCCCATCATCTCCGACCACAGGCTAAACTGGTCTATTGGGGATGATGGGAGTAAGTCCAATAACATCTAGGGACCCTCTGTCGAAGAAGAGTATACACAGATAAATTATCTACACCCCAAAGAGCAAGCAGTCGGAAGAGAAAGGAGGAAAAGAGGGGACATGGCTAGGACAAGGTCAGCAAGGGACAGCACGAGCAAATGTAGTTCATAACTGGTTTTCCTTCAGTTGAGGATGAAGGTGTTACATGGCAACACGCTATTCAATTAAATAGAACACTCAGTCATTTGCACCTGTAATTACAGAAACTCTAGGAATGTTCTCCCAATTCCTTTAAAGTCACAACGAGGCTTTCCAACGAAGTCAGTGAAAAGAGGCCAAACTAGGTGTAACTTAAATCAGGATTAGAATTTGCTCTTTTTTCTTTTCTTAGCTAATGACCCCAAGGCATTCAGAAGATTGGTGGTTCTGTGGAAGAATGTGTTTAACCTTTTATCCTGTACCCTCCTACCCTCTTTCCCAATGTAAATCCCTCTATACCACAAATTTGCTGTTAGTTCCAGCAAGTGAGGAAGCAGACACAGTTGCTTTGCTCCCCTGAAAGCAGGGAGATCCTTGCTACCCTACAAAGGGAATAATCAACAATTGCTTCTTCCTCCAGATTACATTTTGGGAATGAATACTTTGAATCTCTGAACTAATCTACCTTTCCTTGTGTAGAGCATTCTGTTGAGTCAATGAAGGGAGATATGGATGGTTTGACAAAAGTCTTTATTAACGTTCCTTGGGAAATTGATAGAACAGTAAAGCTGATTTATTTGTGTTTCAAGAATAGCTTCGAGGCACGCTTCACTCTTCAAAACATTTCTCTCTCCCCGTTCATGAAAAGAATTAGGGGGATGCAATTGTTGTATCCCTGCTGATGTATTTTACGGCATTATTTAGAAGATGGAATTCCAACATGTAATCTCCCTGGTTTCTCTGGTAATGTGCCAGGATTTAAATCAGGAACACAGCTTAATAAGCTATCATTTAGTTCCTTTGTGATAAACAGGAAAAAGTCGCCTTAGCCAGGATTCAATGTAAATCTTGCAATGCTGGGAATTAAAGAACTGTGGGAGGGTGGGATTTAATTTTCTCCCAGAAATTAAATCAAAACGTCTGTACCTCATATCCCCAAACTTCTTGCTGATGACTGTTCCGACATTGCTGAAAGCTGCTGTTGCCTTTTGACCTGCTTGACTCAGAGTCTCTTGTGTCTTCTTGTATCTAAGAATTGACAATTATTACAGTTTAAGCAAGTACCCTTTAAGTTCAAGGCATTTGCTTCTCATACAGTTCAAATCAGAAATCCATCAGAACTGTGACTGCTGTACATTAAAATCATCTGCAGGAACAGCACAAGAGAAGGCGGTGGTTTTAAAATAGCTTACCAAATGCTAATATTCATATATGGGAGTTAACTGTATTTTATATGGCCCAAACATAAGCTACTTTACCCATAGAGAAATTGGTAGAAATAAAATAATAATATCAGGATGTACCCAGAATTGCCAGGGCATATACAACAGGAAAAGACAAGTCTCCAACATTAAAAGTACTTTGCTGCATATTTCTCTCTAAAGTTTGTTCCTATTCTAGTTAATACATTTTTATACTGTAAGCCACCCTGGGACCTTACGGTAAAGGGCAGGCAATAAATAATAATCATAATCGCTGCTACTACTACTATTAAACCTGTATGTGAAGAAGCATTCAAAATATTTTTGCCGTTCTACAGTCTGATGAGCGAGAATGTTGAGAAAAATTCTACTACTGCATTTTGCATAATATTTAGGATGGCTCCAAGATACACGAAATAGAAGTGAATAGCAAGGTGCATAACTGGGACAGAGTCCTTGGTCACCAAATTTCATGTTTTTTCTTCCTGCTTAGAACTGCAAAGCACACCACCATAGGCATAGTCAAGCCAATGGCAGACCACCAGTGCTGGCTGGTGGGAGGCAGTGAGCCTGATGGATCACAAGCTGTGCAGAGAGTTGTAATTCTGATCAAGGAAACCCAGTTCAAATCCTCACAAAGCCATTACACTCAATGGATGGTCACTGGTAAACTGCTATCTCACAGCCTTACCTACTTCAGAGTTGCAGGGATAAAATGTACCAGAGCTTCTTGGAGGAAGGTGGGGACACAACTGTAATATGTAGGCAAATAATGATAAGCCATTTCAGTAATTTTGCAACACTGCAATTATTATTCTAGGGTTCCTTGATAGTATCTAGACCACAGGTGCGTATCTGAAACAGTTTTGCTGCTTCTCCTAAGAGTCAGATAATGCAAAGAATGCTTCAGCCACAATCCTCTTAAATATGCACATGGCTGATTTATGCAACATGCTTTGACTTGCTATGCTTGCATTCTTCATCAGGGTTGCTAAGCTTTTTAAAATTCAGAGGCTACCTATTCAGCTACTAATCTATTTGCTGAGTGTGCATTTTCACAGTTCACCTTCTCTTCTGCCTGGAGATATATATTTAAGGTACTAGCCTTTAAAAAATGCCATTAATAATATATTGTTCATATTTTCATTACTACTATGAAATAATAAATGAACAGAATGGCATTCAAAAAATAACTATTCAGATTTGCACATGCACCTGGTACAACCATCACAGTAGAAACCAATGAACAAACGTTACTGCTTGTTTTCTTTAAGCCAGTTCAGGAATTTTTTCTATTATTAGAATGAAGATGACTGCAACTAAAGTTCTCTCTCTGTTGAGTTCTTTTCCTTGTGCAAAATAGTCAGCTGAATTTTATTCAGGTTAGATGCAATGAAATCAATGGACATAATTGTGTTCTTTAATTCCCATGGGTCCACACTGCATAAAACTTAGTTGCATGCTGTACCATGCATAGTTTCCATCCTTGGAAGGGCTCCAGTGTGCTGTGACCAATATATCTTTATGTCTGTTGTGAATAGAAAGAATGCCAGCTCCATCATGTCAGCAGTGACCATCATTAACGCTGGATTTATGGTAGCATGGGCAGTTCCTCTGCATAGAGCACCCAACTGAGGAGACACTAATTGTTATAGTAACAACAACAACATCATTTATACGGTGTGTGTGTGTGTGCACCAAATTTTGTCCTTACTCAGGGTGCCATATTAGCAAAGTCTTCCCCTGCCATCATCCACACAAAGTAGTTCAACAACAATGGCCACCATGTTAACATGGCAGTGTCCTCCTGTTTACATGCTGCTACTGCAGTTATATTAGAAAAGAGCCACTTGTAGTAAGCATACAAAGTATGGTGGCTGCAGAGTCCATTGCACATCAGGATACTTTCAGCCAGCCCACTTCTCTGTGCTGACTGCAAAAAAAAAAAAAAAAAAAGGCATCTGAACTATTCATAAAAAAGCAAAGGAAGTCAGGTGGCAAGAAATTAAAATTCATGTATGCTACCTGTAGAATAAAGCATGCAAAGTGACCCCTTGAAGGTGTATTTAAATAGATTTCAAATTACTGGAGATAGCAATGGCAACAACAAAATGGCTTTTGTCTAAATGTACTGAATTATTTGCCATGTGTGTATTCCATATTATCTCCAAAGAGTTCAGGGTGGCACATTAACTGGCTTTCAGTTTTATCTTCAGCAAGGATGAGGACGAAGGCAATGCAATGAGCTTCAAAGCCCAATGGGACTTGGAACATAGGTCACTTTAAATAAAGTCCAATACATTAGCCATTGCACCATGCTGCTTTCATAATGAGAGGAGTACAAAGGAAAAGGGTGTGCAGGTTTTTACTTACGCAGTTGTAGTTTGCACATCATGCCAGCCCTTGCTGAAGTTCTGTTTCAGTTCATTCATCAGGTTGATGCCAAGCTTTTGTTTTATTTCCACAAGATGCTTCTCTTTTGCTGCCAACACTTGTCGCAAAGTTGCAATTTCATCTTCAAGCTGAATAGAATTAGCAAAATAAGTCTGCATTATTCCTCTTCATGATAAACGTAAAATGGTTTTAGGTGACGCAATGTCTTCAAGTACAAAAATGCCATGGTATTTGAATCTTTAGACCTAATAAAGTAGCGTCAAAATAATCTCACATGTATTTCATTGCTTTTCTCATTGACCTATGGACTACCAAAATCTACAAATATAAAAGACAGAAATGGCCAGGCTAGCAAACAAGTTAGGAGCAATGTGTTTGCCTGCTCATTTCTGGATTTATTAGCCATAATGGCTCAAAGTTTGTCAGGCAATGAGGTGCACAATGTCATGCACAAGGATCTGTATGTACATATGTACTGAACAGATGGTTAGGAAGTAATTTGCGCCTTTAAGGAGAGGCAGTGTATGTAAAATAAAAATGGCTCCCATCAGTATAACCCAGAAGAGACAGAAAAAGCAGCCTAGTTAAAAAACATGCTGGCAAAGAGAAAGCTATTTTCTTTGTGTTATTACAATAAAACCAATTAAGTTAAATATAGCCTTACATTTCATCTGATTATGTAAAGCAGAATAGTCAGGTTGTAAATTGGGAGGAGTACAACACAGAAGGGCTTGGGTGGGTACAACAGTCACTTCACGTTGTTTTTACTGGACTTGGAAAAAGTGATTAGTCCCAGTTTAAAGAAATAAACATTTTCAGCTACTTTTCTATTATTGCAAATGTCTCATTAAATGAAACATTGCGGTGGATTATACAACGTTTAGTTTCATTTTCAAATTGTAATTCTCCAAGGTAGTCTCTTCAGAGACATATTTATCTTATGATGTGAAAAATGTTAATTCCATACACAGTTAGGCCTTTCTGGACTGGGCTATTTTTAACAGAATTAAGATGAGCAACTTTGCTGTCATTTGGGCATTGAGTGCAATTTATACATATGAATATTAAGTTGCAGAACCTGCGTTTTCATGGAGAACTAACTGCACAGAAGGTATCAGCTATATACACAGCAATAAGTTATAAATTATCTCCCCTCAGAAGCTACTACATTTTGAATTATATGTTGAATTATATGTTCCTTAACATCCATGAAAATCTTCACATTCACTGTACACTTTGAGGATTATTCAAGAAACAATACAATTGGGAAAATGCAGTTGGGAACTGCAATACAACTGGGAAGTGGGGAATCATGGCTTTGGGGAAAATCTTAAGATGGGAATGTGACAGTTCTAAGGCTTTTAAGGCAATGATACAGGGAAATATTTTCAAAGGCACTGAAAACCAGTAGGCAAACTACTCCCATTGGAAGTACAGCAGCCACTCCAAATAGAATGAATTCATTAGAGCTCCAGAAACTTAGTAAATTCTGAAAAATTCCAAGCATTTCAAAATGCAAATCCCCAATGCATTTCCTTTGAACAATGTAATTATATACCATTTGAATGCTGTGAACAATTTAGGACAGTCTTGTGATCTGAGCTGACCTAGATTCCATTAACTGCTGTGACTACAAACAATACGTATTGTGGGATGTGCCTGGAGGATGAAGGCCTTAACCTCTGCTCACATCACTGAAAAGGAAAGACTGGGGGACAAAGACTTACAAAAGTGAAACACAAAATAATTTATGCCTGCTTTTATGACTCGAAAAGGGGTGGTGGAGACATAAAAATGAATACAGTATTTTCAAAGTATTACTGTATATTAATCAAAGAAACCTCATTTGTATATTTTGAACTGATGAGTTTATTGATCACATTTATATCCAAGCTCTTTCTTCAAATAATTCAAGAGTGACATATGTGGAAACACGGAATCACTCCATTTTATTCTATTAAACTGTACGGCAGAAAAAACTGATACATGAAAGTTGCCCAAAGCACTTCATGGCTGGACAGGGCACCCCAAATTTTGGCACACTATCCATTCTAGTGCATTGGTTACGTTCTCAATGAATCCATATGCAAGAATGCTCTTGTTTAAGGTAAAGAACTACCTGGATAGTTATTGCCCTGCCTCCAATTACGTTTTCTTGGAAAAAGGTTGAACTCTGCTCAATCCATGCAGGAACCACTTCACACATATGGTGGTAAGGCATACAGTCATGGTATTGGTATTCATGCAATTGCTTTTATAGCAATGTGCCCAAGGAGAAGTGCATGGGAAAAGATTGGCATCAGCTGTGATTTCCAAAACCAGCCCTTAGTTTAAAATGACAGATTCAGGAGACAAAGAATGTTACCTTGACAAGTTCAGCTTTTAATTCTTCTTGCTCTTCTTCAGAAATCATGTTGGTAAAATCAACATCAGTGACCATGTCTTCATCTACTTCATGTAACACTTGCCTTTCCAACAGACCTTTGAAAGTAAGATGACAAGTTTCAGGGATTTTTTTTCCTTGTTAAAACAAAACAAAACAAAACAAAATGCCTTATACTTGTTCAAATCTCCTTTAAATCTTTTTTTCTGAATTAGTAAGGATCTTAACAAGGATGGTCCATCATGTAGAAGAATAGCAAATGCTTTGTGTGCAGAATGAGTCAGATTTGATATCTAATTAACAGGTGATTGGGTTCCAGAGGTGGAAAAGACCTCTGCTTGACAATTTGGAAATCCATTGCTAGCTTCAGCACTGCTACTGCCATTTTCAAGCGACTCAGAACCAAATCATAAAACAAAGCAAAAGAACAGAAGCAAAGCAAACAAAAAACCCAGAGCAGCCAACGTCTAAATATTTAACAAGCTGAAATAATGTATATGAGATACACACACACTTAAACAAACAGCAATAAAAAACATCAGTTTATGTCAATTGTACTGGAAAGATGTAAAATTAGGTCTGATTATCAAAATATCTTTGGGGACTTCTTTATTTGATCCACAATGACTCTTTATTCCCACTTTAGCATATGTAGAAGGGAAAACAGTTATATACATCAGATGACATATGAATACCAAATCCCAACTTGCAGAATATGAGAGTGCAGTTGCCCTCCTGTCCCACTTGCAGGCTTCTGCTAGGCATCTGTTTGGGCACTGTAAGAACAGAATGCTGGACTAGATGGGCCTAGATCCAGCAGGGCTCTTCTTCTGAGCCAAGTGGATTATCACACATAGCTCACAGCATGTGCACACCAGTCTTTTGTTTCCAGAAAGGCCATTTCAAGTCACAGCAAAATCGATTTGTACAGGAGAAGTAAAAATCCATATGAAAGAGCTACCGAAGCGCCAGTGTACAGTCTACATTGTACGGTCACCCAGAATATAACCACAATGTTACCTTGCTGGAAAATGTGGTGATTTGAAAAATGAAATATATACCTTTTAATTACCACTTATATACATGGAAAAGAGAAACACATTGTTGAAAATAAAATTATTTTATTGAGAGCATCCACTCTTTTGCTAGGAGACGTTATCACACAAGTTTTGTCACAACAAAAAGTAGTGGGAACCAGGGTGGGTAAAAATCAATATTTTTTTTTTTATTTAAATCAGTTTTTTTTATTTAAATGCTTTTGGAGGGAAAATCTTTCTAAAGATGGTTTTCTATTTAAGTTACATTATAGTCCAAAGGCTATTAACATCAGGAAATAAGGATTAGTTTAAGTTTTTCATGTGTGCTAAAACTTTTTTTTAAAATTGTTTAACTGCATCAGTTAACAAATATGGATACATATGCTATAATATTATTGTTTTAGTTAAATAAATTGTTTAAATTGTTATTAAGGAAATGATTATTTTTCTCCTTCCAATAAAGTACAGCAGAAAAGTTGTCCAAATATAAACAGTTAAATTATGAAACCTCACCATAATTTCATAATTATCGGTCTATGTATTTCTAATAGTATAACCAAATCAGTAATTTTTGATATAACTGTAAAAACTACTCTGAAAATGTATTATTCCAAAAATGAAACCTTCATCTGGTTGTAAATATTAAGATGATACCAGCAAGAATGAGTCTTTCTGTAAAAAATGATTTAAACACAACACAGAGTAACTGGGATCTTTTTACATGCACAAAAATCGTCTGCACCCTGTCCTCCACGCTCCATGGACAAGACCTAAAAGTTGCAATCTATTTTCTTTTGTACATAAAATATACTTGAATGATGTACCTAGCCTCTTAGCTTCACATGCAATTTCCATTTACAACTTGTCATAAGAAGGAATGTTCTCTTTAAGCAAACCTGTGTAAACTGAACATAGAATTTGTTCTATACTCATATTCTTATTCTCCCTTCAAAATATGCTGCTAAGCAACAAGCAGCCCAGTTCCCAAATGTTGCCATCTGCGTGTATATTTCTTGTCTTGACCTAACAGAAATAAGAATGTCATAAGGACACCATAGCACCAATTTAGATGTAGTGGTATTCCTAATATCAATAAAATGCAGTCCTAACACACAAAATATGATTCTTTTTATACTTGTAGCAATCTATAACTTCCGTTTCCATTTAAGATTTCTGCAATTTCACCACCTTGAAAGTAAATACAGCCACTTTTTCCTGTTGTTATTCTATCAGTACCAGCAAGCTGTCAAATGGATCAATGATCACGTCCAGCTGGAAACTGAGCCAAATATTTTTATTTGTTCCTTGTAAAAATGAACCAATAAGACAGATGAGGTGTGCCCCCAACTGATTCACCCCTACAAATAAATAATCTCTAGACATTCCTATATAAACCCTCGAAAACTGTTGTTCAAACCCAATGAAGGTGTATTCTTCTTCTTCTTATTATTATTTGTGTACCGCCCTTCATCCATAGGTCTTAGGGCAGTTCACAACATAAAAATGCAAGATAAAACATACAGAATACATAATAAAAACAAAAAACCAATAACCGCCTTCCCACAAACACATTTAAAAGGCCACAGAATGCAAATTAGTCAAAGGCCTGGTTATAGAGAAACATTTTTGCCTGGTACCAAAATATATGTAATGAAGACACCAGATAAGCCTCCTTGGGGGCATTCCACAAATGGGGAGCTACTGCGGAAAACACTCATTCTCATGTTGCCACCCCCGGATCTCTCGTAGGAGAGGCACACGAGGAAGGGCATCAGATGATGATCACAGGATCCGAATCAATTCATATGATGAAAGACAGTCCTTGAGGTATTGCAGCCCTGAGTCATTTAGGGCTTTATAGGTCAAAACCAACACTTTAAACTGGGCCCAGAAACTAATTGGCAGCCAGTGCACTCGGGTCAGGATCAGTGAAACCGTCTTGCCCGATGAGCAACCTGGCCACCAAATTCTGCACCAGCTGAAGTTTCCGAACTGGCTTCAAAGGGAGCCCCAAGCACAGTGCATTACAGCAATCTAACCTAGAGGTTACCAGAGCCTAGATGAAGTTATACTGTCCCTGTCCAGATATGGGCACAGCTGATGGAAGGCCATGGAGCCTCAAGTGACAACAAAGGATCCAGAAGTACTCCCATGCTATGTACTGGCTTCTTCAGAGGGAGTTGTCCCATCAAGAGCAACACTCTAGATATACCCTTGATAGCTCCCAGAAATCAAATGAGCCATAATACAGTATTCCCCGAATTTGAAAAGTCTTCTTTTGTCCCCCAAATCCCCAGAATTGTCTTCAGTATAACATAAATATGCTTCTCTGCAGCTTTATACCAAGGCAGCTCTTCTGTTGCTCAGTTTCAGAAAACTTAATAATAAAAGGCATCCTTTCTAACCTTCCTCTTGCAAGCAACAGATCAGAATACTATTCAAACATTCTTTGAAATGCATGACATTATGCCTAAATAGCTTTTTATGCAACTATTTATTTCATAATGATTAGATTCCAGTAGGAAGTACAATATTTAAATGGATGACAAACAGGAAGCACTTAGTACAAAACACTACATTCATTTCACACTTACTAAGACATATGGTATTTACTGGAATCTAATGCTCACCTTTTTTGGCCAAAATATGTTGCGAAAATTAAGGTGTGCATTAGATTCGATGGCAAATTTACAGTACATTCTCCAGCAAATACTTTTTTTGGTTTCAAGGTTCTGAAAGTTGAGGTGTGCATTAGATTTGATGGTGCATTAGACTCGAGTAAATACAGTATTTCTAGGATCTAGGACTGGCAACATGTTTCAAAGCCTAGATGCTAGGCCCAGATATCTATGCACCTGATCAATTGAGGGCTCAAGATTTTTCAAGTTCTACTGTTATGATATTGCTTCATTAATGTATTTTAATACAATGATGACATATGGATAACCAAATTGTCACTTTTCAAAGCCAGCCACTTTCAGTCCGGCTGCCACTAGCCTTTCCCCCACTCCACACATCCACTTTTAAGACATCTAGCCACCAGGACACCTGAACAGAAATTCAAAAGGGGTGGAGCTGAAATCAGTACACCCAAGTCACTTGAACTATTTGTTTCTATTGTACTAAACTGATCTGCACTGTGATTGCGTCAACAGCCTAGACCCTCTAGATCTGCTGCAGTGTTGATTCTAAAGAACATAGATGCCACAGAAGGAAAGGAGATGCCTGGACTGAGTATAACAGATCATCATCAACATCACCATCATCCCTATGATGACAACAAAACTCCTTCTAAAGCCGACAACACTGTGAGGGGCAAAATAGAATCAATACTCTTGCCGATCACAGCAGATCACACAGTACTAAAGCCAACATGGCTCCCATCAGGTGGAATGGATCTCTGAGTGGCACGATCCTTCCAAGAGGGTATCAGTACAGTTACAGCATTGTTTCAATGGTGCTGCTAATATTCCTCTTAACAGATGACCATATTCTAAATGGCACAAGACTTCAATCCTTTTAAATACCTTGAAGCATGACAATAGAGTTTACCCATCACTGTGACAATGTGATTGGGGGGGAAATCTCTCCAGAGCTCCAAAAATGCCAGCAAGAAAACCTGTCTAGATTTGAAACAATATGTCAAGCACAAGTACTGTGCTGCCACTTTTCATTATCCAGTATTTTCAAGCCCATAAATAATTCTGTGCCTCCCAATAATCATGCCTGCACCAGCCGCAACTTGAAGGCCTCATACTTGATCCCAATCTGAAGAAACTCAATTCATACCACCACATGTCAGTCTTTTTATCTGGACTATTTGGGAAGGTAAACGAAGCAACGAAACAGGCAGGCTCTTCCTTTCTCAGCAGCCAGCTAACTTTTGGAGAGCGTAGAGATGTAGAAAAGATCCTCCTATCCCCCCTTAATCACATATCCTGGAAAATAAGCAAGTGGGATAGACTCCTTCTTTGGTATGCCTTTTCGCTAACCACCATCATAACTGGAAGATGTGATAAGCAAAAATAGAAAATAAATTTCAGTGAATCAGCCTTGGAAGCACCAATGAGAGTGCAAGCCCACCTCCCAGGAAAAGAAATTGCACATGTGTGGAATCAGTGATTTATGGATTGTGACCCTCCTGATTACAGAAAAGAAACTGTTTGCTAGGAAATCCTTTATCTTTGAACTTATTTCTTGCTTTCCTATTTAGCTGTAACTGAGGGAAAAAGGACTGCCATCTAGCCTTTTACCTTGACATTTGTATTCTGTTGTTCTCCAAAGAGTTAAAGTTTGCATAGATCTAAGGTAATTTTTATCTTCACACCAACCCTGTGAGACAGGTGTGGCTGAGTGCATATTTAGCCCTAGGATTTCTACAGCTAAGCACCACAGTAGCTTTCAATTCACATTAACTCATATTACTTTAGATTGATGAAACTATGGAAAGATATTTGCACAATTAATTAGTTACACTAGAAATTTCCTTCTCTTGAATGTAGTCATAAAAAACAACAACTGGTCCAATGATCTTAACTGGTGCTTACAGGCATTGCCCAACTATGTCACAAACATAAAGGATTTTAATAGACATGTTGTATATATTTTAGAAAATACAGTGAAAAGTTCTGGGGTGCATGGGGTAGCTCAATTAGAGACATACTGTAAAATGTCAGGTTCAAATTATCCATGAAGTACAGCACATGCTGACCCAGCTAACATATGTTTCTCTGTTGCTGCCTGATCTACATTTCTATTTCTCTCCATCACGTGTACAACCTTCTTTATCATCAGCTTGTGCACCTAATTAATTCAGACCTTATGACAACTTAAATGGCACATCAAGTGCATTCAAAGGAAACAACACATAAAGAAACTTTGGAAATTACAGGAGTTCTCTGCTTCCTCCCAAACAGCTGCTTGATTATGGGTAGTTGCCAAATGCTCTCACATTTGCTTAATTATTTTAGTTAAAATGCCACCCTTCAGCAATATGTACTCAAGCCAACTGAACAATATCATTTCTTTACAGGCAGTGGATAGACTTATTATACTTCTTTCCTGCTGCTTAAACTAATATTTGAAGTCAATAGTTCTTTAAAAGCAAATTGCCATTGCTTTGTTGATTAACTGCTAGAGTGGTGTTGTGCAAATTGGGGGAAGTAATGCTACTGAAAATATTCTATTTCAGGACAACGCCATTAATTCAGGGCCCTGAATGATACAGAGGTTCTAGTCTGAGCAATGGTTCCATTAGGCCTAGAGATGTTAACTGTACCGTAGTTAACAGACGTTAAGAGGAACAGATGAACTTAGAAAGGAAACTGGACTCATTGTCATAATTCACACTTTTTCAGAGATTGAGGACACTTTGTATTAGGCTGCTTCTGCTCTCACTTCTAGGATAGGGTCAATAAAATGTTAGCAAATGTGACATTCTCCCTGACAGTGGAAGAACTCTTACCCAAACCCACAGATAAGAGGAAACAAGAAAGTTATTCATATAACACAGATACTGGAATCTTCACATCAACTCTATAAAAAGAGGAAAGAAAGGCTGATGGCAGAGAATGACAATATTTATGATTCTCAATAAAGTAAAACAATCTTCTCCTTTTGGATTTGTCAAAACACTTGTTCAATTCTGGTCCTTTCCCTTTTTGGTTGCAGGGTTAACTGGCATTCCTAATACTTATCCAGTGTGCTTGATTCATATTTTGTGGTTTTGCTATTCTATATTGTTTTGGTTGAGTTATTGTGTTTTATTATACCTTTTTATATAATTCTTTTGTATTAGGAAGTGCTGTTTGTATTTGTTAATACTTATTGTTTGAGCCACTTTGAGCTGAACTTGGCCGTTGCAAAAGCAGCATACAAATATTAACAACCATTACAATTAACTCTACTCTAAAAATTAAAAAAGAGCAGCTAGTCATAGACTACCCTGTCAACCAAGGGAAAAGTAAACTCTCCAAGTTGAGAAAAGGAATGGAGATAGAGGGAAAGCTCCAGCTAAAACCTTACTACTTGATAAATGAGACTCACAAAGTGCTTTAAATATAAGCTGCATAACAACAAATACAAGAAAGCAAATATCTAAACCCTCAAGGTTTTGTCCTATATTTGCTGGCATATCAGAATGCCTGGGAAATATTTCTATTCTCTATTTTATAGAAAATGTGGAACAAAGAACAAAACTCTTGGTTCAAACTGATTTTTAAGTAAAGTATATGCTGACATAATTAATAATACACAAAGTGGTTCAACATTTCTTCCGCAAAATGACTGTTTGATTTGGGACAATCAAATTTTGGCTGAATAAACTAGGAAGTGCCCAAGCCGCATACACCCGCACTTCACTCTGCATGCTCCTTTATCCTTCACTTCTTTTTTCATGCAAGTGACAAAATAAACTTGCAAGCACCAATTAAACAGAGCTTCCCGTTCATGTCCAAACTGTGAACTACAATTAACAGCTTCCAAACAAGCCTTAAAGTTGGCTTCTGATTTTAACTTGTTTGGATGCAATTAATGATGATTCCTGGCAGGGCAGTCTTAAGCATATCCGGCACCGTGATGCAAAGATCCCTCCGGCACCCCACCCCCCCGTTTCCAGGAGCTGTCAACCTTTTTTTAGGGGTAGGACCCCAAAGTCCTTGACCTTTTTTAGGGAATGTTCCCCAGAGTTGTTGACTTTTTGATCACTGCAGTGGGCTGGACTTGGGTCCCCTTGGGTCCCTTCCAACTTTATAATTCTAAGATTTAATAAAAGGTCCTTACAACATAATGCATTTAGTCCCATATGATTAAGCAATTAAAAATAAATGTGTCCCCCAACCCTGAAAATAATGCACTCAGATAAACTGGTTTGTGCAGATCTTTTTGAGTAAGATGCTTCAGTCATAATAACAGGCTACATCCAGCTAAAACCTACTTAGGGCAGACCCTTTGAAATTAATGTTTGGATTTTTAATTCATTTCAGTGAGTCTACTCTGAGTAGGACTAGCCTCTGAGGCAAAAATATTATACAGTGGAACCTCGGGTTGCGAACGTGATCCGTGTGGGAGGCATGTTCGCAACCCACAGCACTGCGTATGCGCACACGCGGGTCACGATTTGGCGCGTATGCGAATGCGGAAGTGCCAAAACCCGGAAGTAACCTGTTCTGGTACTTCCGGGTTTGGCGTGGTGCACAATCCGAAAACGCGTAACCTGAAGCGTCTGTAACTCGAGCTACCACTGTATAGTAATAACAAACAGAAGCATTCTCGGCACTGTAAAAATATATAAGTTTACAAATTAAGCACCGGTTCTTCCCAAAGTTACATAAATGGTTAATGACCATGTTAAAAATAATCATCAGGGGATATAGTATTTGGGGGGGGGGAGGAGCCAAATGACAGTTAGTCCAGCCAAGTCAATGGAGGGAGCCTCCCTCAGACTCTAGAGCTAGACAGTATGGCCACAGATGCAGATTGTTCTAGTTTGGCTCCAAGTACAACAGGCCTATCAAATCTGACATGGCGATAACTAGGATATTTGTGAGATTGAGATATGAATGAATTCAAATTACATGCTGCAGCTCATCAGCTCTTAATATATTCCCAGTTGTCTTTTGTGGTGAAGAATTTAATTCTTCAGAATATTATTGATGAATTCCATTTGCAAAATGGGAAGCAAGCCAAAAATGGGGGGAAACGCATTATGCTGCAATCCAAGCTAGAATTATTAGACAAGCCAAGAACTGCAGTTCAAACCCTTTCATTTTGTTTAATCAGCTTCTTTAAACCACTAAACAAAGGGTTCAAGGAGCATGCCTGTTACTTGAAAATGCTTGTTCCCTGTGTGGGTACCAAACAATACACCAACCTTTTCCTCCCCTCATAACCTTTTCACAACAACAAAAAATTAAATACCCCTTTACAGGCCCCGCAGAATAAATAATAATATGTAGAAAGCATGTAAGCAGCACAGGCACTACATGTATTCTGGGTAATCCCTCAAAATAAGGTTTAACTGCTAAGTCATTTTGCCAACACTATAAGGGAGGTGAACAGAGAGTGCTCTGGCCTTTGATGCCCATTTAGATCTACAATTAATAATTAAATGCCACACACTGAGTAAAACTGCAGATAAGAGTGTGCTGTGTGGTCAGTCAAAAGCTTCTCCCAGGCTCACATCTGTTAAATAGGAAAGCAAGTTATAGCACAGCATTTATACACTAATCTGACAATATTTGAGGGAAGGCTGTGCATGAAGCTATCACAGGGCAGGAATGTAGAAAATGGCTCTTGGGGCTAGGGGCTAAAGGGTTTGAACTGGTGCACGCAGTTACGTTTTTGTAGCGATCATCCGTAAGTTGCTGCCCATCTGCCACTTATCTTACGTTTGAATTCCATCTTATGGTATGAAAGTGCGTGTGCTTCGGCTACAATCATATGTACATAAAACTCACTACACACAGGAAGGTGTTGGGGCAACATTGTGCTTGTGTAGATGCACGTAACTGGGATTTACAATTGACAGTGGCTCTACATGCTGACCATTTCTTCAACTATACATACATCTATACACCATGTACAGATTATTGCTCAATTCATTGTACTCAGCTGAGTGCAATGAAGCTTAGAGAGCAATCCTAACCAGTGAAGATAAGAAGGGACAACTCTCCTGTGTTAGACAAGTTGCAGCCTAACTGCATCTAGCGGGGGGTGGGGGTGGAGGAGTGGCAATATAATTCATTTGCTGCCTGTCCTATGAGATGAATTTCATTACACCTGCATTTTTGATATTGTAAGTTTATTTTATGTATTCATAGATGTATTACTTAACACCTTAGTCTCTAAGTGGTGCACAGTAACATTAAAATGACAACAAAAATCAGTTAAAAACAAAAACCATAAAATGCCTGCTGAAATAAAAAAAAGTCTTCCTTAGGCATTACACCAAGATCTGTGGATGAAACTCACAAATGAACAGAGTTAGGATACAGTTTGCCCTCTATACCAGCATAACTTGCACTGGAGAGTTGCCCCCTAGCCAGCAGGAACATATATTCCAGGGTGGCAAGGCAAATCAGACCTGAGCTGGCAGGGGTATGTGTTAGAATGGCCAAAGCTGTACTGATGCCCAGCCCTGCTGGCCCCCCACTGCCTCCAGAATGATGCAAGCATCACCCTGCTGGCACACATCCTTACCCTTCTGCCCACAAGCAGAGCCCAAAAATGGGGGGGGGGCAGTGAAGGGACAGAGCTAAGCTAGCCTGGTATCTGAGCCAGGCCTGTTGGCTGAACCAGCTGCAAGCTAGTGCAACCATCTGTCTGTCCCTCCCCTTCTGCCCAGGCTGCTGTGAGCACAGGGCGAGAGATGCCAAGGCAGCCCCACCTCCACACTGTTTTAAAGTCATTTATACTGGGTTCAGGCCAGCTCAGCTGTGGGGTGGTGGGGATTTGCCACATCCTGACCTAACCTATCCCAACTGGCCTATCTGGGAGTTAAGATTCCATCAATACTCCTAGATAAATAAACATAGAATTGAGGTGTGGAACAGAGCCCAATTACATTCAGATCAGTGTTTGAAACTCCCATTGTTCTAGGCGCATTTTGCGACAGGGAATGTCATTAGTGCGGGCAGTTTCTGAGTTCTGGGAGCAATACAGTGGTACCTCGGGTTAAGAACTTAATTCATTCTGGAGGTCTGTTCTCAACCTGAAACTGTTCTTAACCCGAGGTACCACTTTAGCTAATGGGGCCTCCCGCCACCACCGCATGATTTCTGTTCTCATCCTGAAGCAAAGTTCTTAACCCGAGGGTTAGCGGAGTCTGTAACCTGAAGCGTCTGTAACCCGAGGTACCACTGTACTTTAATTTCAGATTAAAACTGCAGAGTGGAAGGAAAGTAGGACCTTTTTCTGCCACCCCAATTCCAGCTACTCTGAAGACTGGAGAAGAGACCTTCTTAAGAATATTAGGGGAAGGGCTAGACCATGTGAAAAATAAACATAATATTTTAGTTGCAGTTCATTCATTTCCAGCTTTTGTATTCTTTTTATAAAAATGTGCACCTAGACATATAGGCATTGTTGCATGCATAATTTTAAATGGGTTATTATGCGCCCATAAATGGCTTAAGGTGCCATTTAGCTCTTAGCTTTCATATCTCAGTTTCTAACACTGATTCAGATGATTAACAAAGACAAGTAATGATCAGTTTTAAAGAACATCACTTGCATTGTCCTTGAGACAAATTACTAGCATATATATTTAATCAACAAGGAGGCTCTAAAATTTTATTCCTGTGATAAGGCAGTTGGAAGAAGTTTATGCACATTTCTCCCTCAAGAAAATGAAATCAAACATTTTCAGATATGTTAATGAGATGGAAGAGTGCTTCTTTTCACTTAAAAATACAAGGTGGAGAACATTCTGCTGTGATTACTAGGCCTAGAAACAACTCAGCAGTGTGCATGCGACTGACCGAGTCATAAGAAGAGGATTATACTTTCCACTGTGAGGACAGAGGTCATTAAGAAGCAAATGCTGCATGGAAAAGCTCTAATTTTACTAGATATTCCTTTAATAGCAAACATTTTAATGCTACCCATATTGAGCTGAAATGCATGAAATCTGCCATAAATCTGATGTATACATAGACACAGCAAACAGAGAAAACTATTGGTTAGGAATAAGGTTTATGGAGCAGTAGATTTTTAGGAGGTATTACAACAGTATATTTGCTTTGAATTGCCAAGCTTGTTATGCAGCAATCCAAGCAAAGCCCTAGGGAGATAATACTGCAATAACCCTCATGGAAAGATGGTTTATATATCAACCAGATGATCATTAGCAAAATAAAACTTCAGAAGGTATTGTGAAAGCAGTTTCATCCTCAAAGCCCATGAGAGCCTTTAATTAAACTAAATATTTTTTGCTTTCACTACATTCGGAGTCAACAAAGGAACTTTCGTTCTGTGAGCGACAGGTAACCAGCACTCCTATCCCAGGAAGAGGACAAAAAATGTTAGTGGAAAATACAAGTGTGGAGTTGTTGTTGTTGCTGTTTTAGCGTACAAAAAGGGTGCGTTTTAAAAACACATTACTGAAACATTATACACTAAGTGCAAGGAGGAGGATAAAGAATGACAATAGAATTATTACTGGCTCAGGGTGGTGGCGAATGGATCTTGCTTGGAAAGTAACTGGGATGGCTGCTTAAACAATGCATGCTTACATGGGAATGTATTCTACTGAACACAATAGGACTCAACTTCAGGGTTGCACTCCACAGCTGTTACTATGCACACAACATGCAAGCATGTCACACACTAAAACAGTCCAGTTATTTGGCTTATCAGATTGCACTTTATGAGAAATAAGTGGAGTGGAGGGGGGCGGGCGATTTTCCTGGTTTCTCTTAAGGTTCAAAAGTGGCAGTTTGTTACGGGACAAGAAGAGAACCGGCCATTCAAGGAGGTCAGCTGTGTTTTGATTCTCAGGAAACAGCTCCGACTTCAGCGAATCACAGCAGAGCAAGACACCTTTGCTCGAAGCACTCAAAAATGTACCTTGAGAATATATATATATAGCATCCATAACTCTACCGATCCACAGGAAAGAAATAACAGTGGACCTCACACTTTCCATAGAAAATTCATCAAATTTTGCCATGCGGGTCTCTTCAAAACTTTTTCTACCTCCCATCATGCAGAATGAGGGTGGGGTGTGGATACCAAAACATTACCCCCACACTCCAATATATAGATATACAGCATAGATACATCACCGAGCGCGAAGCTGAGAGGGGAAAGGAGAGCGGAGAGACACCCCTTCCAGAAAGGAACCGGCGTGCGCGCCTTTCCGAACCGCTTGGCCGCCGAAGGAACTGACCTTCCTCCGCCTGCGCTTCCATTTCCCCCTTCAGGGCCCTCTGGGATCCGCTGCTTCGGCTGAGGAGAGACTCGCTGCGGCCCCTCGAGCGCTGCGCCGCTTCCCGCGCTTCCCGACTGTTGCTCCCGCTAATCGCCAGCCGCTACCGGCTCGCGCTCGCTCGGCTCCCTTCCCTCTCGCTCGCGCGCGGGGAGGCGCTTCGATACAGCGCCACCTGCAGGCTCGCTTCCCGCCCAGTACCCACGCGCCCGCCCGCCCGCCCTCGGGGCCGCTTTTTATACACGTGACAAGCTGCGCGGTGGTCAACACGTTTCTCTCCGCCGGGGCGGGCAGGTGGCGTGGAGGCGCGCACGACCTTCAGCTGGAAAACGTACGTTTAAAATGCCTCAGATGTACTATCGCCTAATGGTTTTGCATGTACTACCTACTACTGAAATGTGAAAAATGACTCAACAGCCTGGCTCATAGGTTCCCCATTTTTCTAGTTAAAGTGAAAGCACCGCGCTGTTTTTTCTAAGAATGGCTTTTTAAAACCCAGGTCAAGGGAGAGATTGTTTTTGTTCCTGCACGTCCTGCACTTCATACTCCCCTCCCCGCCTCAAGTTCTCTGAGGGAGTCCATACTAGCAAGGAGCTGCAGTTCCTTTTCTGAAGAGGCACACCAAATCCCCTCAGTTTTTACTTTTAGAAAGTTAGTGAAGGCAATTTTGCTCCAGTGGATCTTACTTCTAGATTAGTTCTCAGAGTCATTGTTGCTGCTTATGTCTGGAATCGGCTGGGCAGTTTCTTCTGTTTTCTGCTGCTGCTTCAGTATGTTTTTATAACGATGTTGTTACTGTTAAGACTGCAAGGTGGCTGTGTTAGTTTAAATGCAAATACATAAGTGCACAGATGAGGAAACTTCAGTGATTGGTCTGTTTAGGGAAGTTTTTAATGTTTAACATGTTTTTAATATTCTATTGTGAGCTGCCCAGAGTGGCTGGGGAAAGCCAGATGGGCAGGGTGCAAATTGTTTGTTTCTTATTATTGTTGTTGTTGGTGGTGTAGCCAGAGAGCCGGGTTTGAATTTGGGACAGATTCAGATCCAAGCTCAGCTGTGATCCTCACTTGCATGAGCAGCTATCCCTTTAACCACTCTGTCTCATTGTAAGGATAACTACTGCTTTGTGTTCCTTGTATTTTTATGCTGTGAAGTGCCCTGAGATATACAGATGAAGGACAGTATACAAATTTAATTAATAATAGTAATAATAATCCATGTAGTAAATCAGTAAAGGATAGCACACAACTTTTCTCATTCTCCGATTATTTCTGTAAATTTCCCAAGGCCTAACCAACCCTTATCCATGTGTAAAGCAAACATATGAACATGTTATATCCATTTTTTCCTATCTGTTAAAGGACTCAACCAAATCCTAAATCAGCTTCAGGCTGAGTAACTTTGAGCAAGCACATTCCAACTGTAATTTCTCATATATGATGAAATGGGAAAAATAACAATGAAGCTCAGAACATAATAACAATGAACCTGCTATGAAGAAAAGCAGAGAAAACTAGCATTATATCCCCAAAGGCTCACAACTAGTTTCACATGTAAAGCTGGACTCTCCACTTATGATAGTGGCATTTTAAAAATATGTTTTGTATTGTGTATGTCTGTCTTTTTCCAAGGGAAACAAGCCATATGTCCCGCTTAGGTTCATGTCAAGTCACTGTCTGGATTGTGGCATTTACATGGACATACACTTAAGAGGATGAATATCATTAGCATAATTGCAGATTCCTCTTGGAACAAATAGTTAAGACCTTTTCCTTGAAAGGGTTTAGACATGGGTAGGCAAGCTAAGGCCCGGGGGCCGGATCCAGCCCATTCACCTTCTAAATCCGGCCTCCGGACGGTCCGGGAATCAGCATGTTTTTATGTGAGTAGAATGTGTCCCTTTTATTTAAAATGCATCTCTGGGTTATTTGTGGGGCCTGCCCAGTGTTTTTACATGAGTAGAATGTGTGCTTTTGTTTAAAATGCATCTCTGGGTTATTTGTGGGGCATAGGAATTTGTTTATTTATTTATTTATTTATTTATTTATTTATTTATTTCAAAATATAGTTCGGCCCCCACAAGGTCTGAGGGACAATGGACTGGCCCCCTGCTGAAAAAGTTTGCTGACGCTTGGTTTAGAGTGACATGAGTTTTCTTGATTTAAAGGAGGAAAAAGGCATACCATTACTTAGGTGGGGGTGGCGGCGTCTAAAACAAGCAACTGCCTAAAGCAGTCTGTAACACTGCACATTACAAACTTCGTATTGCATCTTAATTTTGTTTCTTACAGATAAAAGTGTGAAAGATCATATAGCTGCCTAAGGCATCCTTCAATTTATACATGTGTAACGATCTTCCTGAAATCTGCCTGTGAACTGGTTTTGAATCAGAAATATTGTGGAATATAAATTATTAATTGCTTTCTTGGGCAAGTTGGCTCCTTTGCAATTTGCATTTCTACTTGGGATAAAGAAGAGATTTGTTATTTATGTGGGAATAGGAAGATGCATTTGAAAACCATAGATGTGGTTTTGGGTTTTTTTTTACATATTTTTAAACAGGCACATTTAAACATAAACATAGAAGGGTCATAGAAACCAGTGGATTTTCATCCACAGATTACCAAAACTTTTTGCTGGCAAGGTATCAGTGCTTACACTTTATATATATCAATTATAAAGATCAATGTATTACCATATAAAACAACCAGCCAAGGAAATGCTTAAGTTGGACCATATCGACAAAAATATGCTAAGACTACCATAAGAAGGTGCTCTAATATGATGACCTGAAGAGCAAGTCACACACAACAACTAAAGTAACACGCACACACACACACACACTCTATCTATCTATCTATCTATCTATCTATAAACAGATTAAAAACCCTAAACATTGTAGGTGTTTTTACAAAACAGATTAAAAATCCTAAACATTGTAGGTGAAACCAAGTGTGCCACTCTGCTTGTGGAAAGAACTTTTGATCCAACAGACACCTCTAACAGTAGAAATGTAGGGGAGTCAATTTCTACTATAAATTGTCTAGGTCACATTACACCATATAAATGTTGTTTAAAATTCATCAGTGTTCAAAATTCTAAGACATCAAAACCCATCTACAATACCAGATTCCTATTTTCCCATTTTGACTACAACATCTGTCATTGACTTGTTGAGTTTCTTCATTGAATTTGCCATTTTGGAGATTTTATCCCATTTTTCTGATTCAAGAGACTGATGTAACACATGCCTTGTTTTTAACGCTGATATTGCTTCATCCAGCTGTAGCATCTTATTGGAAGTCTGTAGAAGACTGCTTTCTTTATCAATGAGCTAAAGAAGGAAAATTGTGAAAGAAAAGATGTTCCTTAGGAACAAATATTAAGCAAACATTTTTTTAAAAAATACACTGAATACCTCTTTCTTCTCTTTCCTAACAAGAAAAGGAAGTGCTTAGGAAATGGTACAGTGGGTCTGGGCTGCAGCAACTGGAGGATGCTTAACCCATTCCTCTTTCCTGAAAATCACCTCTCAAACAACCTTTTGCCCAAAAGGTGCTGCAAGCAGACATACTGTATCAGGTGGTGAATGGCTGCAGTGGTTTTTCGAATGGATGGTGTGACTAATATTGTGGGAAAGGCTTGTGAATAGTGTGCTTTATGTTGACTGGGAATTTGTACCATGCTGCCTAGAAATTTTCTCCAATTTTAGTTATATATAGTTATTATAGATATGGATATTGTGTCTTTATGTATTTGGATTTTTCAATGTAAAGCATCTGAAATTGGGCTTATGGGACATCTGTATATTTTAATCATGTATCTGGGTTTTCCTTATTGTAAACTGCTTAGAAATTCATTAATAGTAAGAGGCCTACTTACAAAGAAAAAAGTAAGAGGTCTATAAATGGATGAAACTAATGGATGGCAAACTCAGTTGAGTACATTGGGAAAATGTTAATTCCCTCACGTTGTGGTCGCAATCCAGACTGGGTTCCCTGCAGCTGCTTTTTTTTAAAAGAGGAAAGACTGGTGCTAATCACATTTTTAAGCATCATGATATGCATAAGCATAATATGTAGTTTGGCCCTAGGCTTACAAGCAAAAGCAAATTAGGTTTGCAGTTATATTTGTGCTTTATAATAAGACTGCAAACCTATGCATGCTTTCTTGGGAATACTTCCACAGAATTCAATAGGATTTACTTCCAAATAAACACACATAAGAGTACAATGTAAGGATTACTCAGACTTCATAAAGTATGCACAAATGATATAAATGCATATTTCCCTCACTTACACCTGCTTCCACTTCCTTCCCTTCCCTTTGTTATTTCATTTATGTCAAGTATTACATCCTAAGCCACCTTGGGGTATGGGTCCTTTGGTACTCTGTAAAGCACCATACACAATGATAGTGCTATACAAATAATGATGATGCATTGTCCACCACATACATCATTAAATAAAGTAGGGTTTGTCAAGGGAAGCTCATAATGGCAAATGTCCCCAAATTATCAGTAAATAACATGATTTACATATTTGTCATCATGACTACATTACTTCTGGTAACAAGCAGTACACTTCTGAATACTAATTGCTGGGGATGTCAAGCAAGCATTAATATGTTCATGTCCTGTTTGTGGGATTCACAGAGGTATATGCTTTTCTTATGTTCTTATATATACATAGGAATTATCTATTTGGGCTCCAACTGAGCCCAAAATGGCTTTGTTTGCAGACCCGCAACTTCATTATAGACTGGATAAAAGAGTTTACCTGGTTCTGTAGATTAGATGCAAGATCAACCAGCAGAACTTTGTCTCTTTTTAGTTCAACGTTGTCCTGCTCCTCTCTGTCCAACAAGGCTCTTGCTTCAGTTACTTGACTGCTCATTGTTGCAATGCTTAACTTAAAAGATGTGTTTCCTTTTCCCAAAATTCTAATCTGTTAGAAACCACAAACAATAAATAAACCAGAAAGAGAGATAATAAAAGACTAAAGTATCAAAATAAAAATGTTTCTGAAATGTTTTGTCTCGGAAACTAATGTCAGTGTAATGGAAAAAGAAAATATCACCAGTCTTGAAGCAATGATTCTTCAACATCAACTTGGCCGGACTGGTCATGTGGTTCGGATGTCTGCCAAAGCAACTACTCTATTTCCAACTTAAGAATTGAAAGCGAAATACTGGTGGACAGTAGGTAAAGGGGCCCCTGACCGTTAGGTCCCGTTGCGGAGGACTCTGAGGTTGCGGCACTCATCTCGCTTTACTGGCCAAGGGAGCCGGCGTTTGTCTGTAGACAGCTTCTGGGTCATGTGGCCAGCATGACTAAGTTGCTTCTGGAGAACCAGAGCAGTGCACAGAAATGCCGTTTACCTTCCCGCCAGAGTGATACCTATTTATCTACTTGCACTTTGACGTACTTTTGAACTGCTAGGTTGGCAGGAGCAGGGACCAAGCAACGGGAGCTCACTCCGTCGCAGGGATTCGAACCACCGACCTTCGGATGGGCAAACCCTAGGCTCTGTGGTTTAGACCACAGCGCCACCAGTGCCACCGTAAAAGAGGTTTAAAGATGCTCTTGAAGCAAATCTTTAAAAATGCAGTATAAGCATAGATAATTGGGAAACACTGGCCTGCAAGCACTCCAATTGGATAATAGCCTTTACCAAAGGCATAATAGAAGTGAAGAAGCAAGAAAATGGGACAAAATGAGCTAAGAGGAAGGCACGTTTGGCAAATCCTCACCGTGATCAACTCCCGCCCAGAAACCTATATCCGCACTGTGAAAGAATGTGTGGATCCAGAATTGGCCACCACAGTCACTTAAGAACACACCGTTAAGACCATGTTTATGGAAGACAATCATACTTGGCCACAAGTGATTGGCAAAGAAAGAAAGAAAGAAAGAAGAGTTTGACCCAGTCAAGAAAAATCCTTCAGTATCCCTTTATGCCTAGATTAGTGTTCTGATCTATGAACCTGCTAAGAAATGAGTCCTATTGCTCATTTTCAGAATTATAAAGCACTAAGAGAATCTCTAGCATCATACAACCTTATCCTCAAGATCCTGGAAGATGTTATTTTCCTGTTTCAGGAGTTCTTGGTGCCTCTTGATCTCTTGTCGCAGATGTTCTTCACGATCTTTCAAAGTAAGAAACTGAGCAATGCTGGCAGAGTGTGATGTATAGCTCTCCTCCTTGAGTGCTTTCTCCTGTAGCAAGTTATACAAGGGTGAACTAAGCATGAAATTACATATCTTGTACAGTTCTTGAAAGCACAGCAGTTGATCAGTGGCATTTGGAGTAATAACCTTCAAATAATTTAGTTGTGTAGCTGGACCCTTTCCTATGTCTGCCTACACAGGCTTTAACTTCCTACAGCTCCTAGTTAATTGGCCTCCTTAATGAAAGCTCCCAGCGAAAGGTTTGGAAAAGCATGCACTTATAACAAAGGACAACTCAGGAGGCACATGCTTTTAGTGCCTAACCAGTTGTACAAATGAAATTGGTTAAAACAGGTAATAGGAAAAATATAGAGCACAAGTCTGCTACATGACTGTTTTTTGGCCAGCATAACTCACAATGGATACACATCCATATTTGTCTACTATGAAGATAAATGAAGAATCAGTTTCAAATCCAAACAAGTTCTGTGTGTCTTTAATCTGTTTGGAATCGGGAGAATCGGGTGCAGTGAATAAATGTATCCAGCTCTTCCTATGTAATGCCCTTGAAAACACAGGTCACTCAGATTTTCTTTTCCTTGTTTCTTGGTGTCTGAATTGTCCTAACATTATGCTTTTGCTCAACACTCAAGGGATATTATATAATTATTATTATTTTCCCAAAGTGTTATTTAAACACTGAAGGAAATTATTTATACCCAGATCTCACAATCTAATTTGCATGACATAGATGTATTTTAAAAGTAGTAACATTTTCACCCCTTGAGAGATAGAGGAAGAATGAATATTCAGTTGGCCTACTTCTATCAGTGGCTTCCAGGAATTTACAGATTCTTTATTCGTCAACTATTTACTGGTTTATGCAAGTGAACTATAAAAAATAATTATTTGGCAACTTCCACGCACAAATCTGTTGAAAAACAGGAACTCTCCTATGTACAATCTTCTGCAAATAGTTTATATCAATTGGTTAGATTGTTTCTTTTCTTACAATGTTTGTTTGCCTGGTAAGTTCCAAGAGCCTGGACCGCAGTGCAGAATTTTCCTTGTTCAGTGCTGTATAATCACCCACCATTTTACTTCTTAAGAAACGATCCTGTTCTGCTAGTAGCTCTCTCTCACGTATTTGTTGATGAAGGAGAGATATCTCATTCCTAACCAGAAAATGTACGCACATTTTATTTATCCAATCATTTATATCCTGCTTTTTGATTCAAGGAACACCTAACTTCCTAAGACAGCTTCACAACAATTAAAATCCACAGTAAAATAAGTCACCACAATAAAAAATAATAATCAAATCAAATCAAAGAAAAACTTGAACAGATAAAGGAATGGGTTATAATAGAAGAGCAATAATCAACTAATAAGCATGCTCTCCAAACACATGGATGAAGCCTGGTCCCTTGTGTGCTGGGGTACCCAATTCCAGGCTATGAAATGAAGTTCTGCAAGGACACAACTTTCTCTTTCCTGCAGCAGAAACTGTATTACTAAATCACAGCAGTTTTCAAAACTGTAAGGCAGGTCCTCCATATGGGAGACAATATGTTTCATGACTGGGTCAAGAGCTGGAAGTGAATTGGCTCTTATTTCTTTTAGGCTACTTGGATGCAATCAATTATGAATAAAGGCATGAGTGGGCAGATGGTCATGTAACTTTGTGGATATTTGCTGAATTTAAAACAATGCAACCTCAACTAGTCTTCACAATCTGCCAGATTCATTTGTTGATACCGTAGTTCGTGAGTGATTTGTTCTTGCATCGCTGCTGTTTTCTTAAAGATCTTATCTTCCATTTCATTCACAGCAGATTGAACTTTCAATAACTCCTGCCTCTTTTCAGAAAGCTGCAACTCCACCGCCTTCTGCTGTTCTGACCGTTGCTTAACCTTGATTTAAATTCAACAGGTGAAAGAAGGTAAGTATAGTTTATCACAGCTCAAACCTGGTTGCATGAATATGTGTCAATATTTGGGGCTTACAAATGGTTGCCATTCTGCAGTTTCCCAGATAGCAACATCATGTATGCAGATGAAGTTTCTGGATCCTTTCAGAAAGAGTCCAAAGATACAGCATGAGTAAAACACACACACAAGCAACTGAAGGCTTTATGCAGGGGGCTTCTTGCTTTATTGAGTTTGTATGAACACAGCCAAACAGATGGCCTGCTCTATCAACACCAGTCATCTGTTTTTATATGGTGATGACTAATTCTAGGCACCAACAACATCATAAGATGCCTAAGCTGGCCTTCTTTTCAGCAACGAGACTGAAATAGTATCACCGTAACTGTGGTGTAATATCCCCCAAACCAGACTGGGTAACAGTCTTGAGGCTTTGACCTCCCCTTGTAGCAGGTTGCTTGGTTGACTCATTTAAGACATTTTGGGTCGCTTTTCCTAAACTGTTGTCTGAATCATACAGGCACCTCTGGTGTGAGATATCTAACTGCTGTCCTCCTCTGCCAGACTACAATGATAATCATATAGTGGTACCTTGGGTGACATACACTTCAGGTTGCATACGCTTCAGGTTACAGACTCCGTTAACCCAGAAATAGTGCTTCAGGTTAAGAACTTTGCTTCAGGATGAGAACAGAAATCGTGCTCCGGCAGCGCGGCAGCAGCAGGAGGCCCCATTAGCTAAAGTGGTGCTTCAGGTAAAGAACAGTTTCAGGTTAAGTATGGACCTCTGGAACGAATTAAGTACTTAACCCGAGGTACCACTGTATTGGTATTTGCAGTAATTGCTAGAAACAAAGCAATCAGATTACCTTTGCTTGTAGTACAAGGATAGTATGTTCTGTGTTACTCAGGTTCATCTGTTGCTGCTCCAGTTCCTGTTGAGCACGCAATATCTCTACCTCTTTTGCAGAGATCTCTCTGTCATTTTGTTCCTTCTTTCTCTTTGGTGCTATGATTTCTTCTACCAAAGCCTGTTTCTCTTTTGAATGACGCTCTAAAGGAGAAAGGGAGGAGAATGTAAAACTCCAATTCTAATTCCAATTGCTAGGATAAATAGGAATTTATTTCTAAAGCCTAAAACAGAACACTTAAAAACAGAAGTCGAACTATAGTTCCATAGTCAAATTAATTGACACACCATTTGAGGAAGCGCTAACTGAAATGAAACCAAATCCAAAAGTTTGATGCTGCTTTCTTTTAAGCATATCATTAGAGCTGCATTTAGAAGAGCTCAGAATGAGAAGCGGGGACCCCCAATTTCTTTGCATGGCAAGTTCCCAAATCCTCCCGGGAAGTTGGAATAAAGACACATGAAACAGTATTTTGGGTTAATGAGTGAAAAAGGCCACAACGTTATTGGTTACAGAATATGAGTGGTGTTGGCTTAGGCATTGGAAACCACAAAACTATCTGATTCCTGCCTGTTCACAGGAAGTCTTGGGAGGGTTAACCACCAGTAGGGGGAGTCCTGCTGACGCACATCAACTAGGAACTCCCTCAGGGTCACCGCTAGGGGTCGTGCCATGGCCCTAGCCCCCTGTCTGGTGCTTCGGACAGAGACCATGCCCCCCGGATTCCTTTAACGGAATACCCTTGAATTAGGAGGGGTAGGTGATGGCCACTACCTCCCCTCCCCTTCAACCAAATATTCCAATGCCTAGCCGCCAAACCTTACAGAGTTGTGACAATTTGCTACGAGGTAGGCGAAAAACCAAATGGCTGGTTCCAATTTGCCAAGTGGAAAAAATTCCTACCAGACCCCTTCAACAGGCGACCAACCGAGGTCCATAGTAAAGTCAAGAGATAATGAGCCTAACCTTAGGGAGGGAGGGCGGGAGAACTGAGCGAGCAGGAAGAAAAGGGTGAGAGTCCTCAGTTGTGGGCAGTTTAAATAGCCCGCACCATGCCCCCGGGCTGACATGGCCGAGGACCCCAGCCCGCAACGTCATTTCCCCAGGAATGGGAAATGGCTTTCTCATGTGTTGTTTTTTATTTTTGTGAATAATCTGCCTGATCTACTCATGGCAAACATTCATTAAATGTATTGTGTGTTACCATATGTGCTCCTTAGGGAGACCTTAAAAGCTTCTCTTTCTGTCACAGAATGCAGATCTACATTACTATAATGTCCAGGGTAGAGATGGTTATGAAATTCATTAAAAGTGAGCAAAAAAGTGACATCTGTCGAAGCTTGCATGCTTGCACAAATTGAAGTTCAAAGCGTGATACAAAGCTTGCAGTCAAGTAACTATATTTTCATGAATCGTAACTTGTATAATTCTCGAGATACTGTTCCCAAAGCCCACATCATTGAAAAAAATCACACCACTCTATTCCTGCTCCCCTTTTTATTGGCCTACTTCTCATAAAAGTCTTCATCATTGAACCATTATCTTATAGATATTCCTTGTTAAAGAAAGGCTGAATGCATACAGGTGTGATCAGTATTACAAAAAAACAGAACAGAAGAGCAAAGCCAGCCAGCTAAAGCCAGCCACTGACACAGTTTAATAAAATATATTTTACAGAAATGATCCAAACTCAGGTAAATACAACAACAGTTAAGAGATTAAGTGAAGGGGTAGATGGTGTATCAGCAATACACGGGGCTAGTAGTTTTGTCAAAGGAGAAAAAGCTAAGCTGGGGAAAAAATTAAGTTGTTTGTTTAGTTGTCTGCCCTGCAGGCAAAAAAAGAAAACAGTGCCAACAAGGGGGCTGCTTGGAAGCAGGAGACCAGTGGTGGAGGATTGTAAATAATAATACAGAATGTCAACTGCATATAATATTATAGATCGTAGAAATAAGTTAAAAAACCACACCATTCTTCTGTGTTACTTTTGTGTTTCCAGGGGGACGATAATTTGCATTAAAGTCAACATCAGTCATGACATTTTTGAGCTAGAGACCTACTTTTTCAGCTCAAAGATCTAAATCTCAAAAGCAGAGGAATTTCAAGGTTGATATTCAAATTAAGGGCTGGATTGAATTACTGGACAGTTAGAACACAGCATTTTGCATTCATATTCTAAATGTTAGGCTTCAGAAAGAAAAGCCATTTATCCGAAATGGCCTTTGGATAGAGATGATTTCAAGATAGGAGATACAATGAAGAAATGTATACATCACCAAAATAGTGTGACACTTAAAATCATACAAACTGATGTGCTCAACTGGATAATGGATGTAAAGTGAAAAGGTCAAAAGAAGTGCCTTAGGCAGGAGGAGCTGCAGGAACCACTCAAACATTTATCAAAGTTAATAGTGCAGAAGGTGGGGAGAAGGGAATGTAAACCAAAAGGAAAATGTAATAAATAAAACTATGGTTTTGAGCAGTGCTTTTTTTCTGGGGGGACGCAGTGGTACGCCTACCCCTAAACATTTTGTGAATCTAAGTTTGGCCTCATTGAGGGGCAGTATTTCAATATGAATAGGAAAATGAGAGTACCCCTAACCATTTTTTAAGAAAAACACTAGTTTTGAGTGTGTAAAAAGATCTTTGAACAAGCAGTAAGATGATATTAAAACTAGAATATTAAACAGTAGTATTAAAAATGGAAAACAAGAAGAAATCCCAAGACTTCTTGAGCAAAAGTAAAGATACATCCTGCTTTTTAGAAAGAGAAATAAAAAACAAAGATAGTATTTAAAAGGCAGATAAATTCAGAATTACACATTAAATTCAATAATGCAAACATCTCCTAGTTCATGAAATTCTTGTGTTTGTGGAGACTACTTGTTTTTCAGTCAAGGCTTGAAATATAGTTTAACAGTAGTCAAAGCATGCTCATTGTAAGTCATGATGCTGTATGCTTATGGAGTGGCCTACAACACTTCTGCAGGGACCAATGTTGTGCTTTTCTGTGCTGCCAAGCTTATGCTGAAAATTAAGAAAATGCTCATGTGTAATAGTTGATCTCAGATTTTGGAAATTTATACATTTTTTTACTGTATGATTTCATGTATAATTGTCGTAAACCACTCTGATTACACACACACACACACACACACACACCATATAGCCGCATATAAATATGTTTTATAAATAAATAAACTTTACTATCTCAGTGAATTTGAGAAAGAGACAACTTTTAAAGCAAAATTGTCAAAGGGAAGGTAATCTTCATGGAAATTGTAACTAGGGAAGGAAAGGCTACCTCTTCCCTCTCCAGCTGCATTCTTTACAAAGATCCTGTCCTCCAAGCTACAATTAGGCATGAAAACAGCCTTCCATTGGCAGCAATACAGAATTAAAGAATGCAAAAATACAATTACATTACAGAAAGGATAATCAATAAACTCCATCACTGGAAACAAACTATACTTATCCTGAAGTCATAATTTGAAGTAGTAATACACACTTTCACCACGTGGTGGTGGTATTCTTTTTTAAAAGAATAGCACGGGATGGGAGGGAGTCGGAACCCTGAACCTCACTCTTCAAAAATGCAGCATTTCTATCTATATTTACACATGCTCCCTATTAAACATCTTGCTTCTTTCACCTTCTGTGTAATGATTTATCAATATCAAGCACCACTTGGCTCTTCAGAACTAGTAAAGATCCAGTGGTTTAAAAAGGTTTGGTTTAACAAGGAAATTATGTATCCAGCATAGTTCCAGATTACTCAAAACCCAGTCAGTTTTGTGTTTATCTGAGATGCCCATGTTCCATTCTTCCTCTGCCAAGGTAATATTCAGTCATTTAAATAAGAAAAGTACCAGTTTGTCTCCATCAAAATTGCAGCCTTTCTTCAATCATATTGGCTATTTGAATTATTTACTTTTTAACATCATATTTCCCTTTTATCTTAAATGTTCCTAAATAAATAATAACAATTTTATTATTTATACCCCACCCATCTGGCTGGGTTTCCCTAGCCACTCTGGGTCACTTTTAGAATATATAAAATATCTGATACAGGGCTGCCTTCAGATGTCTTCGCTTCTTGCAGCAGTGAGGGAACCAGCGGAAGACCCTCAGAGGAGGACCTCAGTGTCTGGGCTGAGCGATGGGGATGGAGACGCTCCTTCAGGTATACTGGACCAAGGCCATTTAAGACTTGGTCAGCACAGACACTTTGAATTGTGTTCAGAAACGCACTGGGAGATGCACTTGGTCTCTGGAAAATGAATTTAGGCTTGCTCTGTTTATAGAATATGTATCTTGGTGTTATGTCTACCAACAGTCCTTTCTCCTACAATTGCCAACTCATTAAGCCAAGGGCTTTCCTTACTCATAGTGTTCAGAAGCTAAAAGCCTCCAGAATTTCCCACTGTTTACTGTATAAAAAATAAAATTTTTGAGGGACGTGGTGAAAGAAGACACCAGGACTGCATGTCAGTCACAGGCAGTGCTTTTTTTTCTAGATAAAAGGGTGCTAGTACTCACCATGAAGTTCTTACAGTAAGTGCCACACTTTTAACCAGTATTTTTTTTCTAGGAAAAAAGAGTGTTGGTACTGTGTAGCCTTGAGTAACAAACCCCCACCCGCCCACCCAAAAAAGCTCTGGTCACAGGAATAACATAAAATTAAATATTACCATCAGCCATGTTGATCTGGTTACTAAGTTGTTCCCTCTCTGTCTTTAGTATGTTCAAACCACTTTCTTTTCTCTTTAGCTCCAGCTGAAGGCCATCAGAATAAGACTGTAATTCCTGTGAACGATATTTATTATTATTACTACTACAGTACATTGATAGCCTAACTAAGGGAGCAAGATTTACATGTTCAACTGGAAAATACTGGTTATGCCATTAGAGAGATAATAAAGAAAAACACCTGTAGCTTTTGCAGCATTTGTTCTGTTTCAGATGCAATGAGAGGTTGCAGTTTGGTGTGTTTTTTAGCCTGATCACGAGTGATGACAGCAAGTTAAGGATAAAATGCAATTTGAAATTAATGTTAAAAAAGAAAACTGTCGAATTTTAAAATAGAAAATTGTCAAGCTGCTTTCATTCAGCTACCATAGAAATAAAATAATTTATTCCAATGTTCCTTTTGAAGTATTTCTTTTCAATACAGGCACCCCACCACGACTTATATGAATTCTATACACCCGCAACTGGGTTTGTGTGTGTCACCACAAAATAAACAAATAAATTATTTGAAGCAGGAAATAGGCAAAAATGGCACAGAAAAAGTGAGCAAGCTGTAGAGTGGGCAAATACAGTTTGCATGGCCACTTCGAGTGTCTCGCTGCCCCAACTCAACGTACTTTCAAGACTAACAGGGAGAGTACCAACAGGCCCCATAGTGGCTCTGGGCACTTGGAGCCACCCAGCCACTGATCCCCAGCTCAACTTTCTGGTCACCAGAAGCAGACAGGGCATGCATGCGCAAAGGCACATCGCCACCTGGGGAAAGGCATGTGGGGACCTGCTGAGGGAGAGCCGCTTTCCAGCCTCTCTCAATAGTGCCCTCCCTATTTTATGTGATTTAACGTATTCATGCGGAGTCCAGGAACGTAACCCTTGTGTATGGGTGGGGGGACTCCTGTATTCCATTCCTGTGATTATTTAATAGACTGGCTTTTAGTTAATAGTACAGGATATAGAAAATTAGCTTCCAGTTCAAGGAAGTAAATTTGCTGTTGGAGGTTCTTGATGTATTCAGATTCTATGCTTGAAGATGAATTCTCCATTTCTAAAACCAAACAAAATAATTTTCATTTAGTGGAACATTTAATTATCAAGCAGAATAAAAACATTATTATGCATTTTTTTAATAAAAAAATTATTATTATGAAACAATCTGCTTTCAACAGTCATATTTAACATTTTATGTTCTCCAACAGCTACATTGATGAAATGACGAACATGACCTATGATGCATTCTGCTAAGTTTCCCTTTCATTCCCTTTGACCTCTGTTTAAATCAATGAGAAAATTCTCACAAAGAGGAGAACTTTGTGCACATCAGACCACATACTGCCTCAAGAAATTAACTGATCCACTTTTCCAACTCCTTCATTTCATACTCAGTTCAGGTTATCAAGACTGAGAGATATGTCCTTATTGTTCAGAAAAAAATATTATTATGAAACAATCTGCTTTCAACAGTCATATTTAACATTTTATGTTCTCCAACACCTACATTGTTGAAATGACGAACATGACCTATGATGCATTCTGCTAAGTTTCCCTTTCATTCCCTTTGACCTCTGTTTAAATCAATGAGAAAATTCTCACAAAGAGGAGAACTTTGTGCACATCAGAGCACACACTGCCTCAAGAAATTAACTGATCCACTTTTCCAACTCCTTCATCTCATACTCAGTTCAGGTTATCAAGACTGAGAGATATGTCCTTATTGTTCAGAAACTGTGCACTGTATGTAAAGGATATAAATGATACCTGACAGATTAACTAAACAGGTTCCAGTGGCAGTATTTCAAGAAAACTATTCTCCAAATATCCTGTAGTGTTCAACAATGAATATACTAACAAAGCCCAGCTAAATTAAGTTCAAGTATTTAGATGTAATCTGATTTTATTGCTTTGAATATAAATCATCTAAATATTTCACAAACAGGTTTTAAAGGAACCTAGCTACAAACTAAGAATGTGCACTACTGCATATCTAGACATAAGACCCTGAGTGATCTAAAAGTGTATGATAATCCTCATAAGGATTTCACTTCTACATGAAAAAATAATATAATCAATAATCAATAAGCTTTACACCAATGTAGTGTTTATAGGCTCAAAGACACCGGCAAATATGTGCATAAATATGTATGCTGATAGCTATCCTTCCATAGTTCTTTTTACCTCAAATCTGGAAATGAAGCAGAACAGCACATTAGGGGTTAAGTCAGAATAAAGTCAATGCAGAGTATTAAACAACAAAGCATTACAGAGGGAGTCTATAAAAGCATAGCTGTTCTATGGGTATATAAGGTACTCTTTGTTCAGGTTATTACAGAATTGGAGGGGAGGGAGGGAAAGGGAACAACAGAAATACTTTAATACCTTAGACAGTTGGCCTTATTGGAAAGCTGCACTGAATTAGTGGTTGTTTCAGAAAGCAGTTTCCAGCGCCACCTGGCCTCTTTATTTCTACAGATCCTCTCACCTCATAAAAGCAAGCTGAAATTAGTGTGAAGCCAACCACCCCCCCAAATCATTTTAATAATAATAATAATAATAATAATAAACTGAAGAAAGAGTGAAACACCTTCCACATTATCTCAAATTATCTGAAAGTAGAAGGGAAATACTCTCTGGCTTCTGCCACCAGCCAATGGACATAGAGCCACTGGAAAGTTGCACCAAGACAAGGGGAAGATCAACCTGGTCCCATCTATTTGCCAGAGAAGGAGCAGCTGAAGGAAGATTGCTCTTTCAGGAAGGAAGGAATGTAGGAAGCAAGCAAGCACTTTGCTTCAGCTGACAGTTGCCCTGGGATGGCAGAAACAAAGGAAATGACACTTTGGCTCCAACCACTGGCCAAGGAACAAGAGTCAGTGGGCCAGATTCACCTAAGTTGTTGAGCTAGTGGAAGCCAGTCCCCCAAGTGCAACCTGACTCCCACACCTTGCCCAAATCTGCTCAGGAGAACCCCCAGAATAGCACAAGGGGGAAGGGGAAATGCTTGCATGATGATGAATTTCACCAGCTGTTCAGGCAAGTACACAAGCAAGGGGAGATCAGCCTGGCATGAACTGAATATAAATGATTGTAGCTCACTGCTTTGTCCTTTGTCTTCCTTTTTCCACCACTCCTCTTTCCTTCGGTGTCTTGACTTTTTAAATTGTAAGTCTGATGACAGGGTCTGTTTCTCCTTTGTATTGATGTAAGCCACTATGGGAGGCAATAATGGTCTGGAAAGAAGGATAAAAATTCAGCAAATAATAAAATAAACATTGCAACCCCAAAAGCTTTAGATTCCCAAAAAATGTGTCTACATTAGCTGAAAAGGTATTAAGGAAAATAACATAATTTATTATGCCATCCTACCCACCTTTGAGCAGACTGACAGGATATAAAATTACAATAATAATAATGAGTACATTTATAGCCCATCTTTCTACAAAGGAGCTAAAGGCAGTGTACACAACCCTTCTCAATTTTTATTCTCACACGGCCCAGTGACCATGGCTAAGTGGGGTTTTGAATCTGTCTCCCAGGTTCTACTCAGTCCCTTCTGCCGACTATGTTACATTAGCACAATGGTGTCATTTCTCTATGGAAAACAAAAAATACTATGATACCTTTAAACAAGGTGGTTGAAACGAATCCATGCTAGCTAGCAAGGTACACTAAAAGACTTACAAGTGCAATCCTGTACAAGGCTACTGAGCAACTTCCACTGGCTTACACCCAGGAAACTGATAACAGAATTGCGCAGTACATAGTTTTCCATTGGTCAAGTCCAGGGTGGGGAAATGACTTGACCTAGAGGCCACATTTCTTCATAGGCAATGTTCTGGAGGCCCAATGCTCGTGATAAAACTGTGCCCTTGTGGGGTTTAGCCTGGGGATAGGAGCTGTGGTCTGAGAAGGCGTGTGGCTTGGGAACAGTCCCCGGGACCAGATAAAGAAATCTGGAAGGCTGTATTTATTCGATCCCAGGTCCCAAAGTGCTGCTGATTAGATAAAATCTGTCCGTCTATCTTTTTATCTATCCATCTATTGGTACGTCTCTGAGTGTTCAACTCACAGCAAGTCTTCCATTAGTGGGGCAGGAAATGCAGCGATTTTTTGAGAGTCATCCCTCGAAGTCCTCATCTTGTCTAGAGGGTTAAGATTCCCTCCAGAGCAAAGTGGGGCGTGCAGACGGAGATACAGTGGGGAGGGATAATCACTGAAAATTGCTTCCTTTCCCACTCTACATTTTTAAAAACTAGCGTATATATATGTGTGTATCTATATACACACACACACACACACACACACACACACACATACACGCGCGCAAATGCTTTTTAAAACACTTTTATATTTTAATCATAATTACAGTAAGGATAATCACAAGGATGTATTTGGTGGGAGGTGTAATTAAAAAAACAGAGGAAAATATTAAGATTGCTAATATAACCGGGCAGTTCTATAACCGTTATTTTACCATGGCAATTCATGTCCTAAAAATCCGTTACCCTTTTCAGGCAGGTGGGCATCAGGGAGTTCACGGCGCAGCTGCTTATTCCAGCACTGCAAGAAGAGTAACAAGCGAGTTTGTGCAAAAGCGGTTTGCAAAGGTTGCAACGTGAAACAAGAACTAAACAAAAACCCACTTCCCTCGGCGCACCAAATTCCGGGTTTCAAGGGAGAGCAGGATCTGCCCCCGCCCCCACCGGCTGCCTATCAAACAGCGAAGGTCTTCTCCTTCCCTTTAGCCGAGGGCTCCCCAAATAGGAAAGCGCCCCAGGAGGAACCACCTCGCCGGAGCGGCGGTCCCGGTAGCCATGGCGACCCAAGCTCCGGAAACAGCTCCGCCAAGCTGTTCCTAGGGGCGGGCTCGTATTTGGGAAGCAGCGGCGCTGATTGGAGGATTGCGACGCACCTGATTGGCGCGTCTTGCTCTGAGCAGCTGCGAGCCATGGGAACGCCAGCTGCGAGGCTTTTCCCTTTCGCTTCTTGCAGGCGAAAGGCCAGCTGGTGGGGTCGCTCCGAGCCTGCCTGGAAACCGCTCCCTTCCATCTGGATCATCGGGCAGGGCTTTCCAACGCCCAAGCCCTGGCTTAAGCGAAGCCCTGCTCCGAGTCCCAAGCTTTCACTTTTCAGAACAAACGTGGAAATTCTCCCAACGAAAAGATTTCTTAGGAAAAGTTAAAGCTCTCTCGGCAAATTCTTGTATGGGAAGCTAGCTGCGGAAAAGCGAGGGCTGCACATCTCACCCGGTCATTCTTTCTACAGGTGGACAAGTGCAGATTGCAACGTGCCCTGGGGGTCTCCTGGCGGGATGGAAAATAACTAAGAATTATGATTAACCCGTAGGCGATGCTTACTAGGTGCTGCAGAAAAAGGATTAGAACAGTGGTTGGTTTAGGGCAGGAGATCTAAGCAAACCTGGGAATATTTACACCTGCCTCCGAGTACTACTTACCTATAAGGATATTATAATTCTACAGCCAGGCTCATATTTATATGCTGTTTTTTTCCAGGCAAGTCCATCAGGTGGCTTACAATATATAGAGTAATACTGCTATAATAAAATTAACCCAATGAAAAATCAAGACAATATTTTTTTTTCCTTCAAAACTTTATTAGCTCAATGTTTTCTAGGAGATACCTTAATCCAATAGCGTGCAAATAAAAAAAAATCCACTATAAATATATTTGCAAACTCTAGACACTAAACACCCGGAAGATTACAGTTTTTGGGTCAAATTCATATTTTATTTTTTTTACACAATTTCTAGTGTCATTATGGTCCCATTTCCTTTCATCTTTATCACAAACCACCGTTAATAAAAACATTAAATGGAATGCTTTCTCAAGCATTGGATTATCAATTTTACCAGCAGCTTCTGATCTTCATGTGGCAACACTTTATTCTGAAACTGCTTATCATAAAGAGGTTTTCAGAGTGGAAATGTAGTACATAACAATAATAAATTATCAGCAGCAAGGTAACCAATTTTCAAAACAGTTGAAACTTCATTTAATTTCAAAAGGTCCTGTCCAGCAGGACATACAGCAAGAGAATGCTATTCCTTGTGTTCTAAGTTTTGTATACATGTGCACATACAACCCGTGTATTATCTAATGACGATATTAGATCCATGTGCCAGGACATATTTAAACAGTACTAGAACATTCTGCACCAACAAAAGACAGTGTTTAGGCCATCTTGAAACAAAAGGCACTCGCTTAACAAGGCCAGGCATATGTTACAAAGTGTTTTTGATGCAAGTTAAAGCCAACATGATGTACAAAATGAACATTAGCAGCCTAGTTGTTTAGGAAGGTGCTGGGAAAATATTGCCTTGAGTATGCTACTGGATTTTTTGTTGTTGTTTGCCAAGCTCCTACACAGATATAACGTGTATAAGAAACGTATTGCTACTTAAGTACTTTGAAACTTTAATCTAAACCACCACAAACAAAACATTGTTTTCAAGATCAAATGGCTGTTCCACTGATATCAACCATAAATAGGTAAATGGAACCTCCATTTACAAATGTTGTATTACCTGGGACAACCAACAAGAAATGACCATGATGTTCAAGCCCTGCCTGTGAGCTTGCAAAGCTAAATGCTGTTGGAGACCAGACTAGATGGACCTATCATGCAATCCAGAAAGGTGTTTCTTATGAAAATGGAGAGGAACCAAATATTTTTTAAAACTGAGCCGTGTATTATTATATACAGTGGTACCTCTGGTTACATACTTAATTCGTTTCCGAGGTCCGTTCTTAACCTGAAGCTAATGGGGCCTCCTGCTGCTGCCGCGCCACTGGAGCACGATTTCTGTTCTCATCCTGAAGCAAAGTTCTTAACCCGAGGTACTATTTCTGGGTTAGCAGAGTCTGTAACCTGAAGCGTATGTAACCTGAAGCATATGTAACCCAAGGTACCACTGTAGGAAGAAGATTGCTAGTACAATGGTCCATGGCCAAACCATTGCTACAAGGAGCAGTTTGTGTTTTGTAATGCCAGAATCCTCACTTTGGATTGTATGAACAATTGCCTCAGTGAAATAAGCTTGGTGAGAGGACTGGGGTATATTTTGTACTAAAAAAATTAGATATCGCATACTAAGTTGTAGATCTGTTTGCTTGAAGTCGCACACAGAGGTAAAAAAAATAGTTTGAAATATTGAAATGGTTATTTAGGTAGAGGGAATGACTTTGCACAACAACTTTTTGTCATGAAGTGTCAAAATGCTACAAGAATTACAGATAAATTGTATAAAAGTAACAAGGTAACAAGACTAAAGCAGTGCAGTAAAAAGCAGTTTTAAATCCATTCAATTGACTGTTTAATCTGAGAATGTACTTTTCAATCTAAAAGCTACATTTTAAAACTTAGTATCATATTCACATTGGAAATGAATGTAGCTCTGGAAGGGAGGGGAATTAATATTTTATTTATCACAACCATCCCGCGCCATACCTTATTTTACTCTTCCCCTTTCTGAGCAAATAATTGCTTCCTATTTAAATGAGCAAAACTTGTTTTCACATAGTTTTGGTCCTTTACCAGGATGGATGGAAAAGTCAAGTTAATACAAAGTTCTACACAGATGTTCAATTGAGTTGATCTGCAAGGCATGAACATATTTTTAAATGTATGTGTGTCATGCTATAAAACATTTACCGGTAATTGAAGTAGGAAGCAAACACTGACTAAGCAGGTGTACCCACTTATTTGGCTTTTTGTGGAGTGTTTTCAAGTATCAGCTACTGGCATAATCATTTAGCAACTTCTCTTTTTACTATATGGCTGGCTCACATCTCCTCTACATTGAAAACTGTCCCTGCCCACCCTTCTTGAAAACCAAAATGCTAATGTGTGGAACAGCTATAATTCTTGGGAAAGTGCCCCCACAATGGCAAACCTGACATTCACATACAATATTTCCACGTATTAATCAGTTCATATATGCCATTTACATACATAAACACAGGCATATGCATGTCAGAAGATGACTACTCACATGTAAGAGAAAAATATTTTTCAGCAGGCTTAAATTTTGAATTCTAATCACCTGGATTATTTAACTAACATGATTCTTCCGTTCATAACTTTACATGTACTCTAGCAGAATTCTGTATTTGTGGATGGCTTTTCTGCAAATCTAAATCCAAGTTTTATGTTTATTTTGAGAAGAATATTTACATTATGCCCACCCCACAGGTCACTGGCTGAAGTGCATCAGGGTTTTCCTGCCTTCATACCTCAGAATAAGCTACTCCTGAGTTTGGGAACACTGCAGGAGAGCTTTTAAGGTAATACAGGGTGCTGCACTGTTGCAGGGAAAGGACAGGCTGCAGTCAGCCTCCACTGGTTTCTGTGCATTGAGCACTCTGGATCCAAGTCACTGAAATTAATTCTGTAACACAGAATTTCCAAACTGGTCTGCCACCCACAGGTGGTCCATGGCACATCTGTGAATTTGTGGTTCAATATGGGAGATGGTATATCCATCACATTAAATATTCCTATTGATTTCTAACTGCATTTTATTGCTTCTTTTGTTTTGTATACTGTATTTCATTGTATTACAATTATGTGGAATTCAAATTGTAAATACAAAACACAAGGAATAAAAATAATGGGAATACAAATAAAAACCATACAGCATCTAGCACAGTGCATGTGCAGAAAATTAAATTTTCAAATGGTGGAAAATGTTTGGGAACCACAGCTGTAATACAAGCTGATATAGGTGATAGCACAAGAAAAATGAAGGCATTGATGCCAAAACAAAGAAAAGCAAGTGTTTTTTTAAATTTATTTAGCTTTTACCACAGGAATTATACCATTTGATCTTCATTTTGCATCAATCAGTCTACCAAACTGAAAGACCAGTCTCTCAGAAGTAACTTCTATTGTCCTTATTCTATTATATAATCCAATAAATCCCATGGAAAACTCAAAAGTACAACAGTTGCAGCTGAAGTTTTACTATGTCCCAATATATTTTAATTAAAAAAAAATCCTTCACACATAATCAAGGGTTATGTACAATTTCTTTAAAAACTTTACAGAAACAGAAAACTTGAGATTGTGAGGGCACCACATACAATTGGCAATGCATTAAATCATTTTATGAAGGATGGCACACAAAATAGCACACAAGTTCACTTCTTTGTTCTCGAAACTTCTGGCTATGACTGCAATTGCAGGTGAACATTCAAGATTTTCAGTAAATATTAAGTATCCTACACTTTATGAAACTCTAACCCTAGCTCTAGCCCTGAACCAAAGATCTCACTGCAACACAAAAAGGTGTCCTTCAAGATCTTCCCAGAGACATATGGTTAGCAATGACAGCTTCTAATCACCTGTTGTTAAGAAAGGGTATCCAGAATTAAATACATACAAAAACTTAAACAGTACTGGCTAACCTGCCAGAGTGCACATGTGTGGTTTAATCCAGAACTTTGTCTCCACACACAGCATTTTTTGACAGTATGGGGTCCCATCCAGACATAAATAGAAGCATTATTTCAGGCATGAATCTTCCTTGCTAGACTGGAATGTCTGGGATGCGAGGAAAAGTGGCAAACATAAAAGTATATCATTTAAAACAGAAGGTCACCTCACTTGTACTCACAGAATTACTTTAACAATTTTGGGGCAGCTTTGTGTAAAAATTGTTCTTTTAAAAAAGAAGATGAGAAATATTGGCTTAGCTAAGATGAGTTTTCTTTTGCTCTGGGATAGATATTGTATTTATGTTTCTTATAAATAAATTCATGGCATGTCTTGGCAAAGATTTTACCACAATGAGAAACAGCATTCTTAAAGTGATTACAACCACCCATTATTAAAGCAGCCAATGCATAAAAAAATATTACCCTGAAAGGATTTAGAAAAATTGCGCTAATAGTAAGAATCAATATCTAAGCATTTTTCTTGTGCCCATTTCCAAAAGCATTGCACGAATTTCTTACAACCAGAGAACAGCTACCTATTTACTGAAATTAAATCCAGGCTGAATGTCAGTAGTCAAGACCAAAATGGCAATCTATTGCAACCTATAGTTTACACCTACTTGCATTGCAAATACAACTATCTTTACTTGGCAATGTCTGAATACATTGAAAAATTGTCAACCTTCTGAAACTGGAATATGCAGTGTGTAGCAATCTGGATAATAAAATACTTTATAGATGCTCTACTTTAGAACAAATCATCCAGTCTTGTATTTACTGTTAAACTAATAAAAGCAATGGAGGTTCTGTCCCCCAAATAGACAATTTCAATTCTTTTTCATTCTGATAAGGTATATTATACTTTTTTTCTTTTAAAGCATTGGAGAGAGAGAAAATAGGCAATATTCCCTTACTGTGTGTGAGCTATGGTCAGAGGCATAGGGACGTATTTCATTGTAACTGAGATCAAGTTACTCCAATTTAAAAGCAACAGATAATAATCACAGAGCAGGATACAAATTGCATAAAACAAATCAAAGAATGTCTTGAACAGTTTTACCACAGAACAGTCTTTCTGAAACTGTTCAGCAAAACAGATTTTTAAACAATATGATTTCACCCAATTTTAACTACATAGTGAATCAGCAGTCATTCCAATGGTTGCTAAATGAGTATGTTTGTTTAAGTATTGTTAAAGGAAATTAAAAAATAACCCTTTGGGATAATTATTCAAGAAAATAGCCTTACAAAAGGGGTCAGCAAACCAGTATTCTACTGCACCTCTTCCTTTCTTGTATGATAATTGCTAATGCTCCATTTTTGGAAAAGGCAAGTTAATATAAAACTGAATATAAAATCAACATCTTGAGGTTACACTTAAATACTCAGTGAACTAAATCTGCATAACCACAGGGTTTTATTGATACACGTTTCATCTAAGTATTAAAATGTCATGCCTTTGTGTCTGTGTAGCTATTTTTGTATCTTTGTGGGAAAGAGTTGCTTCTATAAATAACTTTAAATTACCCTTATATAGATAACATATACACATGCCTTTCACTTTCACTTATCTTAGTATTATAAACCATTTCAAGACAAGAGATATCAGCAGTGGAGGAGGAATTGCCTCCCTCCTCATTCTGCTGAAGGGTGCCTTCTGTCAATGGAGCAACACCTATGGGATTACACCCACTTACAAAAGTAAGCTTTCATGAGCAAGAGTGCTTCAGAATGTGGTCCCATGTGGACACAAAAGTATTGTCTAGACAAGAAAATCTGCACCCACCCAGAAATATCATGTGGCATTCCTGTATCCTTCACAAGCTACTGAAATAATAGTTGGCCATGATGGTTCAAATCCCCTGCTGATCACATGTATGTATGTGTGTGAGAGAGACCAGTCGTTTCCAAGCAAGTGACTATCTCTGTCAAGACTTGAGAGCACTTCCTGTCTCTAGAGCCAATAGTTGTAGCAGAAAAATTCTTGCACAGAACTTGCTGCTGCACATGAAAATTCCTGGATCATGTAAGGGCTATATTTTAAATGAGTAGAGAACAAAAATCAAACATAGAAGAAAGCTCAAGTAGTACATGAATTATGTTAAAATCAAACAGAGGCCTCAAGATTGCTTTAATGCATCCTGTACTACAAACACCAAATCTCATTATATAATCAATATGTTTGAATGTTTTCTAAATATTAGAAAAGCTTTTTTTCATAAGAGTATTTGACATTTTAATGAAGGACTGAAATCCCTGAGTAAACCAAAGAAAATGCACAAGTTTGGCCTGAGAAAATGCAATTTGGGGCTAGGTAAACATATACAATCTTTTAAAAAGTTTAAGGCAGCAGTCAACTCTGAGACAACACAAAAAAAGGAGAAACATTAAGCAAGCTCAAAATATTTGAAACAGCATAGTGTATATTAATTTACCAAAAATAATTTCTCTCTGAAATGTTTGCATTCTAATTCATTTCTCTAGTAAGCCAGGTTTCATAATCCACTAAAATCAATCTAATTTTAGTGGATGAAAAGGTGGTAAATTTGGATATTGTTAAAGACTTTCAGTTGCAAGATGACTGATGCTAGCAGATGAAAATGAAACATAAGGCAGAGACATATTGCCAGATAAGTAGCATCTACTACCAATTTCAGATGAGGCTTTATGGTCCAGCAATTAATACATATTCATTGGGTTGCATTTTGTACTATCACCAAACTCCTACAGCAATGAAGTGCTGTAATATTTTAATGTACAATATGCTCCGAATAACTGTATGTTGCCTTTTATATATTTTGTGGAGTCTATTGCCCTTACAACAGAACATAGGACTTTCAAATACTTCACTACTCTGTTGAGTAACAGAACCTTGAAGATAACAAGAAACTTCAGCAGATTATAATTCTGTGTCTAGGTTGGATCCTAGGATTCTATAAGCAGCCTTCAGAACAGCATGGCAGATAGTGAGAGGGACTGCAGAGACAGGAAGGTAAAAGCAAAATTCACTTTCTCCCTCCTGTTAATGGGAACTTTTGCTTGATCAAAGTGCCCTTCCATTCCCCAAAGGACTTATTCTGAGCTTAGAAAGGCACCTTACAATACAGTCCATCGTTATATAATGGATTGCATGGTTTTCCTTTCTCTGATATTCTCTTTTGCTAACGTAACAGAACAGTATAATTTCTTTAAGCCCTTCCTTAATTATCCTTATTCTTAACTTTAAAATCAATGGGCTGCACGTCCCTCACATGTTGAGTTCAACAAAAAGTATCATTTTTTTTAAAAAAAGAACATATAAATAAGACTGTGAGGTACCTGATCCTGAACTCAAAAAAAGATAGCACTAATTTTTACTGAATTTATTCATTGTTTAAAACGCATAACACTTCACAGGTGACATTTTAATTTAACTGCTAGTGTGCAATACAAATGGGACAATTCATAAATTCATGTCCTTTCTCTTAGTAGGCAAGAAGGCCTGGACCTTTGGAAATATACATGTCGAACTCCACACAAATAATTTAATGTGTGGGTTAGATTAATACACCTACAAATGGGTGTGTGATTCACCTAATATTGATAATACTCCCAAACCTTTGGGGAAGAACTATGGAAATCAGGCAAACCAGGACAGACATATAATTTACATTGGTGCACTGCTCCAGACCTGAGCCTAACAGTAAGAAGGACACGAACAGATCCTTAGTCTTAAGTGACCTTGTGTTATGAAGCTGTCCTGAATGTATCTTCCTAGGAAAAACCTAGAAATGCCTACTCACTTTAGGCATGTACTGGTGCCGGCTAGAAAAACAGTGCACTTCTGGACTGCTTCAGAACAAATTGCTATTTCCCCAGCTAGATAGTGCTAAACATTCTGAAATATGCTCCAGTAGTTACATTTTTTGTTTCTTTTCTTGCATTTGCCTTAGTTTTGGCCACATTCTTAGTTGCTGTTGCATGTTCAGATATGAACATGCTTCTGGTCTGTAGTGTGTATATGTGCCACAATGCCTTTAGTCAGACTCCAGAAACAACCATAAAAGGCAGGCTTTGACACCTAACTTAATTCAGTGTATTTGATGGAAGTTAATGGCGTGAACATTTTAAGCCTTGCTAAACAGCTTGCACAGGTCAAAAACACTGAAAATGACACAATGCTCTCCCAAATAACCAAGACAAATCTCTCCGTTGCTTTAATTGGACTAGATACTGTTCCAATCATTCCCCACCAAATTCCCTATAAGGTTCTACAGTAGCTATTAGCACACACATGATTCAGTATTTAGGGCAAAGTTGCATATACAAAATAAGGAGCTACTGAATTCAGCACCTATCACTATGCCAATGATGTTAGAAAGAATAACCACTTCTACATATGAAGCCAGCCTCTGAAACAAACAAGTCCACTGAAAACACCATCTGGAAGGCCACCTGGGAGTTACGCCAGTGACTTGGGATGGGGAAGAGGTTGCCAAATTAAATACTCTTTTCGTGGGCCAATCAGTAGATGTGTAGCTACAGTGCAGATGTAGGCTGTCCAACAAAGTAATTTTTGGGAGAGGGATTAAAAAAAACCTTTAAAAATCGAGAGGCCTCCATTTTGTCTGAAGTAGCAGAGCAGGGAAGCAATCTGGTCTGTCTTTAGTAGTGTACAGTGCAGACAATATATGGCAGTTGCCCCTGAATTTTCTGCCAGGATAGTTAACTAGCACAGCGTGCTGAACATGTTTTCCACAATTCTTGCAGGACTGGCTCCTTTCAGATATATAATGGCTCACTCATACCAGGGCATTTCTGTTCGTGGCCTTTTCCTCTTCTTTTTACAAAGGCAATAGATAGGGAACACAAATAAACCTGCCAAAACCAAAGGAAAATATAGAATGTTAATATATATATATCAGCTGTACACAGTTCACTGAATAGAAACAAATGCATCCTGGGTTTCTATCAGCCAAGTGAAGAGAAGAAGCCTACTGTAAGGTAGCAAACATAGAATTTGCCTTATTTCCAATGATATTGTTAGTGCTAACTTTTTTTCAGAATGCCCATTCAAATCGGATATAAGAAGCAGTCACTCTGCATCAAAAGCAGCCATATAATTTGAAGTAGCTGAGATTTTAGTTGGTTTATCAATAATAACAAAAATCAGTTTACTTGAATTAGCTTTGTTAGACAAAAAAATGTGAAAATGCAGTTCTGAAAAGTATTTTAAAACAAAAGAGTTCGTGAATGTAAGCTAGAACTTTAATGTTCTAAGCTGTCTGGATGTTCCTGCATCTCACATAGTACTTGCCCTTTTCTTGCAAGCCTAACTCAAAGCAATTAAAAAAACCTAGCTGATCTTTTAATTCCAGCATATATGAAACTCTACAAACACAAAACACAAGGACACAGGAAGCTACCTTATGCTGACTCAGACCATTTGGCTCACTAGTATCTACATTTATTGGCCGCAGGTCTCCAGGCTCTCTGAAAGAAGATTTTCCACCCCTATCTCGAGATGCTGGGACTGAATCTGGGATGTTTTACATGAAAAACAGATGCTCTGTGACTAGATAACTTGTCCTAAAGCACTACTTCCCTCTGACTGGGAATAGAACATGGGCTGCGGCTGTGAGAGCAAGGAATTCTTTTCACTAGACCACCAGGAAATCAAGAGGCTTAATATAATTTTATGCTTTTAGAGGCATATCACCAGAGGCGTGTTTAGGGCAGCACAACCACTTCTGCCACACTGGGTCACAACTATGATGCAGTGAATTGAGCAGAACCAAAAATGAGAGGAGGGGAGGCTGCTGAATTTCGGCCTCAAAAAGGTCAAAATTTGAAGGACCAAATCTGCCTCTGATATCACACATGTCTACGTTCTGTAACACCAATCACTGGCAAAGGTACCTGGAAGGAAGTAGGATTGGATGTTTTGGGGCACATTTGCACCACAGTTATTTAGGGAATTCCACTTTTGAAGCGGATTGTTGTAACCATAATTGTAAGGCATTGACTAGAGATGTGGGAGCAGTGTGCACATTTCAGGCATATTAAGGTATCTAATCAGCAAAACCTCATCCATTTGTCTATACTCAGTTAAATGTACGGAACCATTTGTTCTCACACAAACCTGCCCAGCTGACCCTTCAGGGCCTGCTGACTGTTCTATCCATACATAAGGCAGGAAAGTACAAATCAGGGCCTTCTGCAGATCAGCCAGATGTCTTCTGGTTTTCAGACGCTTAGTAAATAATAATAATGCTTGTTTTTGTTTGTAATTATGGTATGTATTTTTTATATTGTAAACTGCTCTGTTATCTTTGGATGGAGGGTGCTATGGATATTTAATAAATAATAATAAATATCTTCTAAAATTCCTACCAGCTTTTAAAACTCTGTTATCTGTGGTGTGGAAATTTATTTTAAACATTATGCCCTTCTGAAATTTTTAGTTTGGATTGTTCTTTAATTGTTTTAACCACTGCTGGTGGTTTCATTATGCACAATGTATTAATTGTGATGGAACCAGAGATCTGCCTGCAGAAGGTGTTGGGTGGAGGGTGACTTCCTCACCCTCTTGTTTCCCTGGTCTTGTCTCTCCAAAAAGGATCAGAGGTTTATAGGTGAGCTATTTAATGAGGTGAGCTATGGTGGGGACGCTGAGGTAAGAAGAAGAATAGAAAATTCTGTGAGCGGGAGCTCCACGTACACAAGTTACCTCCAAACAATTTCCCACAAATTGCCCCATTTCTGCTCATTGCCCCTCTGACAACAGTTATCATTGAAATGGATATGTTCCTTACTTCAAAATGCTACCTCATACTGTTTATAGCATTTTGTTCTTACCTATGATAACAGCTATGGCTCCTATTACCAGTCCCAAAACCAGTATCAGTGGTGCAATAAGCAACTTCCCACCTAAAAAGGAAATAAAAAAATTGGTTAACATGAGATTTCAAGTAACATCACTCTGTCCCCTATAGGCACAAAACCAATGTATACAGCTTCTGATAGCATATTATGAGATCATTGGTTGGTTACTTACCTACATTGGTTACTAATGCTAAACGTTTGGTTTTGGCTATCCATAAGTTAAAGTGTCCCCAACCCCCCAAGTGACAGAGAACAATTTAAAATTTCCATTTATGACAATATGCTGATGTTTATAACTGCTTCCAGTTTAGGAGCAAGGATATTGGTTCTTTAGAGGGGTTTACTTAGCCACTTACATGTGTTGTACTGAGACCATCTCATGAATGCCATTAAGTCCCAAACTGGCCCATTTGAGGCAGCCTCAGCATAGATATTGAAGGCATCTCTTTGCTCACTAAATATATAGTGATATACAGACACCTATGAATCAGTCTCTCCAGAAAGACTCACCTGGTGCTTTCTTTATGATCTTTTTGGTGCCCCATTAAAACCTTTATATCCATCCAATCTTTATAGCTGGGCATTGTTGTTGTTGTTTTAAAAAAATCTGGATTGCTGCTTCTATGCAATTGTCTATTTTTAATTATTATTGTGTATTGTGTTTTCAATTTTTTTTGTAAGCTACCCAGGAAATCTTTTATCGATGGGCACCTTTGTAAATCTAATAAATAATAATACATTGTAACTCTAGCCATGCTAAATCTCTTAGCAGTGAAAGCAACAGTTAAATTAGTTACCGTATATGCCAAGGGAGAAAAAATCCCTGTAAATATGGGGAAATGTATTCCATGGCTTGTTATGAAGTGCACAATTAGTAATGCACCATGTGAGTGATTACTTAATTCACTTAATTGGATTCAGATGCTGCTTTAACAACTTAATACATTTTAAAGAGCTGTATTTTGCCTGTTTCCAGGGAATCTATGGGATTTGCAATCCCTGCCAAAATGTCCAAATTTGGAACAGCCCCTTACCTCCCCAAGCAGCTGGGTAGATGCTGGCTAAATTAAGAGTTTTGCCCCACTATTTGTCTAATGCCTTTTGAAAACATTGTTTTCCTGTGTTGTGTTCACTGGTGACAGGGGATCATAGTTTACAGAAGAGGGACCACAGAGTAAAAAATTTTTTTTGTTTGATAACCTTCCAATAAACTCCTCTATTCCTACAATTTTCAAAAAGGAGTAGTGTTGTGTCCATGAATGGTAGCCTCCATCAGTAATTTTGTTAACCTATCAGTAATTGTGTAACGCAGCAGTCAGTACACTCATTATATGTTTTATTGAGTTAACATTTCCAAGAGCTGCTGCGTCAGCTTATTGAAAAGCCAATGTAATTACCATTGCTGCAGCTACTAGTATTGTTATTTGCAAAGATAACCCAACCTCTACACACTGCGCCCTAAAAAAAGCTTGCCGACTACATACAATGATGCTCTTGCTGTCTCATAATGACAGGGAGCATTCCCCGGTACCAGGAAAAACATACATGGTGGCCACAACACAACACATATGTTTTTTTAAAAAGAAAAGTCATTATAACATTTTCACAATACAACACTAACTCACTTTCCTGTGCACATGTACACACTTCATGGCATACACCTTCCTCTGATAAGCCCTTTACACAGGGCAGCCTCTTAGCCTAATGCAGCCACGAACCTGCACCAGCAAAGTTAACATTAATATTCAGGCCTCAACTGTTCATTTGTCTTCAGCTTTCTCTGGTCTTTGCCTCATACCTTCCTCATCCAACTATTTTTAGCTGCCCATTCTTCACTGACTTAGAACTCAAGTCAATCAGTCTTTTTCTTTCTGTGACCAATCACAATGAATTTACCTGATTCACACCCTGTTTATAAATATTAAACTCAATAGTTTCTCCCTCCCTTTTCTGCATCTCTCACCAAGCAGCAACAGGCGGGGACTATTTTGTGCACATCCAATGGACGTGCAACTGCTTATGGGTCCTTTGGGATCTGGAAGAGGGCAGAATGGGGGTGGAACAGGGTAGAGCAGGAACACACGTGGGGGCCAGGAACGTAAACCCCACACAATATGGTCGCCATCTGTACAAGCCTGCAGCACAAGGCCTTTGAATGTTGACAGTTATACTCTGACACCAGCAGAGCTTACATAAGTTTTCAAAGCAAAAATACAGACAGAAATATACACAGCATTTCTCCACACCTGAGTTATCCAGAGCAAGGATGGGTGGAGGGAGAAGGAAGTAAAACAATGAATGGATAGTTTGTCACCCCCATCTACACCGAAGAAGAGCACCTGCACAATTTGCTTCATATCTCAGGATCTACAAATTCTAGAAACTTACTGTTTTTTAAAAATGAAACCTTGGAATATGTGGATTGTAGTGCACGAGGAGGGAGACCTTCCCCCACAGTGGACACCCATGACGGCACCTATTAAATTGTTTTCTAGCACCCAGAAGGGGAAAATGTTGTTTTGCAATATGGCTTCAAACAGCTGAGATTACTGTGAAAGGGTAACGCAAAAAACCCAATCCAGAATTTAAGGCTGTTTTTTAAAAAAAGCTTATAATCTCAGAATTTTAGCAACCATGTACAATTTTTTTTCTGGCACTCTGTAGGACTGACAAGAGAAAAATATTTTGTTAATAATATCAAAGGAGCAGTGCCTTCCTCTTCCCTTCCTCCCAATAGGTTTTCCTCCCCCATCACTTACGACAAACTAACCCCTATTTACAGTAAGTGTTGAAAGTAAGGTTTTACAGAACTGACATTTCCAGGTACCCATATCCTCTTATCTTGCAGAGATCGAAATCAGTATTTAGTATCAAGTAACAGAGTGACTTTGACATGGCTTAAATTGCAGACAAATGAAGATAAAAATAATCCTTAACACAAAACTTAGTCACCCAAAAACATTGTCCAGGAAAATGTGTTAAATGTGTTTTTAAAAAGGTACAGAATTTTTATTACAGTAAATTAACTATCACATAAATACTTCAACAATAAATCCCTAGTAAGTCAAATAACTGCAATATATTGCAACATAAGCCAAACACATTCTGACACAGAGCTTATTCATGCTTACCCTAAGCTTTGATTCTGTAGAAAGGAGGTTATATTTCTTGGCCTGGAAACAGTGATGACTATTTTGATGAATAATTGTTTGTCCAGGTTAATTGCTATTAAACTTAATTCGAAGTTAATAATCTCTGTCCTCCTCCTTTGAAGTCTCATATGCAAGAGCCAAGCTCTATTGGACAGTTATGCTTAGTCCCCCCCCCTTTTGTATTATGCCACTATTAAAGATATCTGTGTCAAAATGCATTTAGGATATGTTGTAATATATTGCAATAATTTGGCATGTTAAAGATTTATTTTTGAAAAAATTGTTTATCTGATAATATTTTTAATATAATTAAACATTCTATACTTTTCCACATATTTTTCCATAACTGTGTTTTTGGTCGAGGACTTAATTTGTGCCAGGATGCAGTCTCTTCTCAGTACTAGAACTATGTAAAGAAGGGTATTTTTAGAACTTGTGCAGAGAGAGAGCCAACAGAACAGAGTTAAGGATCGGGGTTAGCAGGACAGATGGCAGCCAGTCAGGTTAGCAACTTTTAGGAACCAAGCACAAGTCCCTGAGCATATGCAGGAAACTTTTCACACATCACAAAGTAATCCTAACCACATAATTCTGCAAATCGGTGGGAGGTTTTGCTAATTTTAAAAATCACTTTCTAAATATTGAGAGTTTAACTAAAAAACAGTGTCACAGCCTTATCCAGATAAGAAATGCAGTCGAGAGATACAAGAAGTCACAAAGCTCAAAGGGTGGCAAGCTAGCTAACTTGTGATTCCATTTAGATTAGGCACAATTCAAATCTGAGAAACAATATAGAGATTTTCCCACTTAATAAGGAAACTATGTAGTGCTTACAGTGATCTTAACTGAGCACGCTCAGTTCTGATGTTTCTTTTTTGATGTAATATACTTGCACAGAAAAACCAGATCCAAAACAGACTTGATTGCAGTTATTAGCAAAGCACATTTCCTTGAAATCATTCAATGCACACTGCCTATCATGTATGAACACACTCTATCGAATCAGTCCATTTGCATGTAGAGTTAGCATGCCAGCAGGGCACCCACTGCAGCACCAGTCACTGGGCTGCTAATGCTACACATAAAACAATAAACAGGGTGGTGATACAATGGCTACTGCAATCCACACAAGATAATATCACCATAGTAACCATCTGTAAACAAACTATAAATGGCCATAAAAATGGCAAAAGTAGTCCGTCCCCCCAAATAGGTTTTATCTTAAACAACTGCAAACACAGTACATAAAGAGTTCACTTGTAATATATTAGTGGTTCAGTGCTCATTTCTTCTTTCCAAAATAGATTTTATCTGAACAGCTGCAAATGCAGTAATAAATAGTCCACTTGTGCTATACCAGTGGTTCAGTGCTTGGACGTCATTCCGGTAATCAGACGTTTCGTCACTAAAGAGCTTAGTCATTGAGCTTTGTAGTAAGTAATATACAAGAGAAGACAGTCTGTAAACGACTTAAAACAGGGGTATATCTGTCCCCATCTGCATGTTTCCATCGGGAGGAGCATAGAAAGAGGATGATGTCCTTCAGTTTGTTAAACCTCCTGCTACACATAAGCAGGACAACTCAATGTAATAGTCTACTTCAATAATAACGGACACCTGGTTTGCTCCCGTTTGCTCCCATTATAAGCTAAGAGGCTTTGAAGCAAATTCTAGATACAAAGTACAAATCATCGTTACACAATTGACTGTGTGCTCTAGGTACAGAAAATTATGAAGTTTGTGAACAACAAATACATTTTGGTATGTAATTTTCACTGTTACAGATTCCACATGCTGTCTGCCACAATACACAATACTGTTTTCTATTTTTCTATTTTGTTTTCTCTAACAACTCAATTTCATCCCAAGAATCTACACCACTCACTAGACTTCATTTGTTACACGTTTATTTTTTAAAAAGGATTTCTTGCTGGTTTAGCCATATGTGTTCATCAAGCATTTCTTTGCAAAGTGTCATCATCCACTCACCACAGACAGAGCCTCTCACTAATCTCCTTAAATGTGGTCGCTCGGGGAGGTAGCGGTATTTGCATCCAAATATACTGAGGTTTGATGTATGGTCTCCAAAGAAACGGAGTTGGCGGTATCTCTCCCCGCAGCGGTAACAGAAATTAGTGTTACACTGTGAGCAAGTCATATGGTCACACCCTTCTGTTCTCTGGATATGGATCTTTACAGGCAAAACAGAAAAAGAAAGAGAGAAAAGGTTATAAAAAAAATAATTAAACAAGTTGGTTCTTAGTCAATTCAATTGTCTTACAAAGAATCATACAAGGTGGAACTCTGAAAAAAAGTTTATTGTCTTATCGTTAACGGACTTAGTAGAACCTCTTCAAATTGCAAAACAGCCTGATTTTCAGAAACGGTGACAGTGGCATTTAAGAAGCTCGAGTAATCTGCTTTTAATACACAAACAAATACAACAATTTAAAAGAAACTAAATAACCTGAGACTATTTTTGGTACTGTTAATGTTTGCTTCCATTATTTAAGAGTTGTTGGGATTCTTCAGCAGTTCTATTATTTCCCAGACAAACCCTACCCAAGTGAACGGGGTTGCTGCACCATTTTTCAAGAGAGGGATGGAGCTCACTGGAGAGCCTGGTTCAGTCCAAAGCAGCTCCAGTTAAGAAGATCTGGTAGCAGATCTGACAGCATGTGCCTACTTCCTTGGAGAGTCACTGCCAGTAAGAGTAGACAAGACTGCTGAAGATGGACCATTGGCTCAGTAGAGGTAATCTTGCGTGTTTATATTTGTATAACACCACTGATTTATTTTACAACATAACAACAAAAAGACGATCTCTGCCCTAAATTTGAACAGAATGGGAGACAAAGGAGATGCGAGGACAGACAGAGACAACAGGAGAGGAATGTGTGTGAATTTTGCTGGGGGTTAGATATTATGAGTAAGAAATTGATGAGATTGGCTTGAGGCTGCAGGAATTAAGGGTACATTTTACAAATTCATTGTTTGTATACTGCAGTCTTTTGCATTGCTGTTAAAAATTAAGTCCCTTCAAGTTCAGTAGGATCTACTCTCTGATAAGTGTAGGATTGCAGCAGAAAATGAGTAGCATTCTACAGCTTTAATTCCCTTCATGTTCATGAACCTACTTTAAGATCCATGTACATTTGCATTCATCAATGCATTTCCATTATACATTATATACTGCCTTTAAAATTCTATTCCATCATTCAACAGCATCAACAGAAGCCCATAGAATTTCTCTTAAAATCTTTTTCATTGCATCTTCAGCTCATATTACTGCATTTTTATTGTAGTGTTATCCAGTACTTAAAAACAATTCTCTGAATAAGTTTGAGAATATTGCAACACATTATTGTAATTTTTTTTTAAAAAAACCCTCTTACTGCATACTTCTTGTCTTATGCCCTGTGATCCAATACTATTTATATATGACATGCCTTCTCTCTACCTGCAAGCATTTGTTCTGTTGCTAATGCATTAATAAATAGTCCATTTATTAGGGCACGAGTAGTGCTGTCACAATGGCAAGCAGAGGGTACTATAAGAATGAGTTTTCCTTTCCACCAATTCTTTGTCATCTGGATGTTTTCTTAGCCCCAAGAGTCACTATGATATCTGGCTCACCTCCACAATAGTTTCACCAAAGATATCACACCATGCATAAGACTGAATACATGAAAACTAAAGCTGCAAATATAATCTTGATTTATTTAAAAGCAAGTTTGGGTCTGGCCTGTGTTTGAAAGGCACTTTCTAGCCCATTTAGAAAATTGTTACTCTAAGAGAAAAGCCCCAGAAGAACTGCCTGAGGTTTAGGGCAGAAGATCAGAAGATCACTCAAGTATTTCTACAGGCAGCGATCGTTAGTCACATCCGATATGTGCATGATCGTGACAGTGCACATAGCGCCAAACTCAGAAGTGACCCAAAAACATCACAAAATGGGGCAGAATGGGGCAGGGGTGGAATGGGGTGTTTGCAGGCTTTTTCAGTTGTGTTTCAAATATATGCTATATCACTGAAATGTGTGGTGCCTTAAAATGTAACCCCCATGTAAATTGGGAGTGTCCTGTATAAGCTTCGATTTGCCTAATAAGATGAAAACTTGGGGACTGTTTCCCCCCCTCCTTGATGTGAAAGAGCTGGACATGACATAGAAGTGGGGGAAAGATAGTTTAAAATATGCCAAAAATTTAAAAGATAGGAGCATAAAGAGAGCAACTGTCAGTTCCTAGGCCAAATCCAACGCTTAGGCATATTATCTGCAGCCCACCTCCAATTGCTACTAAGAGATAAAAGGTGCACATGGAAAGAACATATTTGGACAATAAGGAACTTGCTGGGAATTTGAGTAAGGGGAGGTAGCTGCCACTTATCTCAGCTTTTCACACTGGCCTAATAAAGTTCATTGGCAACCAGAAATCATGACTCCAAAGAAGCAAGTAACCATAGTCTGTTTAGATGATACAATTAACAGCCTGATCCAGGAACATAACAACCATCTCTTTCTGCTCAAGTTAACAGATCCTTCGTTCCCTCGGGATAGCCACAAAATCTTAAGATCTCAAAAGTGCTTTGTCAGAATCTGGTATTAAAATCTGAAGGAGAGTTGAGCAATCCACTGAACAGAAGGGTGTAGTAAAGATGCTTATTTGTCAGATCTCAAATGAAGAAACCACATAAAAACAGACACGGAATTCGTTTTGCCCCCTGCACTGCTTTGCATGGTGTGTGTTATGGTAGAAGAGCATCTTGGTAATAAAAAGGTAAAATTGCACTTGAGATTCACAGAACTGTATGAGCGGAATGAACAGTAAAAAGCAAATCAGCCAAGGCTAATATAATGAGGACAAGATTTACAGTTTGTATTCACAAACTAGATAATCGTCTACCATAAATCATCCTGAACTTCCTTTGCCTCCCATTTTATATCCTAGAATTCAGAAGTATGAAGCCAGGCCCTGTGAGAGGGGAAAACTGCACCAAGGTTGCCTTGCAAATAAAAAAATATGTTCCCTTGGTATTATACAAGCACTAGGCAAGTAGTTAGCTAAGTAAATAGAAGTGGTATAGTAATTTAGGACAGCTGTTCCCAAACAGAGATTTATAATCTCTCATCTTTGGGAATCACAATAGCCTTGAAGATTTGCATACTCACAGTAAACACAAGGAATGTACATGAAAGCAATGCTGCAAATCCAAAACGTCAGTTTCATATCAGAACAAAGTGTTCCAAAACATACCCTACTTCCTTTTTGTAGAGTGAGAATGCAGTTTTGTGAAAACAAGCAGAACCAATTGGTAGAAATATTCACCATTCCTCACTACCCTAGCATTTTATAACCCTTAGTGTACAAGTCTGATATAAATTCATGTACTGCACATAAAGCTCAATTATTTAATGCAATTTACAGTGTTATTATATAAAATATTCCTCATTCCTCCAGAGGGATTCTGGACTCCATTCAAAGTGACTATCAACAGCTGTTGACTCCTTTGCTTGCTTCTTCAGAGTGCAGAGCAATCAGGTGCTCTCCATTTTAGTGCTATTATTTGATTAAACAGACATGTAAATCTATTCTCTCAATTAGCTGCTCCAAATACTATTCACATAGCCACCTCCTTTTCAAAATTATCTACCCTAACTTTAACAACATTAATTTAATAAACCTCTTAGCTTCAGGGATTTGCACAAATTCCTCAAAACAAACTAGAAGTGCAGCAATAAAACTACTAGCACATTTGCAAAGCTATGGAGGGAGTGGTATGAGTATTAACTCATTTTATTTTTTTATGTAAAGTATCCAGAAACAAAAATGTGGAGTGGTAGATCTATCAGCATGAAAATAATACAATTGTTTCAGTAGAATAGTTTTGAAACATAGTTAATGAGATGCAACACAATTCCTCTTGCGGAAATAGGGCATGATCCTGCTTTCTTTCCCATGCAGCCTCTGCACCTGCTCTTTAGGGTTGGAGGGTCCTCTGGAGAAGACTGGGGCAAACAGGGAGCTGCAGAGCAGAGGAGATGAAGGGAGAATTCCTACTACATCTGCTGGCATGATGTTAGATCTCATCCAAAGAGAATTTGACAGCAAAGTAGATAAAGCTGTGATCAAACAAAAATTCCATTGACCATTATTGACTAGCACTCTGAAAGTCCTCAGTGCAGATTTTTCTCAGGCTTGCTATCAAGCTCTCTTAATCAGATATTTGCCACAAGATTTTAAACATGAGAAATGAACTGGAAAATGTCTCACTGTAAACCATTATTCTTTTCTGTGTAAGTTGTCACAAGTTTACTATTTACTAAGTGGCAGGAAAAAATAAAGTTGTAAAAACAACACGCAGGCATCAGCACATGAAAGAGATTTGTGAACACCGATACGAAAAAGATACTTCAAGATCTTTGCAGGCTATCCTTTTAGAGAAATACAATAATACTGTTTCAGCTGTTATGTCACATCATTTGCCATAATGCCACTGCTGAGCTATGCAACCTGTCTAATAGGAATCACGTAGTACAAAGGAAGAGTTAATGCTGTAGCATTAACATAAAACAAAAGCTGGCATTTGTCCACAGCAGCTGTCATTCCTTTCTATGCGTATTCCACATTGTTCATATAGCTTCATCTACCACAGAATCAGAACTGCAAGGGACCAAAAAAGCCTTTCTATCTACTACAGGCATAATCCATCCAAGCACCCTTGTGCAGTTTCCATTCATTTCAACAGGGCTTACACAAGACAACTTCTAGATATCATCCTGCCCCATACCTTCAAGGGGCAAGCCAATTTGGTCTTTTTGCTTTCTCCTATATATAGAAAAGTTCAGCCAAGTAAGGGCAAGGAGGTAAAAGAAATCTGTATTACTTAAAAACACGAGCACCAAGAGAAACAAACAAAAACCAACCCCAAACCAGTTACATCCTGAATGTCAATCTGTCAAATAAATTCTTATCTGAAATGTGTCAAAGGTAAATGAGATCTGGTTTAGAGTAATGACTAAGAGAAAGGCTTTATCAATCTTACACACCATGCATGCCGTCAAAAGTGTAGCATTCCCCTCTGGCAGGCATATTAAGCTTTTCTCCAAACTTTAAAACTGAAGAGATATGTGGGAATCAAACTGGCAGTGATCCCTGACCCTTCCCCAACCCCAAGCTTGGGATGAAGGTTGCGGTCACAACCATTCAGCATCGGCTGAAGCCCATAGTAACACAAGGGCAGCCCTGCTGGATCAGACTAAAGGCCTAGCTAGTTCAATATTTGGTTCCCACACTGGCCAGCTAGATGCCTATGGAAAAACCACCAACAGGACACAGGTCTAAGTGTACTTCAGGCTGTGCTCCCCAGCAACTGGAACACAGAGACATATTGCCTCCAATACCTGAGGCAATATAACCATCATGAGTAGTAGCCACTGATAGCCTTTTTATTGTCTTGCCCTCTTTTAAAGTGGCCTGAATGGTTGGACATCACTACATCTTGTGGTAGTTAATTCTGTAGCTGTTGCTCTATAAGACGCACCAGACCATAAGACGCACCTAGTTTTTGGAGGAGGAAAACAAGAAAAAAAAAATTCTGAATCTCAGAAGCCAGAACAGGAAGAGGGATCGCTGTGCAGTGAAAGCAGCAATCCCTCTTGCTGTTCTGGCTTCTGGGATAGCTGCGCAGCCTGCATTTGCTCCATAAGATGCACACACATTTCCCCTTACTTTTTAGGAGGGAAAAAGTGAGTCTTATAGAGCAAAAAAATATGATACTTCCTTTTGTGTATCCTATCATTCACCTTCATTGGATGAGCCGTTTTGAAAAAACAAAACACTATTAACTATTTATTATTGCTTAAGGTAAAATGATAGATGTTTAGAATTAAGAGTTGTACTATGATTAAATACTTCAGCCTGAAATGAAACATGAGGTAAAGCTGTATCTGATCAGGCCTGGCTTAAACCTCTGCAAATGGAGGCCTGGCACCTAACAATAGCCTTGGTTACATTTGCTAAGGGTAGATGCATATTTGGCAGTTAGCAGAACTAGAAGTAATTGGTATTTATACTCATCAGGAGCATTAGAATGGTAATTTGAGGGTCATTCTAAAAACATACTCAATAGAAGGGAGTATCTGTGACCAGAAGAAGACCAAAACACCAGGAAAAGATCTATCAAGAGGGTCCGTTGGAGCTCAAATCAGGCAGAAAAGAGCCTGAGAAAGGAAGCGCAAACTAAAGAATGCAGGGAGAGCAGGCAGGGAAGAATAAATGTCGAGGGGGAAAAGGCTAAGCCTGAGAGGAAGATTCATAGCCTGAAGAAACTCTTGAAGGGGAAGTAACAGAAGACAGCAGCTGGTGATAGACAGTTTGAGAAGTTTTGTGCTTAAGGAATGTGAAAGACTTCAGCAAGCAAGCAAGCAACTGGCAACCTAAAGCCCCAGTGGTGTTCCTGGCCCATAAATAAATCCTTATTGCAGCTGAAAATCCATCAAGTCAATAAGTAGAAAAGTGAGGGCTGGATCTGTGTGAAGACTTCAATCCAAAAAACAACACTTTTAAATGACAGAGATAACTAGACCCTGGATTTAAGCAGGGATTTATTTTGACAAAAGTGAATCCTGCATTCCTTAGTAACAATATCAACTTTATGGCAGAAATAACATTCATACTTGTAACCTCACATTATATTGTGATGTTTAAATTAATCTCATTTGTACACATATTAATTCCTATAATAAATGTTATTATGTTACTTTTTAAAGTGTTGTCTCAATTGTAGGTCAATCTCACACCTGCGCTATATCGAACAGGCTACTATGAAAAAAGATACAAAATTTGATTTCATATTGGCATTATATATTAGACCAGGTTTTATGTTAGAGATGGGATTTAAGAGTCTACTCACAACACTCCAGTGTTATATAGAAGAGAGAGATTTCACCCTTTCTCCACACTGCGTAATGTGACATACCTCTATCATGTCTCCCCTTACTTACATGCCTACCCCTTAAAAAGCCTCACTCAATGTAATCTTTTCTCAAAAGAAGAGCTGTTCCTTGATCACTTTGCTTGTCTTTTACTGCACCTTTTGCAGCTTAAAAATATTCTTTCTTTTCTTTTCTTTTCTTTTGGTGCAGTGACCAGAACTGTAATACATATGTTGTACATACATACATATTGGCAGTTTTATTTTTAATTCCTTTCCTAATAATCCCAATAACAGCTTCATACCAGGTTGACATTTTCATTGAGCTATCCACCACATCCCCAGGTTCCCTTTCCAGATCAGTCACTGCCAGGTTAAACTGCATCAGCATCATGTTCACTTGTTCCTTTTCCCCAGTTCTGCACTATTAGTTCCTTGTGCAGAATGGTGCAACAGGATTCTCCGGAATCTTGCTTCTTGTGAAAGTGCCATTCCATAAATATCAAACACATTCATTAACTTGTATTGAAAGGCTTGAGTTCTTTATTTTTCTGCAGACCAGCAATGTTAAGCGCTCTGAAACTCAGCAGTTCAGCTACCACAAACATAAATAGGGTGACAGATAAGCACTTTTGTAAAAGAGCAGCAATGTCAGCAGATGACAGGGATCAAGTTATTCTGAATCTAACAGAACTGATGACACTTAACTTGACGTGCATGAATTTCACTAAGGCATCTCAGTTTGGAAAGCTTCACAGAATATTCGTGCACCAAACAGAAACGTAACTTAGTATGCGCTCTCTTACCTTGCACTTTGGACACTTCTGAGCATTTCTTTGCCCATGTTCAATTTCATTGGCCCAGTGACGTAACAGCTTGTCTCCCTTTTTATACTCTTTGCAGTTGACACCTTCATGCCAGGGAGAGTGGCACTTAAAACACCACACCAATTGGCAGGTTGGGCACTGTATCTGTAGAAATAAGAGCACAAAACAACAAAACAGTTTTGAAGATTGCCCGATAAATGTGATTAGGAAGCCACAGTTCAGATTGCACAAGCATTTTCCCAAAATAACCTATGTCAGTTGACTAAGTAATGGGGGCTGGCAAAGAATGCCACACTAATGCCAGCAGTGCATTCACAGAGAAATGCAGCATAAGAGGCGTCAACTGTTATCAAACAGTTTGCTGGTTACTGAACTTATTGGCAGGCCAGTCTGCAGAAAAGGTTTGGAAACTAGGGTGTGGGCACTGCATGCTAATTTTCCAATATGGATGATTTAGGCCCTCCCCCCAATAATCCTGCTATATCCCTTTTACTTTCTTTGAAATGTCTCTAAACAACAGTAAGGCAACTATAAAGCACTTAGCTCAGGAAAGCTGGCCTAATACAAACTTAAGATGGAAGCTGTGTTTAACTAACAGCGCCACATTAAAAACAACAACAATAAACTAAAATCCCCAGCTGCTTATTGGGAAGGCCAGCATTTTCAACATTCCTTACACTGGGCATTATCATGAAGCTCTGAATTTAAGATTAAGGGCAATAACAAGACATTGCAGATTCTCCCCACCTCGTGAGAGGAAAAATATCCTTTTCAAGGCTCCATCCTGAAACAGGAGCCTTGTAGTTCTGTTGAGGCTTCATGGATGGAGAGAAGAGTTTTAGGAGCAGCGGAAGGACAGGAGGAACATTTTTTCCCACCTGAATGAGGCCTTCCCATGCTGTGCTATATGGTACTGTATTGCACATTAAAAGCTGTAAAATGGGGAAAGGGACACTATTGAGATTTAGCTCTATTTCTCCATAATATCTGAATTGGGAGAAGCTGTACTCCTCCTGGACTAGAGCCTGGATGCAGTATTGGGCTAAATGAGGGGAAATGAACTGAGCTTGAATCTTGTCAAAACAAAGGCTCTGTGGGTGAGTGGTTCTCATGTCTGGGAAACTGAATGATTGCTACTGTAGACGTGGTTGTGCTCCCTCTGAAAGAGCCGCTATGACTACTGCGGTGCTCCTGGATCCAGCTTTGTCACTGAAGGTCCAAGTGGCTTTTGGTAGCTAGGATCACCTTTCACCGGCTCTGGCTGCTACAACAGCTGTGACTGTTCCTGGATTGGAATAGCATGAGCCCAGAACTCCCAAGCATTTGTAACCTGAAGACTGAATCACTTCAACACACTCTTATCTGGGGCTTCCCTTGCACTTGGGTAGTGCAGAATTCTACTCCAGGTAGTGCAGAATGCTACAACGTGATTGCTAATAGGAGCAGAAGTCTGTCGGCAAATTACCTCTGTGCTCAAAAATGTGCACTGGCTTCTGATTCATTACAGGGCCAAGCACAAGCTGTTACTATTGGTATAATGGTGAAGGTAAAGGTACCTCTGCCCATCTGGGCCAGTCGTGACCGACTCTAGGGTTGCGCGCTCATCTCGCTCAAGAGGCCGGGAGCCGACGCCGTCCGAAGACACTTCCGGGTCACGTGGCCAGCGTGACAAAGCTGCAACTGGCGAGCCAGCACCAGTGCCGCACACGGAAACGCCGTTTACCTTCCCGCTATAAAGCGGTACCTATTTATCTACTTGCACTTAGGGGTGGTTTCGAACTGCTAGGTGGGCAGGAGCTGGGACCAAACGACGGGAGCTCACCCCACTGCGGGGATTCAAACTGCCGACCTTACGATCAGCAAGTCCTAGGCACTGAGGTTTTACCCACAGCGCCACGCGCGTCCCTATTATATACTATTGGTATATAAAATCCTTAATGACTTAGGATCAGTTTGCTTATGGAACTACCTCACCCTGTATGTGCCTATTCAACCACCACATTCTGTGGAGCTTGCATTCTTATAGGTGCTACACAATGTTTGCTGAACATTTGCAAGGAATTGCTCCTTTAGTGTGGCAGCCCCTGGGCTCTGGAACGCCTTGCCTATTGACATCAGGTGAGGCACCTTTACAACACTGTTTTAGACACTGTTTCTGTTTGAGTGGACTTATCAAGACACATGATTTAGTTACGTTTGTTGCAAATGTTTTACTGATGTTTGTGTATGTTTTCAAATTATATTTATGCATATTTGTTTTTAACAAATTTGTGCATTTTAGTCTACTTTTAATTATAACTGTATACCACTAGGAGAACTTTTTTTTTTATAGCAAATAGTTTATACACTTCCCAAACAGAATGAATGAATGAATGAATGAATGAATAAATAAATAAATAAGATTATTTGGATGACTAAAAATGATTTGCCAACCTCTAATAAATATTATAAAAGTACTGAATATATCTGATTCCATACATCTCCTTCCCACTAATATTATTTATTTGAGCCTCTGTAGCTAATGAGAAGCAGATAAATTTTTCATTTCTCATCTACAGGATATACTTCCTACAGTAATTCAGTGGCAGGCTTCAAGAAAAGAAGGAATCCGAGCTTCCATTGTTCAGCATCTACCAAGTACAATGAGAAAGTTCTCCCTGCCCTTCTATATTGACTTTTCCTCTGACGAAAGAGAATCCCACAGAGTTCATAACAGAGCCTGTCTGCTGGATACTTCAGTAGGCATCGTTGGTGTTCTATTTCTAAAAGCATGCAAGCACACCAAGCCTTCACTTCATCTGTCACCTGCCTTCGTGCTATAGGTTGCAAAAAGGCAGAAATGTACAAATATAGAATACAAATGAGAAATGAAAATGAAACAAACTTCTGGGCTGGGCAGAAATGGAATACACCCCCCCCCAAATATGCCTATACAAGAAATTCCTGCAATACAAGTCCATTTTTAGTTTGTGCAGTATAATAAAATATGGAAGGCGATTGTTGTTTAGACTCCCACTGTTGTTCTGCTGGTTTTATATATGGCAGGTAAAGGGTACATGTAGCCCTCCAGCATGACCAATGGCCAGGGATGATGGGCACATGTCCTACATTCCTGCTGTCTGGGGACTTTTTGTCTTCTAGTTGCTACCAGCAGCTCTCATGTACTATGGGACAAAGGGGGTTTCACTTGAGTTATGACTAAGAAAAATGCTCACCATAGTAAATACAGGGAATTCTCCAAGGCAAAAATGGATCAAAAGCAAGCCAGGACATTTACAACTTCTGAATCTTATTTTAGAAATAAAGATGAACAGTGATCTTACTACAGCAGACATTTATTCTAACTTTCTCATCACAACTCATCACAGCTTACCAGAGGACATGGGAGTCACAAAAAGCATGAAATTCTGATTGTGGACGGAGAGCAATTTGAAAAAGCATTATCTGGATTCTGACACAGCACCTCCACTGTCTCCCAAAGGGTACAGATAATGCATACATTATTTAATGTTACAATTCTATTTATATATAAGGAAAAAGAAAACCATAACATATATCCTACCTAAAGACAGTTGCATAGTTCAGACTTCATAAAACAATCCTCTGAAAGATGGTTTCAAGGCTCAGGTACATAATGTGGCTCAATGTGCTCTCTCTTCCACTTTTGTTTGAGTGTTCTGTTCTCTACTTCCTAGTTTTCTTAAAACACAGTTCGTCATAATGTCCAAATTGGCAAACTCTAGCTTGTAAATGTGTATGTCATGACAATCTGTGGCTAGAGAAAGTCAGGATATAGAGAAGGGAACTGTAAGCTGGGAGGGGGAGGAGAAAGCACACAAACCTTTGGCACACTTCCAAGTTCCTAAATTTAATTAACTCTCCAGGTTTGAGGGAAGACCTGCTACTTTATATTTAATTACTTTACTCAGATCCCCCTTTTCAATTTGCACAGCAATCTCCAGATAATAAATTACAGTAATAAAGCACAAAGATAGACAGAACATAAAACAATTATAAAACACAGCAACCTTAAAAGCAGTCTTTTGAAATGGCACAAAATTGTCATAAAATGCCTTCAGGAGTCAAAAAATGTATGCAACACCCCCATGAGAAATGGAAAGAGAGCAAGAGAGCTCCCTGGGGAGAAAATTCCACAGCTGTACTGTCTCTCACTAGAAGTCCAGTCCCTGGCAATCACCCAATCAAATATTTGTAAATGATAGGCCTATCATTTTCAAAGCTATAAATAGTTCTAACACAGCAATTGACTTCATTAATATCCACAAGGAGATATGAACCCAAGACCCACACACAACCTGCAAGGTTGGGCGGCAATGTTTCCTGCCAGTCACACCTGAAAGCTCCAGACCAGGCATCCCCAACCTTCGGCCCTCCAGATGTTTTGGACTACAAATCCCATCATCCTTGACTACTGGTCCTGTTAACTAGGGTTCATAACCTGTCTGTAACCTGAAGCGTATGTAACCTGAAGCATATGTAACCCGAGGTACTACTGTATTTATTCTATGTGCAGGTGTGTACAGATTGCAGATTCTAACTTTTAAGATTATGTATGCCATCTCCAGTCTGTGCCTGAAAGGGTGGAGTGTAAGTCAAATAAATAAATGGAAAGAAGGACTCACACATTGTTTCTGGTTTAAACCATTCAAAAGTAAAGAAAGGGCTGGATCCAGGCTTAGTTATGTTTTCCATTGAAATCAACCAGAGTTAAAATCAATGGGACACACGTTAAACAGTACTAAGTCACATTGGTATCAATGGCTCTGCTCTAATCATGATCAAATCTGGATTCAACCCATGGAAGATGGCAGCAATAAACACTGGAATGCATTTACGTTTAAGCTATCCAGTTATATAATGTACTTTAATCTTATTACACCAGTCCCCAATCTCGCATTATGCTGCTCCTTACATTGACATAACTTAATGGAACAAGTAAAGCAGCAGAATGTAATTTGCAAAAGGGACCAGGAATGAAAATTCAAAAGGAGTTAGAATAGAATCACTGTCATTCACCAAATCAATATGGAAATGCAGCACTCAAATCTGCTCAGCCATGAATTTGTTGGGTGACTTATTGCAGCCTCAGTTCCCTATCTGCAAATGATAAGGAGAACAACTTAGCTTCCATTAATGAATAATGAACACAAAGTGTTTTGTATGAGCACCATACAACAACAATAACAACAACAACAACAACAACAAAAAGAAAGGTAAAGGACCCCTGGACAGTTAAGTTCAGTCATAAGTGACTATGGGGTTGTAGCGCACATCTCGCTTTCAGGCCGAGGGAGCCGGTGTTTGTCCACAGACAGCTTTCCGGGTCATGTGGCCAACATGACCAAACCCCTTCTGGCATGACAGAACACTGTGACAAGTGCCAGAGCACACGGAAACACCGTTTACCTTCCTGCCACAGCAGTACCTATTTATCTACTTGCACTGGCATGCTTTCAAACTGCTAGGGAACGGGAGCTCACCCTGTCACAGGTATTTAAATCAGTAAGCCCAAGAGACTCAGTGGTTTAGACTACAGCGCCACCCGCTAAAAGCATTTGCTAGGGTTTTACTTGCAAAGAAAAACATTCCATATAATTGGAAAACCTTGGCAAAGAGCTTACACGTATTCTTCTTAGCTTTATGGTACTGGTGCCACAAAGATTTTCTTACCAACTGCTTTCAAAGCCAAGCATTCTGCAACATTTACTCACATTGTTCATGTAAAACTCACTTACATACCAGTAATCTGAACAGGATTTATGCAAATATTATCCTTGCCCAAGATTCTACACCAGTGGTTCCCAAACTTTCCTCCTTACAGACCACTTGAAAATGGCTGAGGGTCTTTGTGGACCACTGACTATTTTTTCTACCTGTTGTAGCCATTGTAATACACTTTGGTAGATGCAGTATGGTTTTTAATTGCTTCTTTAATTTCTTATATATTTTATTTTATTATATTACAATCATAACATTTTTAATATGTGTGTAGATTCCACGTTTGAGAATCCCTGTTCTACACCAATGTCTAGATATTAACAGGAGAAGGATGGGAATAAAGACTAGCTACGTAAACAGTAATAATAGGTAATATTCCATTGTGGAACCTACGCAGTAGACTTGCACTTACACGAATGGGGCTTATCTTTCCTGTGCCCCACAAATTTTCTCTGAAGGCGTGAGGAACCCTCTGGAAAAAATGGGGGCCTTGGGAACTACAACAAGAAGTAGATGAAGGGTGAGACCGCTTGTGTTCATTGGCATGACATTGGATCTCAACCAATACAACAGACTTTTGGTCAGTCTACAAAACAGTTTTACAAGTCTTGAACACTGTATTTACACAGACAGGGCCCCTCAATACAGGCTTATTTCAGTACTCCTATTTAATTACTGAGAACCAGGGCACATAAGAGAAGGTGGCCCATAATAAAGAGTCAATCAACAAGTGCTTGGCCTTAAGAATTTCTAAGTTAGCTTCCACTGCAGTTATCAAACGGCATAGCAAAAACCTACAGAAAGTTCAACCATGGATACATGCAACTTAATACTTACTGAAAAGTATGGTGGTATTCACCTAATGCTTGGTGGAATGTAGGAACTGCCAGACTTCGTGAAATATTTCAGGCAGCATGGTTAATTCAAAATAAACAACAACGCGGTACAATAAAGAAAGGAACTAATAGGTTAACTGGCCAGCTACTCAGGAAAGCTGACATTAATTAGCTAGTAAGGGGTATGAAACTATAGATTTGTATTCTAAAAGCACATCTTACATTAGGTTCCAGTAAGAGAAGAAAGCCCATTTAATGCCCACCATATCCTGGCCTACTTTTGCAGCTCACAGCTGTGCCATCTAATCCATAGCTTTGGTGAGCATGCTCACTTTGTACTTGTTCTCCATTTTGGTAGGGGTTGGAATGTGGCCTCTCCTCCTGAAGGTTGTAAAGTGCTTGCATTGAGGGCATGGCTTGGTGCTCGAGCCAATACGGCCAAGTTCCAGGAAGTACTTATATTTGATGATGTCATCATGTGGCAAGTTGTAGAGGACAGTTGTTTCATCCAGGTGTTCACTACACTCTGTTATGGGACATTGGATGTCTGCTTGCCCCACCTGCACCTGCAAATAAACACAAGAGCTGTGATCAAACATGTGTGGACACACAAATAATAACTGGACACCCAATTCCACACCAAGTTCCAGTACTTAACTTGTAAATATATAACAAAAATAAATATAGCATGGCTTTACATGAATATAGCATGAATATAGCATGGCAGTTGTGAAATCACTTCATTTTTAACTTTTACAGGAAATATGAAAGCCCAAATAACAAACTATTTTTATTTTGAAGAAAGAAACTGATGTTCTTATAATTCATCTGTTTTCAAGGGATTTTAAGTTAATACTGGTTCAGAGCAAATGTTCTCTCATCAATGCATACCAGCCTTTTCAACCTATAACAGCACATTTTCAGAAACACCTTTTAGGTTATCAGCTGATTAAGATCCAAGAGAAGGAAGCCTCTCTGTAGTTCAAGTGCTTTATCTTAAATGATCTCAGAATGAACTTTTTAGCTCCCTAAAAATTAATTAATTCTTAATCATACACAGCTTCAAAGTATATGAAATCTAGAGTTTGATCCAATTTTCTTTTTTTTGGTGCTGTGTGGTGGATCCAGCAGCTAAGCATTTCTCATTTGGCACAATCAGTAATAGTAATTTCCATAGTCTATAATGCCTCTTAGCAGCACATCTGTGATTCTGTACTGCATCAGAACATCAAAGATACACCCCTGATACTGCTTGTTATGCTGCAGTTACACTGAACGAAGTTGCAAATCTAAAGTAAATCCAGGAATTCAAGGTTTGTGAAATAAGGCTAATCTTCCAACCTTTCTACAACCTTTACTCTAACTGTAGTAGAATGAAGGCACAATGTGCATGAAGGTACAAGCATCTTACGCAAAAGCTGTTCATATACAAGTTGTGTAAGCACAGGAATTTAATTTCTGAAATGTGTATCTAAAATTAAACACTTACAGCTTTAGCACCTGTATGGTTGGGAATTCCCCAAAAAGCAAGCATTCATCCAACCACTTTAAGCAACTGCAGGCTGCTTGGCAAGCACAATATTTAAATCCTAAATGTTTATGCCAAGGGAAATTGTCTTCTACAGCCAATGCTTAACACAGGTAACAGTCCCTCTTGCTAGGACTGCAATTTCCCTTTCAGTCGTCTTTCCATTTTGATGACACATTTCCACAACAACATTTGCTTCCCAGGACTTCCAAGTTCTTTCCACCTATAATCCAACTATACAGTCAGTCAGTAACTTTGGAAAAGAACCAACAGCTAGTGGGACACAATAAGACAACCAAATACAAAACCATGCCAAATTCAAGCTGCAAACATTCTTTTTCAGCTATGGCTTGAATTCAGTGCAATTTGAAGCTTTTCCTGTCTCATGCCTGACATCATATGGATGAACAGGTGAGCAGGGTTGGGTAAAATGAGCAAGCAGAACAAAGGTAAACATAATTAGGCTGTGGGCCAGAGGTTCCCCACTGCTGCAAATGAGGATCCAGCCCCCCTCCCCAAGTTTCAAGCTCTATATAGATATCTAACTATAACTAATGCACAAAACACTCCCCTGTGTATCACTGTACACCTTGAGTGTTGGGCTTAGTAAGCCAGTTGCCTAGGAGTTGCTATCCTGCCCATATAAATGACTAACTTCAATCCTGAAATAGTTTGCTCCTGTTATTTTTTTATACTCAAAGCCAGTGATTTTGAACACAAATCCTTGAATATGGGACTCAGTGCCAGTGGGAACTAGCACCCAACCTCTCTCAAACATGGAGAGCAAGACCAACATGAAAATCACGAAACAGCTTATTTAAGGCAGCAGTCACATAATGCCCCAGAAGTGTTTCTAAATTTAACAGTGTACCAATACACCAAACTGCATGGTACTTTGTTAGCACCTACAACTGTCATAGTCTCAGAACTTCATGAAATTTAAAAGTAGCTTATTTTCTATTATAACACCAGACATTATCTTTGAATTAGACAGTCACTGTAGGTCCTTTTTCAGCTAGACTGCAATTGCACTTTAACAGATGTCTAGCTAATAAATTGACAAGATTTAGCCAAAATATTCCAACACAAAAGAATAACATCTGTAACATGGAACTCTGGTTATATCTGGGGAGTCTTTATGGAGATGTTGGAAGACTAACATGCTAAGGAAAGAAAGCAGACGACAGCGGGGGAGAACAACACGGGAAAATAGCATAATAGCTTAGGATGATTTAACATTAATGTGTAGTAGATGGGCACAACCATAAATTAAGTGTAAATACTATTTACACCGCAGGTTTTTCCCCTAGCTAAAATGAAATCATATGGCAGAAGGTGAAGTGAGTATTAAGCAAAGACAGTACCTTGACCCTCGTGGTCAGAGGAGCTCTACCAGTTTTTCTGTTGTGGTGCCTATCTATTGTTCTACCAGCTGATATTCACTCTAAGTGTGATTGAGTTGGCTACTTCTTTGGTTAGTTAAGAAGGCCTCTGGCTGAGCACTTTGTTTGACTGAAAGCTTTTGAGGTTTTTGTTATTGCTGTCACTAGTTGCTACTGTTGTTAACAACAAGCTAATATGATGGTTTTTATTATAGCTTTTAGCTTTTCTTGATTTGTCAGCATAATAAACTCTTTTAAAAGAAAGAATATATATATATGAAGATAGAATATATATATAGAGAGAGAGACCCTTAATGTGTAGCTGTATGTGGAAGACTGCTACCAGGAAAAATTGAAAAGATAGAAGCACAGGATGCTAACTTTTACAGAGTCAGGCTATTGGCCCATCTAGATCAGTATTTCCAACATAGACTGGTAGTGGCTCACCAGGATTTTGGGATGGGTTGTCTCCCAGTCCTACCCAGAGATGACAGGGATTGAACCTGGAACCTGCTGAATGCAAAGCAGTTGCGTGGCGAGTTCCCGCCCCCCACCAGGATAAATAAAGACACAAGACACCAAATTTAAGGTTAAATGGGCGAATTAGGGCACAACTTTATTTAATTCAGGAATGAGAGGCATTGGCTTAGGCATTGGTCCTATCGACTATCCGGCTCCAGCCCATTTGCTGGAGACACGGGAAGGGTTAACACCATAGAGGGGGAGTCTCCTGCTGAGGCACGTCAACTAGGAGCTCCCCGGGGTCACCGCTCGGGGGCGTGCCTTTGGCCCACACCTCCATAGGCTTCGGACAGGGCCACGCCCCCCGGAGTCCTTTATCGGACCACCCTTCGTTCACTGGGGGGAGGTGATGGCGTTCCTCCCCCCACACACATCCTCTTAACCCCTTCTTACCAATGCCTAACTGCCAATGCCGAGGAGTTGTGACGAGTTGCTACGAGGTAGGCAAAAAACCAAATGGCTGTAAATTGCCAATTGGGAAAAATTCCTACCATGCCTCTTGTGGCGACAGACCAAAGTCCATAGCAAAGTCAGAGACCTACCTAGAGCCTACCCAAAGGGAGGGAGGGTGGGAAAACGTGGGGGCTAGTCGGCGAAAAGAGGGCGAGCCCCCTCTGCGCCGGCCCTAAATAGGGCAGGCCACACACCCCAGCCAGTCGATTGGCTGGCTGGGGGGGAAGACACGGCGGGATTCCCCTGCTCTCGCGGGGGCTGAAACCAGCCCCCGCTCAAGTGGGGGTGGGCGTGAAGCCCGCAACCCCACCTCCTGGGCAGGCCGGAAGTGGCTATGCTATACCACTGAGCTATTGCCCTTCACCAAAAGGGAAAGGGGGGGGGGTGAACTCCTTTCATCAAACCACTTTCATAGGGAAATCAGACACCTTTTTCTGTGGAAGGAGTTCTCTCTAGTGGGGTAGGATTACCATCACCAAGGGAAAGAAACCCATATTCATGGCCACCTGTTGAGATTCCTGCATTGCTGGGAGTTGGATGAGATGACCCTCAGGGTCCCTTCCAAATCTACAATTCTATGATGCCACCTAAATCCTCATACTTGTCAAAACCCCTTCTCACTACACAGTACCTTCCTTCCTGGAGAGTTTCTAAGGTAACCTTGCTCCCTAGTTCTGAAATGAACAGGGCTGCTAACAGTATGAAAGCAGACAAGATAATGCAATACTATTCCAGGATACATCCTTGTGCTATTTCGGTCATCAAACTCCACATTAAAATTTTCTGAGAATTGGTTGTGTATGTAGCAGGAAAACCCCAGCAAGTTAGATTTCTGTTAATAGCAATCCTTGAAAAGTACACATTGCAAATACCACCTGGATGTAACTAAGGCATATGAAATAGTATCCTGATCTACTCTCTACAGGAGCCAGTGAATTTAGTGCACTAGACTGAGCTCTGGAAAAACAATCCTGAATCCAGTAAAGTCCCAAGCTGTGAGCCTGGATTAAAAACAAACAAAAAACCCCACACACTTCCAAAACAGCACTTATGCCTTATTTGGTTTAAGTAATTGCCCAAGAACGTGTAAAAAATAAGAGGTGTCAGGGAGGAAACAGAATATACAGACCAGATACAATGTTCATTTTTTTTGCTATTGGAAAAGCAATGTACTCCATAGGCACATAAAACCATATTGCTAAGTGCACTCTTTACACAATGATATTTTAGGCATCTGTTCGTATACACAGAGGCAAATAATTCTTGACAAGTTGAGATGACATACAGAAGTTTTGTCTGGAGAGGCTGATAAGATTATTTGTTTTCCATCCCCAGTCACATGGATTCTAGACCTGAAGATTCCTGGGCAAGCAAGCAATTCCTCCAGATGTTCAACTGGAAAACAGTTCTTTCTGAACGCCAAAACAATGTATCTGATGTTGGAGAAATGTTTCCTGCGGTTTGGGTGTTCTGGTAAATAGGATTTGTCTGTGTTCATTGACATTTCCTAGGCCACTAGAAGGATGACACATATGGACATTACAAAACATTCTGTTGATGGAATTGTTGGAATGCTGTACCATCCAGGAAAGGAAAGCTGTTGTCTTAAAATAATATCTGTGTCCTCCACACAGTTTTCCTTTCCAACGCCTGCCTGAGATGAAAGATACTATATCACATCCTGCAAAGGCACGGAGGAAGAGAAGCAGGCCAGCCATATCGGCTGGAAGGGGTGAATGTACACAGAGGATAATAAAGTTAAAGGGACCCCTGACCATTAGGTCCAGTCGGGGGTTGCGACACTCATCTCGCTTTATTGGCCGAGGGAGCTGGCGTACAGCTTCCGGGTCATGTGGCCAGCATGACTAAGCCGCTTCTGGCGAACCAGAGCAGCGCACGGAAACACCGTTTACCTTCCCACCGGAACAGTACCTATTTATCTACTTGCACTTTGACATGCTTTCGAACTGCTAAGTTGGCAGGAGCAGGGACCGAGCAACGGGAGCTCACCCCGTCGCGGGGATTCGAACCGCCAACCTTCTGATTGTCCTAGGCTCTGTGGTTTAACCCACAGCGCCACCCACATCAGAGGATAGGCAGATATTAAATCAGGGGTGGGCAACTTCTGGTACTCAGCTAGCATGGCCAATGGTCAGGGACAATGAGTTACAGACCAGCAAAATCTGGAAGGCCACAGGTTCCCCAACCCTGTACTAAAGTATCTCCCAGCTCCACTTTCAACCACAGCTAAAACACAATTGGTTCAGTTTACTAACAACTTCCTTGTGGTCATCAGTCAATCTGTAAGAAAAACCTTACATCAGATTCCTCATACAATGAGAATGAGATGGGGAGTAGGAATTACCGTACTTCACATGACGTATAACTGACATGGAATTCACTTGCATAATCTTCATGAACACAAATGTAGTTTAAGAAGACTTTCCTATGGTATCATGAGGCTTGCTATCAAACTGTGCCTTTCATGAAGGTTTAGTTTTGAGTTTTGGGTTTTTCTCTTCTTATATTAAAGTGGCGGGGGACGGACTTCCCATTGTGAGGAATAGAGAACATGAGGTTTTGGAGGCAAGCAGGATGCCACATGCATTCATTTCCTGACCCACGAGACCTCAGCAATTGCACAATCTGCACTACACATCCACTGTCAAAATGAAGCAATGTCTGAAGTTCTCGGGGATGGCATCTAAATTGTCTCCTGCAATTACTGCATCTGTCTGGGTGTCTATAGAAAGTCTGGTAGCTCTGATGTTATTAGTTTACATTACAGCAATTATCTTCTCAGCCACAAACTTCAAAAAAATAATCAAAAACAATTCATGCAATTTTATAAAGGAAAAATCTGTCAGTGTAATACTGCTACCAAGTTTTAGTTTTCCTTAGAAAACTAGCACTGAGATTTCAAGGTATTAAAGCAAGACCTGGATCATGTGAAAACCAGGCAACCTATTTAACAGGAAACCTATTAAAAAGATATTTAGAATCCAAATATTTCTTACTGGGTTGGATCAAGACCTTAATTATTCTTAGAACAGACCCACGAAAATCAATGGGACTTGACTGACTAAAGCTCCACTGATTTCAGCGCATCTACTCCAAGCATAGCCAAGTACAGAGTCAGCCCACTGCATGTCTCCACACACTCAAATGTGTAGCATTCATACTCAGTGCTAGTGGCCCCCAGGAAAATGCACACATGCATAGTAAAAAGATTCAGATGCTTCTGCAAGGAAAAGGTTTTGGACAGTTTTTGAGTGGAAATATCACTGTTAGAACCACTCTTAGCAGAAGGCAACAGCACACTTGAGCTTTTTCCTCCCCCCCTTGTGCAAATTAATTGAAACAAACAATGTAGTTTATTGTACAAAGCTCACACATACATGTACAAAACTCACATACACGTACATTAGTAACAGATATGACCTCCGCTATTTTTAAGCAGTATTTGAACACAGTTTGGCATGGCGTCTACTAGTTTCGAACAGTCACTGTTGATTTTCGGATCCCTGTACCACACTTGAATCAGTGCCTGAATGAGCTTCTCCATAGCTGTACAGTCTACAGCAGAGAGGTGACTTTTGCATACAGCTCACAAATTCTCAATGGAATTTATGTCCAGGGAATTCCCTGGCCAATCAAGTACCTTTATTTGCTGCTCTGTCATGAATTTCTTCACCACTTTCAATGTGTGACAGGGGGCTAGGTCCTGCTGCAATATCCCTGTACCGCCAGGATACCTCTTTTCCAGCTCTGGAATAACTCTCTTTCATAGAACCTCAATATATTGTGGCGAGTGCATCATTCCTTCTATTGGCTGCAGGCTTCCGACACCATAATGATCAACTGACTTTTCGTGTTTGTTTTGAGTACAGGATTACGAGTAAGATAGAAAACATGCTTTGTTTCAATTAATTTGCACATGTACTTTTGAATTCTGATGCCTGAGAAACTTTTCCTGTTCTACAAGATCCTTTAAAAACACTTTATGTTGTTGCTGCTGCATTATGCATGTTTATGTAATTAATTATAAACTAGATGGTATAATTAATAAGAGCTGGTTTAGTGTAGTGGCTGGAGTGCACAGGGAAGGCCCAGGTTCAAATTCACTCAGCCATGAACTCCTTAAAGAAGTGTGGGGTAATAACTGTATCAATTATTAGACAGCCCTAGTGTAATAAACTCTAACATGTCCTTTGTCTAGCCTTGGGGTGCCACAAGTTTCAATATGGAAGCAATTGGAGATAATAGTAAAATACCATGCTATGTCACAGAGCAGCATTACATCAATGAAACACACAAGGTGGTCAAACCAGAGTCAATTCAGTCATGTTACCTATGGGGTTCTAGTTTTGATAGGGGACAGGAAGCTAAAAGCAGCAAGATGGCACAGTAGCAAAGCTTCTTATCTGCAGATGAAACCGGCAAAAGCCTTCCACTAATTAGCTGCTGGGCATGTTCTCTCCCACCTACTGAGCCCAATGTGCATGCGGGTGGGAAAACAGGTCTGGCTAAAGAGGCTCTGCTGAAGCAGTGACTCAGCTTGTTATTTGCTCAGTGCTCAGAATCATGCCCAGCTGTACTTGATGAAGACGTGTGCCTCTATCCTCAGCCCATGTCTGTTTTTCCTATGAATTTTCTCTATGATGCTGCCTGTCTCTCTCTGCACCATGAATCAAGTATCGTCTAGTAGCATTTTAGTATGTCAACAAATATGGCCAGATTCAACTAGCAAGTCGCAATAGTGGAAGACAATGCAAGGCTTCCCCCTAATACAACAGGTTTTTTTTCTCCCCCTCCTTTCCTTCTGGGAGTCCCCAAATTGGCTCTGATGTGTGTTGGGGGAACCCCAGAACAGCTCATGTGGCAGGGGGTGCGGAGAGGGGAGACTGAATGTCTGGCAAGCTGAAATGCTTGCACTGATGGAACAATCTGCTTAGCACTACATTGAATTCCTCCCTGCAGACTATTTATTTCAAATGTTGATCTACTGCCTCTCATTAAAATCACAGCAAGGCAGAGGATACTGTCAATATAAAACAGGAATTCAAAAACTATCCTATATGCTATAAAAACAATCCAATCCAACAAAATTCCATCCAGCACAGCCAACTCAGCTCTCTTGAGGAAGAGAGACAGAGGGAGGAAGTAGAGGAGCAACTTGGCACTGGGAAAAGGCAGCCCGAAAGAGGAGCCCAAACATTAAGCCCTAGCCTCTGCCAACACTATATGCCACCACCGGGAGCAAAGTCTACAGCCCAAGAGCCATGCACACATATCAATAAAAATAGATATTTTGCGGGGAGCAGGGTATTTCTGGTGTATTATAAAAAGGTATTTTGTATTGGGTAAGAGCTTTTTGTATATCTTTGGACAGATATGGGAGGGGGGAGAAAAAGGAAAGTGGGAGGCATCGAAAGAAAACTAGTGAGGCTGCATAGGGAGCTTACTTTCCGTTATGAAATGGAAGGCAGCAAAAATCATGAAGAAAAAGTATACATGAGTAGCCAACAGTTGCAGGGAGAAGGTCAGGTGAGCCAAAGCTCAGAATGAACTCAGGCTTCCAAGAGAGGTTATAAACAATGAAAAAGGGTTCTTTGGCTATGTTCGAAGCAAGAGGAAGAAGAAGCAAGTAGTGGGTCCCTTGCATGGAGAAATGTTATTGAGGACAGAGAGAAGGCAGAACTGTTCAACACCTACTTTGCCTGTGTTTTCACCCAAAAGGAAAGCAGTGCCCAACCGGCTGATAACAGAATAAATGATGCAAGGAGGAAAGCACAGCCCAAGATAGGAAATAATGTGGTAAAGGAACACAAGCTTAACCTGAGTCCACACTGTGATGCAGCAGCAGAAAAAGCTAATGCTATTCTATGTTTCAGCAACAAAAGTATAGTGTCCCAATCAAGGGAAGTAAAAGTACCACTCTATTCTGCATTGGTCAGACCACACCCGCAGTACCATGTCCAGTTCTGGGTACCACAATTTAAGATACAGTGGTACCTCGGGTTAAGTACTTAATTCATTCCGGAGGTCCGTTCTTAACCTGAAACTGTCCTTAACCTGAAGCACCACTTTAGCTAATGGGGCCTCCTGCTGCTGCCGCGCCGCCAGAGCACGATTTCTGTTCTTATCCTGAAGCAAAGTTCTTAACCTGAAGCACTATCTCTGGGTTAGTGGAGTCTGTAACATGAACTGTATGTAACCTGAAGCGTATGTAACCCGAGGTACCACTGTATTAGGATATTGACAAACTGGAATGCATTCAGAGGAGGGTGACCAAGATTATAAAGGATCTGGAAACCAAGTCTTATGAGGAACAGTTGAAGGAGTTGGGTATGTTTCGTCTGGTACAGCGGAGACTGAGAGGAAAAATGATAACCATCTTCAAATGTCTAAAGGGCTGTCACATGAAAGGTGGATCAAACCTGTTTTCTCCTACTCCGGAGGCTAGAACCTGAACCAATGGCTTCAAGTTACAAGAAGGCAGATTCCAACTAAGCATCAGTAAGAACTTTGACAATGGAACAGACTCCCTTGAGAAGTGGTGAACTGTCCTTCCTTGGCTGTTTTTAAGCAAAGGTTGGCTGGCCACCTGTCATGTATGATTTGGTTGAAATTCCTGCATGGCAGGAGGTTGGACTAGATAATCCTCAGGGTTGCTTCCAACTTTACAATTCTATTATTCTATTCTATGAAAAAACAATGTATCATATATTTCTTTATCAACCAGGGACCTAAAACAATTTCAGGTTATGTTAATGCACGAATAAACTTGCATTAAAGACTGGGTCTTTATTTTTATTCATTTAACAACATTTATATACCACTTACTCAAACAAAAAGACCTCTAAAACAATATCTTGATAATCTTTGTATCTATTTTGGATTGTAAGCTCCTCAAGAAGGGATCCGTCTCTTAGTCTGCAAAGCTTGTGCTGCATACTGATGGCATTATATAAATAATAATAAAAATAATGTGCAGCGCTGTGGTATATAAAGTTTTGCAGTGTAAATATTTACACTTGTGCTAGCACTGCAGAACATCATGATAAAGGATACTGAAGAATATGCATCGTCAAAATAAATTGTGTCTATTTTAGAGCGAAAGCAGCTTCCCTCAGGCATTCAGTCTGAATGTGGAAAGGGGCAATCAGTAATACATAGGCAAGTCCCACTCCCGCATTGCTGCTGCCTGCACCAGCCACACTCCCCAGTCACTGTGTGATCAGCATCCATCTGAAGGGAGCTACTAACCATGCACTGATTAGGCCAGGGGTCAGCAACCTTTTTCAGCTGTGGGCCGGTCCACCATCCCTCAGACCATGTGGTGGGCCAGTGTGTGTGTGGGGGGGGGGGATGAACGAATTGCTATGCTCCACAAATAACCCAGAGATGCATTTTAAATAAAAGGACACATTCTACTCATGTAAAAACACGCTGATTCCTGGACTGTCCACAGGCCGGATTGAGAAGGCGATTGGGCCGCATCCGGCCCCCGGGCCTTAGGTTGCCTACCCCTGGGTTAGGTAGTGTTCTGATGGCCCAAGGACCAACTCACAAATTCCTGCTTGTGTTCAAACTACAGAGAGCGAGGGTAGTTCTGGGATATGAAACTAAAGAGAACACAGAAATCCTGTTTGTTTGCCCATCAATTCATTCTATACATACATCCATGAAGTTTCTAGTCTTAATAACTGCATTTGTGATCTTGATTCAATAAGCTTACAACTACGTTTTTCAGTCCTGCCAGAAGCTTCCCTTCTTTCTTCCAGTGCTGAACTTGAGTGGCACAAACATGACTGTTTTTCAAGCAACTGTGAAGCCTTATAAGTGACTAAAAATGCACCTATTCTATCTCAGTAGTCCATACTAAAGAATAACCTTGGTATAAATAACACCATTTATATAAAATAAAGCATTAGGCACAAATACCTATGTGGCTGGTTGTTTTTAAATCTCAACACGAAATTAAAAGACATTTAACTTATAATAATAATATTTATTTATTTATTTATTTATACCCCACCCACTCTGGGCAACTCCCAGCAGAATATTGAAAACACAATAAAACATCAAACATTAAAAAAAATCCCTAAAAAGGAATTTTAAAAGCAACTTTTAAATGACCTTAACAGTCAATTAAAATTTGGTTTGAAACAATTTACCATAGTACTCGGATCCACTTTTTATTGTGCAACCGCTCTCTCCCTGTCCCTTAAACATTACCTTGCCATTTCAAATTGCTGTAAATGTCACTCCTGATTTGGATCTTGAACTCATGTGTTAACTTTATGCAAGCTATTTAGGCCTGAGAGGCAGAATGTAAAGGAAGGGGCTGGCACACAAGCCCCCTCTCTGAGGCATGCTGTAACTGTGTGTGGTGACCAGACAATGGCAGGCAGTGGGGATGAGCATGCTAGTTCCATCTACCTCATCAACATTTCATGGGCCCTCATGCAGGGCCCACCAAATACATTTTGCTGCCTCAGGGGAAGGACAATACTGTACTCCCCTATTTTGCAAATGAAAGCTGACCAGATTGGTTGGCAAATCTTACTTTGACACTGGCGGTGAGACCTCCACTGCACTCAAAGGCTGCAATTGTGGGGTGCAGAGCAGATCATATGGCACACCCATCTCTGTCCACTCCTTGCTCTTCTGCATTTGCCACCCGAGGTGGTTGCCTCACTCTGACTCATGGTAGAGCTGGCCCTGATTCTATGCGTTTAATGGTGACAGCCTGAAGCTGGGAGCCTCCTGTACTCAGAGTCCTGAATTTCTAAGGTTCTAAAATATACAGAGAGCCTGCCTGAGTACATAAGGCTCCCAACTTCAGACAGCCTCAGGGAGTTGGAAGGTGACAAGAACAAATAGGTGGAGCTAGCATGCTTATCTCACTTCCCCCTTGTGTGTTTACTAAATGAAGCTACAGAACATCCAAAAAGGGCTAGAGTGAATCCAGGTATGCTCCCTCCATGAGGAATACCAGGCATTTATCCTTATTCAAACTTTATATCTTGGTGATGATGTGCCAAGCTCTACAGTAAACAAATGAACAGTTTCTAATTTTCAAGGCCCCAGAATGTACTAGTCCTTTACTAGCACTGTAAAAACAATCCCTTTGCCATTCCTGGCCTGAACAACCAGTCTTTTCCTACCACCTGCTTCAAGCCAGCACATGACCAACACATGTTTTCAAGTATGACACTTATAGAATGATATCATGCAGAATATTTTCCCTGCTTCCTCACCAAGCGATTCTGCTTAGTGAGCACATGGTTGTGTAGTGAAGCTGCCACAATTCTGTGCTTTTGGTATGAATCGAAAGGGCACTCAGTTGCTTCATTCCTGCAAGCTCATCTCATTTCGTAAAGTGATATTACTCCTGTTTTTCACCAGCCACACAAAGCACATGCCATATTCTATGGAATAACACTAACCGAAATAGGGTTTATGAAAAGTGAAGCAGGTGCTCTTAACAAATACTCACCTTTCCAACCAACTACCCCCGCCCCTGCCTTCATTTAGATGCACAGCATATTCTCAGCTAAATATTTGCTCACGTCTTTGCAAGACTTGGACCTATGGACTTAGCTGTGCAAAAGATTCTGTGCTGATGTGGGTCACTTTGACCTCCATACATCAGTCCTGCTTGCCAGCACCAGTCCACAGAGTACAGTACATAAGTTCTCCAGCAGGTCAAACATCTGAAATACCATTCAGTTCATTTCCATGCATCTGGGGAATGAGATGCAAACTGATTCATTAGAGCAGTGGTGAAGAACCTTGGGATGAGGGAACAAATGTGGTCTGTTAGGCCTTTCTATCTGGCTCTTGGGATTCTCACTAGACCACATCTATTTCCAGGCCACACTTCTTTACCAGGACTGCTCTGTGTCTCAAGAGCTTCTGCCTGCCTGACACATGTCCATGAACTGTGACCTCTAGCTTGTCTGGATGGAGATGTGTGTGTGCATGCAGAGACTCTCATCTTTTGCATGGCTGAAATGTGGCCTCCGGTACAAAGGAAATCATCAAATCTATGCCCACCTTTGCCTCTGACCCCACCTGCCACTGGTATGTGGTCCATGGAAGGTTTCCCATTAGAGTATGTGGTCCTTGGGCTATAAAGGATTCCTTACTCACTTTGAGCCTTACACTGGGAAAAAGATGTTTGGCTCTAATCAGCATTTTGTTTCATGCACACACACTGATGCCGACTTCTACCAGACCTTCTGAAAAGAAAATGTTTCTAAAGCAGTGAAAAACAGAAATCAAGGAGAAGTTCCCATTCTGTTCAGTTAAGTTCCTCCTTCCTCAGTAAAGGTGGGAAGGGGAAACGACCTGTCCACAATTAAACAAGGAATCGAAACAAAGAGGTATTTTGGTTTTCCATTTTGGTTATTTGGAAGAAATGAACTGTGGATCAGGTAAAAAAAATAATTACACCCATTTTAGACAGAGGCATAAAGTTGAAGATTCAGAACTTTCAATTCTGGAAAAGTCTTATAACAGCAGAAAGAGTTTTGCTGGGCCCTGGGTCTATACTGCTAAATTTAAATTTAACTAAAACATCACTGCCTATCCTCCCTGGCACCATGTACAGGTACAGATGTGAAACTTTGTGGAAGAAAAAAACAGGTTTGTGGGGTGTGTGTTTTTAAAAAACAACAACACTACTTTCCCCTTCAAATAAGTTCCTTTGGACAAGTTGCTTAAACCCTCTTCAGGTGTAGAAAAGGCTCCCCACTTCAGAGGTTCAGCTCCCAACACATGGAGGGATGTGGGAACAAGAAAAGTGATGCTCCAGAGAGCCTGGGAGAGCACTTCCTACTCTTTCTTTCATTTGATGGTTTCTTGAAGATGGGCTTTGAAAGATAGAATCAGCTTCCTAGCCATGTATGCAGACTCTTCCTCCCTCACCTTGATGCTTCCTCTAAAAATTGCCACAAATACCCAGAGAACAGACTATTTATACTGTGCCCTCTCTTGGACAAATAAAGCATGGAACACTCAAAGTTGCAAGTGGTGTGCAGTGCAACACTGATCTAACACATCATCATTGCAGGCCAGGATTACTGAAAGATCAAATATGAAGTACTTCTGAAATTGCAACATACTCGGCACTATTATTGCTTATGACATACAACTTGAACAAATTAAATACCAGTACCTTACAATTAAATAACCAGCTTGCTTATATAGGTATGTGATCACTTGCGCCTTTTGTTTTGCTGTCATCAGTCAGAAATACCACTAAGAAGTTGCAGCAACACATTTAACAAATCTGTTGAGAACCTGTCATTTTAAACAGGAAGACAGATGCAGAGTTGGATTTTTTTAGATAAAAGTACTCCTTCCTTCTGATTAAATACTTGGAAAAGTGACACAAGTCTCTCAAAGCTGTACAGGCCTCTCTAAGTTTTACCTTTGCCTCTGTGACACTTAGACAGGGTGAAATCCCTGCAAGGACTGGGAAATTTTATACAACACAATGAGGAAGTGCACATATCAGTAGACACTATCAGCAAGTCCACATTCCGACAGTCTTGAAAGACCTGAATTTGTTATGAAGCTGAAAAATCACAAGATCAAGCTCAAAGGGGTGGGGTTCAAACAGAAATAATTTAGCCCTAGAACTGAGCATGGGAATTTCCTATGGATGCTGCTCAACTAATTCTATTCTAGTCAGAGAAGACCCACTGAAAATTACGAAAACACTCTAACCACACACACCACACCACATTGGTGGTTTATCAGTATAGACAAGATGAAGACTCCAAATTCACTCCATTCATTAAACATTCTGTATGACTAACATAAAAATGATCAACAGCATATTGGAAACAGCTGTTCTTTTTGAAATACATCTCATTACTTTATAGAATTGCAGTTGATCTTAGTAAGGTATTACCCTACTGTGATTTTTAATCCCCCCCCCCCTTAATGATCAGTATGGTAATCCATGTCTTCTTGTATTGGTTTTTTGCAGAAACAGAAATGCAAGCAGCAGCTCTGGCATGGAAATATGTACTGAGCTTGTGTACATGTACAAAAACACAAACGCCAGCTAAGATTTCCTATAGCAGTGAGTAAAGTCGCAATAGACAGAAGGCAGTTAACCTCCTGAATAACAGATGCATTATCTAGTCTTTGTACTGCCTTCAATGGTCCATATGACCTTCCTCAGCGATAAGGAATCAGCTGATATTAAATCAACACACTCCCCCACAAAGGAGACATTAGGATCTGAGGCCAGGCTATTGTGTTTGTATCTCCTGGGGTGGGTGAAGGGAACAAACCTGCACAGTGGATGGCTTTTTCCTCCTTACAGGGAAATGGAGATGGGTTTGTCCTCACAACTGAACAGGCCAAACACTGACATATGGGAAAGGAGCAGAAGATTTACCCCCCACCGCCAACAACAAATCACAAGAGTGATTTACAGCACCATCTTAGCCATGTCTACTCATGAGACCTACTCATGAGGGCTGGGTTCCTGGGCGAGTGTGGGGTTAAGCATTGCAGCCTCCATGGGAAAAGCCATTCACACAATCCTGGAAGTGGCAACTTGCTTCTTGGCGGCCTTGTACCCCCACCCCCCACCCCAGAGGAGTGTGGGGAATGGCAAGCAGGCAAGGCTTAGGAAAGGCACTCTGCACATGTTCAGAGCCCTAACAGCTGTTCTAGAGCTGAGCTCACTCGCTTCTGATCTGAGGTGGGGAGAGGCCAGACTAGGGCATAACCTTGGAAGTTGCAACGGCAGGAGAACAGTGGCGTTGACCTAGTATCCTTGGAGCAAGGCGGGAAGACCGCAGGCCTGCAGGCGAAAGGAGCTGAGGGGGGAAAGGCAGAGCCACGGCAGAAAGCGGGCGAGGTGGGAGCGCGCCATGCTTACTTGCGAGCTGAGATAGAACTTGAGGCACTCCTCGCAGACGGGCTTCTTGCAGCAGGGCAAGGGCTTGAGGGGCTTCTCCTCCAGACACACGCGGCAAGTCAGCACCAGCAAGGGCCCGAAGTCCCCGGAGATGAGCCCGGAGAACGGCTCGGGCAGCAGGTACAAGTCCACCTCGAGGCTGCCGTCCCCGCCGCCCTTTCCTCCTCCTCCTCCTCCGGGCAGAGAAGGCGGCGGCGGCGGCGGCGGCGAGAGGCCGGGGCCAGGGTCCCCTCCTGGGCGCGGAGACGCCGGCGGGGCGCTGGGCCGCCGGTCGCTCTCCACGCAGTAGACGGTGCAGTAGACGGGCCTCAGAGGAAGCCGGCGGCTGGGGCTGCTTCCCGCTTCCGAGCCGGAGCCCTCCTCCGGGCGAGCGACGGCGCTACCGTCCTCCGCCTCCCGGCCCAGCGGTTCAGCAGGAGGCGGCGGCCCCGGGTCGCCCTCTGGACGGGGCGCCGCTGCCCTCCCGCTCCCCGCGGCCGAGAGAGGCGGCCCGGGGGCGCTGGCTGTGGCGGCGGCTGACTCCCGCGGGGCGCTGGCCGTGCTCAGCTGCTCCCCATGCCCGCCGCCGCCGCCGCCCTCGCCGCCGCGGCCGCCGCTTCCCATCCAGCCGCCTCCCCGGACGTGTGGCGCCCCAGCCGGATCCGCACGGCGTACAGCGCCGCCGCCGCCACCTGGCTCCGTCCCCCCGCGGGGATCCCTCCCGCGCCCGCCGGAGCCAGCTAAGGGAGCGCCCGCTCGCCGCCTCGCCAGCCCCGCGCACGTAGGGCCCGCCGCCCCGACAGGGACCGCCTCATCCTGCCAGGCGAGCCGAGTTCAAAGAGGAGGACAAGCCCCTCCCGGAGCCGCGCACACCTCTCGGCGCTACCTAGCGCCTCCGGCACGCGCGCGCCGCCCTCTCCCACCGCCGAGCTTCCCCCCGCCCGCCCTTTATATTATTATTACATTTTATGATAATTATATATGTCATATAGATTCCCCACCCCCCACTTTCTTCTAAAGCGTTACGATTTTTATTTTTAAAAAATTAACATAGGGTGTCTCCCCTTCTCCTTGATGCGTAATGCGTAATCTGATCTGTGCATAGTTATGGAGTTCAGAGGGGTTCGATCTGAACTTACTTTGTTTAGGATTAAAGCCTTAATGTCCCTTCTCGCACACCCAAGGTCACGCCCAGTTACTCATTTCGTAAATCTGAAATAACTGTTAGCGTCTTCCTTTCACAGATTTCTAACTAGAGCATGAATCTGAAATCCGAGCTGTGATATTTGTAAGTTATATCATCCTCTTAATTCTAGAGCTGATGTACGTTTAAAAACAATAGGTGTGTGTATGGGGGACAAATTAGTTCATTCACTTCTCTTCTTCCTTTTCTTCTTTACTTACAACCCCCATCACAAAGATCATGGCTTGGGAGCCTCCAGATGTTGCTGGACTACAACTCCTGTCACCCCTGACCATTGGCCATGGTATCTGGGACTGATGACAGGTTCCCCACAGGTGACAGCAATAATGCTCCCCCCTGACATTCTTCAGAAATACAATTGATTTCCTTTGTGTGTGCACAGACAAGTACCACACTGTTGTGTTTGCTTATCAGAAAAAGCAAAACTCGTAAGAGAGCTCATTTTAAGTTGCAACCAATTCATGTTATTGGTCAATTGATTTTTAATATTTATATCTTTGTATCCCACCCTTCAAATGTAAAGCATTCCCAAGCCACATTGCTGGACAATGGCAATATATAGATGGGTGGAGAATTTGGACATTGATTAAATAATAGATCAGTGGTTCCCAAACGTTTCCCATACTGGCCACTTGAAAATTACAAGGGGCCTGGTGGACCACTTAATGATTTTTCTGGCTATTGTAAATGAGAACATAATGTTGGATCAGACCAATGGCCCATCTAGTCTAGCATCCTGTTCTGACAGTAGTTAACCAGTTGCCTATGGGAAACCAGCAAATAGAACACGAGCACAAGAGCACACTCTCCTCCCTTGGTTTCCAGCAACTGGCATTTGGAAATATTGCTGTCTCCAATTGTGGAGGTAGAGCATAGCCATAATGGTTAATAGCTGCTAATAGCCCTCTCCTCCATGAACAAGTGTAATGCACTGTGCTAGATGCAGTAGGATCATTAGGGGTTTTTTTGCTTATTTTATTTCTTATGTTTTGTTGTTGTTTAGTCGTGTCCGACTCTTCGTGACCCCATGGACCAGAGCACGCCAGGCACTTCTGTCCTCCACTGCCTCCCACAGTTTGGTCAAACTCATGCTGGTAGCTTTAAGAACGCCATCCAACCACCTTGTCCTCTGTCGTCCCCTTCTCCTTGTGCCCTCCATCTTTCCCAACATCAGGGTCTTTTCCAGGGAGTCTTCTCTTCTCATGAGGTGGCCAAAGTATTGGAGCCTCAGCTTCACGATCTGTCCTTCCAGTGAGCACTCAGGGCTGATTTCCTTCAGAATGGAGGGGTTCGATCTTCTTGCAGTCCATGGGACTCTCAAGAGTCTCCTCCAGCACCATAATTCAAAAGCATGGAGGAGGAACCGGCAAGCCACTCCAGTATCCCTGCCAAGAAAACTCCATGGACAAAGACAACATTTTATTCTCTTACAACTTGTATTCAATAGAATTCAAACTGTAACAAAAGGAGTGTGCCATTGGGAGTGAAGTCAAACTGTTGAATTACAGTGCCTGAGGTGGCTGTAGAGACTAATGTGGGAGAGACATGTTTTGTTGCAGCTGGGGCAGATGAAGGCATCCAGTTGTGCTGCTGCAGATGCACTATGATGTTTATTCTCTCTGCGTTCCTCCCAGCAGTCATTCCTCCTCTGGATACATGACTGTCTGTCTCCAGACACTGTGGTCATCTGCAAGGGATTCCCTCCTGGCGGGGTTGATGTTGCCAACCTCCTTCAGGTTTCATTTGTAGACATCTTTGTAACTCAGAATAATAAAATGCAATAGAAGAAATAGAAGAAGCAATTAAAATACAGTTAAAATCCATATGAGCATTAATGCAAGGGATATGCTGTCTGCCGTCTTCAAGCACAAACCTACAGACACACCACGGATCACCTGAAGGAAGCTTGTGGACCACAGGTGGTCCACCAGAGTGTAGGAGCCTTTATAATAGATGAACCCATCCACCTTGCTTGTTGTCAGACAGCACCAACTCATAACTGCAAGTTATGTTTTCAGGTAACATTTATATCTCCTTTGGCAGGCAGCAATGTTCCAAAGTCTCAAGTGGAGGTCTGCCCCAACCCTGCTGCTCAACCACCTTTGACCTGGACGGAGCCTAGGACTTTATGCATATAAAGCATATGCTCCAGCACTGATCTGCGATTCCTTCCCAAGTAATACAGAGAATAGCTAGCATATGATGTGGTATTCTATATATGTATTCATTTCTATGTTTACCATAATTTTTCAAGAGATGAATTTTATTCAGTTGTACATATACCTTGCCCCTAAGGCACATTTTAATTTGAAATTCATTGAGCGAAATGATGCCATCTGTGCAGCACCTTTGCGTTCTCCTCCCCTTCATTTTTCCAGTAGCTGGTGGTAATGGCTATACCAATTGTTCCAAGCAGCAGCAAAATGTGGGGATGTTTGCCAATCATTAGGTAGCCTAAGCTGCCATGAAGAAGAGGAGGAAAGTATTGTGCCATGCTCGAGCGAAACATGATGTCTGCAGAAGCAAAAAACAAAACAAAACAAACAAAATTGACAAGGTCAACTCTTGGGGAGCAAAAACTCTTCGAGAAAAGAAAACAACAAGACTGTGGATGTGTGTGTGACTACACAGAAGAAAAGGGGTAGGAGGGGGGGTGAAGAGCAGATTTGGAAGTTTTGATGAATGAAGCCACCTTTCCAGAGCATGAGCCAGATTTGAACCAAATGAGAGGAAATGCATGTGTTGCTTGGTGGAAGAAGAGAAAAAAAGGAAGGAGAAGGAAGAAAGCAGAAAATGGAGTGTGAATTGGCAAGGGGAAAAGGTGGAAGCACAGGTGAGCATAGAGGACACGAAGAAGTGAGAGGTTTGGGACACAAAATAACAATTAAACAACACCCTTAAGTCAGGGGTAGGGTGCATGTTTTCCTTTCCCTGTGTCTGTCTGCCCCCCCCATTTCCCCCTTCTTGCTATCAAGAGCCACCAGAATTAAGCAAAAAACTACCGTATTTTTTGCTCTATAAGACTCACTTTTGCCCTCCTAAAAAGTAAGGGGAAATGTGTGTGCGTCTTATGGAGCGAATGCAGGCTGTGCAGCTATCCCAGAAGCCAGAACAGCAAGAGAGATTGCTGCTTTCACTGCGCAGCGATCCCTCTTGCTGTTCTGGCTTCTGAGATTCAGAATATTTTTTTCTTGTTTTCCTCCTCCAAAAACTAGGTGTGTCTTGTGGTCTGGCGCGTCTTATAGGGCTGTAAGATTCCCACCTGTGCTGTAAGGGGACAAGCAAACAAAAACTGCATGGCCAAATGAGAACTGATTATGCTCAGTAGCCTCAAGAGTGTTGCCAGCCAGTTGAAAATGAGAAATGGGAAACTATGTTGTGTGTGGAATGGAGTATCCTATCTAATTTGAATGTGGTGGGGTGAATTAACAGCTAAATAATGCTCAAATATGGACAAACTCTAACTGTAGGGGTTGCCAGCTTTTTATCTGGTCTCTTGTCTGTGTCCCCAACATGCAGGAATTTTGGCATGCACAGCTGTCCCTGGCATTAGGATGTAGCAAGGGTTGCAGGCAGCAGCTTTGCTCTCTTAAATTCTGCAGTTGTCAGACTACTGATAAACTACCTAAAAAGGTTGGCAGTTTTATGCAGGCATCACTCTTTAGGAAATTTGTTATTATATATCGCCCATCGATGAAGAAACCACTCTTTCATTATCAAGTATTCTGTGCATATGGCCATATAGATGGGGAATTTATTGTCAATTAACAGAGCAAATTATGGATAGAGCCCCAATGGTACATACTTGGCAATACAGAACGCTTGTGAATTACTTGTGAAATTCAAATGTATAACAGATGCAAGTTAATTATGTATGAACTGCACTTCAGCATTCTGTTACGGATGTAGACTGAGTATGGAAGGCCCTACTACTTTGCTATGTTAAGATGCTATCCATTTATGATCCTACTATAAAATATAACACTTTATGATCTATGGCTGCTAGCCATGATGGCTGTGTTCTGCCTCTACTTTCTTGAATGCCAGCTGTTTCACAAGTGTGGAAAGTGTTGTTGTACAGTGGTACCTCGGGTTAAGTACTTAATTCGTTCCGGAGGTCTGTTCTTAACCTGAAACTGTTCTTAACCTGAACCACCACTTTAGCTAATGGGGCCTCCCGCTGCCACTGCACTGCTGGAGCACAATTTTTGTTCTCATCCTGAAGCAAAGTTCTTAACCTGAAGCACTATTTCTGGGTTAGTGGAGTCTGTAACCTGAAGCGTATGTAACCCGAGGTACCACTGTATTTAGGTCCTGCTCGTAGGCTTCCCATAGTCATCTAGTTGGCCACAGGATGCTGGATGAAGATGAGCCTTTGGTGTGATTCAGCAGGTCTGCTATTATGATCCACCAGGGCAATATGTACTCAAGTACCCAAGGATAGGCTTGGGACAGGAGATGATGACAAAGCTGCCCCTCTTTTTCTTCCCCCTCCCCTTCTCCAAAGCCCCCCTAGCTGAAGCAGCAGATCACAATAAGGAGAGGGGAGAAGGAAAGCTGCACATTCTTCCAGTTTTTTATTTTATATACTGTGATCTTTTTTGTGAACCACCTGAGACCTCCAGGTATAGTTTGGTATATAAATTCCATTAAATATTAATTATTATTATTATTATTATTATTATTATTATTATTATTATTAAAAGCAAGTGGTGGATAGGCCTGCTTTTGACGCCAGGGCACCCTCTTCATCCACAGACTACTTCAGCATGGAGTTCCTGCCAAAGAGAATGGAAGGGGTTTACTTCACAGCCACTCAGAGTGGAAGGGGCTGGGCCTTATACCAAGCTATTAACATTTTAACTCTTTAATATGGCTAATGATAAACAAACATTTTTTTTCTTTTTAACCAAAGAACATCTTTTATTTGCTTAAAAGTGCCGATAATGTGTGTCACATTTCAGCCTGATGTGCATAAAAAGAAGTTGCAAAACTTTCTAAACACACACACAAAAAATCAAGTGGCTAAATGTTGGGAATATGAGCCAAATGGACCTCCTGTTCCCCCTCCCACCATAGGATTTAGAATCATAGAATTGTGGAGCTGGAAGGAAGCCTTAGGATAATCTAGTCCAATGCCCTACAATGCAGGAATATGCAACTGTCCCATACAGGGATTGAACCTGCAACCTTAGCATTATCATGCCCTAACCAACTGAGCTATGCTTGAACCTGAATGGTTTACTGCAGGGGTCGGAAATTTTTTTTAGCTGCAGGCCGGTCCACTGTCCCTCAGACCTTGTGGTGGGCCGGAGAAGCGGCACTGGGGGGGGGGTGGAGTTGAAAGAAGAGGCGAGGGGGGCAAGTAGTCCTCCTCCCCACCCCCAGCTGCAGCTGCTGCATTTACCTTCCCAGGGGCTGCCGCCACCACTGCTGCCACTGCTTCTCGTGGGTAGGCAGAGGGAGCTCGTCCACTCTGCTCTCTGGCCCACAGGAGCACCAGGGCGGGGGGGGGGGGGAAGATGAGTGGCATGAAAGGGCTGGCTCCAGAGAGGGGCTGTTTAAAATTGTGCTCAGCCAGCTCAGCCCAGCCCCCTTCCTCCTCTAGGCAGGGTGGTGAGAAGCAGGGAGGGAGGGAGGAGGTGTTGCCACGGGGTGTGTGTGTGTGTAGGGGAAATGGTGCAGCCCGAACGAACAGAATCCCCACGCCGATCCACTGACAGTCCGCGGGCCGGATCCTGAAGGCAGTTGGGCCTGATCCGGCCCTGGGCCTTAGTTTGCCGACCCCTGGTTTACTGGCTAGTCTAAACCACCCAACCCAGGAGGGTAAGCGTGATCCCGATCTTCGGATCCTGGGAAAACATTTGGGGTTGCCAAACACTGGTTTTGATTAAGAGCACCTGTAAAATATATTTACCACAGCCCTGCATACAGTTAGGCTACTTAAATCCCCAGAGATTTTAGTGGGATTTTTGCAGTCTGTCTCAAACGTGTTAACAACTACAGTATTTGTTTAAAATTGAAATGTATGGGTAGTTGATGAGAGATGCAGTTTTATCACATCACTAAAAATGCAATTGGGTCTGCGAAAAGCAATATAAATAATTAAAATCAGACAGGTTAATCAATAAGGCCAGCATTTGACTGGTTCTTTAGGCCACTTGCAAATAAGCGGATTATTAGAGAAACATTTTCCCTCCCAGATTTAAGCTGCTTAGCCTTACACAGCCTGCCAAAAGAGCCAGATGTTGTTTCAGAGTGAAAAATGTTTTTCAGAGTGTTTTGTTTTTATATTAGATAGATAAGATAAATGTCAGGTATCAATAATAGACCATTATAGGGACAAAACATTTCTCTCTTTATGAGAAATCATGGCCCTGCATTCACTTGCATAATCTGATTTCTAGTCAACCAGCTTGGTGAAACTTCCCTTATCCAAAAGTCTCTCTTGTTATCTAGACTTTATTTATAGCCACAGTGTTGGTTAGCTTCTGTATGTGTTTCCCTTTATCCTCGCCCATCTCTGACCCAAATCCGGCTGACAAATGACATATTCTCCAGAAAGTTTGCCAGATATTGCAATTTCTACTGTTTCTGACAACAACAACTCAAGATAGAAGTGTTATGTTGAAATTTTTCAAGCACTGGAAAAAAAATACCTTACAACTTTAAAACCCAATATTCTCAGCTCTGCCTCAGGCTTCCGAAGCATCATTGTGACCCTTGTTACAGCTTTCATCAAGGAGCAACTGAAGGCACAGAGGGGACAAAGTGTCTTTGGGCTGTATTAATTCCCCCTTCATACACTGGAATAATCTCCACACACACCCCCCCCTTTGGAGGAGGGGGCTCTGCAGTAACAACCAGGAAAATAAATCTAAACTTGAAAAAAACCTAGTTTTTTAAAAAATTGGTGCACAGGTTGCATTGTTGTATTTTTCAATTCTATTCTTTGTTTTTTAGATCATACAGCACCACTTAATACATACATACATACATACATACATACATACATACTGTTCTGAGTTTCCAGGGGAGGAAGTAGGCTGTATGTGAAATCTTCCTAACTCCTGTATCCTGCAATGTTAAAATGTAAGGCAGGCTAGCTTCCTGTGTTGCGGTGATCACCTGGGTGATGGACCCTTAAGAGAACAAAAGAAAGTTAGAGAAAGTTAGAAAGTCAAAGCCCAAGTTTAGAGTTGAAAAGTGGTAGTGATGCGACCTAAAGGTAAATCAGCAAGATGGAGAGGGAGGGAGGGGAAGAGAGAGAGTCAGAGCAACATTTGAGAGCAACATTTTATTTCTGTTTGAATCCCAAGGCTATGACTATGGGAGAAACAAGATACTTTTGGGGTGTTAATGCTGTGAACCCCTCCATCAGAGACTCAGGTTGTATATACATGTGAATAAACCATATATCATAAAGACACAACCACAGTCCAAAAGGAAACACGACCCCTGGCCCACCTGGCTGCAAGTCAGTATGCCAAGTCCAAAATCTGAGGTTCAATCCACACAAGTCCAAAGACACAGTCCAGGGTCAATCCAAGTAGCCAGGTCTGAAGTCCAGCAGTCAGGATACAATCCAGAGTCCAACCCAAAGCACAGTTCTGTGGAGGTGCAGGAGCATCCAAGTCAAGGTCCATCAACATGGGCAGTTGAGCAGACAGCACCCTCAGCTCTGCTTCCCTTCTGTACTTTGCATGCTGATTGCAGCATCTGGGCTTGATGAGGCTTGTGACCCTCACCTGCTCCAAGCCTATTCCAGTTGAGGAATCACACACTTCCTCCCAGAGCTAACAAGCCCCACCTGGCCAGCTAGTGAAGCAGGCTGTGGCCCCTTGCCTGCCTCAGCCTCCTAAAGCACCACTCCTGCTTCTCCCTTATGCCTCAGAGCCTGCTGTGTTTGTGGAGACAGGGGCCCCTCTGGCTCTGGGTCCTGCTGCCCTGATTCCTGTGCACAAACCCCATCCCTTGCTATCCTCCATCACCCTGTGAATACTTCCTTCCCCATCCCCTGCTTGCTTCCGTGTGCCCCAGTCCCGGCTACACCCCTCACCAGGATCCTTTTCCTTGTCCCAATCATCGTGCCAGTTCATGACAGGTAAGTGCCTGGAACTCCAGGAATCTCATACTACTTGGATGTTGGGGTGGTGTGCAACAATATTACATTTATAGCCCACCTTTCCTCCAAAGAGCTCAAGGTGGTATGCACAGTTCTCCCTGTCTCTCCCTCCCCCCGCCATTTTATGCTCACAAACAACCCTGTGCGTTAGGTGAAGCTGCGAGGTGGTGGCTGGCCCAAGGTCATCCAGTGAGCTTCATGGCTGAGTAGGGAATTTGAACCCTGGTCTCTCAGGTCTCAGTCCAGCACTGTAATCTCCACAGTGCACCACACTGGCTCTAGCATAAGTGGCTTGGGGAATATTAAGTGGTTTATCAATGTTTTTAAAAATAAGTAAATGGGTATATTCCATCTGGCAAAATGAGAGAAGTGAATTCTGAATGTGACATAGGGAGCCTGTGGCTCCTTTGGAAATGACCACAATTGTCTCGACTAGTATAGGTTCAGACATAAGGAATTGCAGATGCTAATGTGCTAACGTGTGTATGTAATTCTGGAAGCTATAAAGAAGGAGTGCAAATAAATAACAGCAGCTTGTCATTAGTAATCTTCCTCCTCTTCCTGACTAAAGTGCTGTCTCTGTCCCAAGCTCCTGATCTCTGTTTTGGCTTCTCTTTCAAGTAAGAAAGAGGAAATTATTCCTGCTACTGAACCAAAGAGTTCCTCGTGATGGAAGAAGGAAATCCTGTTGAGAAGCATGAAGAAGGAAAACAAGAATGTGGCTATTTACTCATTTTTCTAGATGCCCACCCCTAACAAGCCCATTTCCTGAAATGCTATTTCTCTTGAGGTAGGTGTCAATACAGATGTATTTGGCTGTGGGATTTCCTCTTGAAACCAGAGACTCTCTATTATTCTCACTCCTGAACCCATGCAATACATTAGTTCACTAAGTTGTGGTCTGCTGCACATTCCTCGTTTTCTGAATTTACTTGTGGTGGCCCACACATTAAGCTTACCCTGCTGCTGATCTTATTTAATCTGTGTATCAACAGAAAGAATTGACATAGTCTCTTTGATCCCCGTTCAGAAAAGAAAGCTTTGCTGTAGACAGGAGGGCATTGTTATTGTGGAGTCTAGAGAAATTTGAGCAGTTTCAGCTGCTGCCTTAGGGAAACCAAATCTAGGAGAGTATAGGGTTTACATGCTTGGAATGCACAGGACTGTTGACAGTGTTTAGATTTTGTTGCTACATTATCTAAAGAGCCAGTTTTGAAGGAAGCAGTATGCTGACTCTCAGGACCGCCCTGTTTGGCGAAGGACCTTATTCAGGCAATAAAAGTTGAGTTGATTTCAATTTGACTCTGGATTAACCACTTCTGGTTCAGAATACTTAATCGGCAGTTTAAAAAATCATCTGGGGAGTTCTGAGAGCATTGGAAAACCAGCAGAGATTTCTCAAGGAGATGATCAAGAATAAAAGATAAGCTTCCCTGATAAACAACCTAACCACCTACACTAATCAGTGTACAAACCCATGGTAGTTTTGGGTATGTTCTAGGTTGCACTTTGTTTACATGTGGCTTCAGTGAGTTGTCAGACAGGACCCACATCTTGAGACTCATCCAGGAGTTAAGATATACAGGGAAGCTGGGCTTAAGGGAGGCAGCAGCAGCAGATGGGTGTGGAGACGGTGGCTGCACTGGTGGGTAGCTGTGGAGGAGGCCAGATCTGATGCCTCATCTCCTTGTCTCATGAGAGGGCAGGACATGTTCATAGGAGAAAGGGAACATAGCCTGACTGCTAAGGCAGATCTTGATGTAAAAAGGACAAAATTAAAAGCAATATGCTCTCAAGTCCATTCCCTTGATTCTGTGCACTCAGCCTGAGATTTTTAGTCCTTCCCCAGAAGAACCTGAGAAGGCAGCTAAACTGCTAACACTTCAGGTTGAAGACAGACTTGGCAACCCTAGAACATGGTGCTAGAGTCCTCTGTAAATGCACAGTGGTGGTTCCTCAGCAGATAAGTCAGTATGAAAAGTTTGAAAGCTGCAGCCATTGGGCTGTCCCTACAATTATGCAATAACTTTAGCCAGTACATGCATTCCCCCCACTTATGTGGTGGGTTATGCTCCGCTCCCTGCACATAGGTGAAATTGCTTGACGTGGGGATCATACTCTAAGCACCCCTTAAACACCCTCTCTGCTGCTATACTACTTAGTCAAAATAATATTACACAAAGTATGAAATATGCAGAAACCACAATGTTTACTCTTGCGGCAAGTCTAGTTCCATCACCTCTGTCATGATGCTCCAGGCTGTTCAGATTCTTTCACTGATTAAAGGAAACAGTTCTGAGGAATTAAATAGTCGCTTTCCTCTAAACTTGCTTTGGTTGGCCAGCTGCATGGAATGTGGTTACTGGTGACATCAGTCGCAGACACTGCAGGTGCAGGTTGGGGTGGGGTGGGACACTAGAAGCTGCCTTTAAAGTGAGTCAGAACACTGTTCCATCTGGCTCAGTATTGCCTCCACTGGCTGGTAGCAGCTCTCCAGAACTTCAGGCAGGGATTTCCCCCAGCCTTACCTGAAGAGGTCAGCAACTGACCCGAGACCTTCTGAATGCCAAGTATGTGCTCTGCAGCCCTTCCCTGAAGGAAGTTGCTAGTTTTGATTCAACCGGTGGCCTCAGGTTGGGGCAGTGCATGCTTGGCATAGCACCTTGCTTCACTCTTAAGAGCGGTAGACTCGTAATCTGGTGAACCGGGTTCGATTCCCCGCTCCTCCACATGCAGCTGCTGGGTGACTTTGGGCTAGTCACACTTCTCTGAAGTCTCTCAGCCCCACTCACCTCACAGAGTGTTTGTTGTGGGGGAGGAAGGGAAAGGAGAATGTTAGCCGCTTTGAGACTCCTTAGGGTAGTGATAAAGTGGGATATCAAATCCAAACTCTTCTTCTTCTTCTACTCTGAGCTTGTGTTCTGGGCTAGGGGCTCATCCTGATGCCACCTTGGGGCCGGTACTGCCTGTTGCAATAACTGACCCCATTTCTTCCTTCTCAGACTAGACATTTACAAACTGCTCGTCACACAGATTGTCACAAACACACAATCCTGCACAACAGCTTATAAACCTATGTGGCTTTTTAAAGCTCTCAGATAAGTCTTTTTCAGTTTGGGAGGGTCACTAATCTATGCTGTTCTGAAAGAGTTGCCTAGGGCGGTGGTTCCCAATTAGCTAAGTAATCCGGACCCCATGCCTTTCAAAAGCCAAGCCATGGACCCCCTACTTTTTAAAATTTTGATTTCTCTATGGTAGTTTTTGTTATGTGAATGGTGCCATGGACCCCCTGGTTTGGTCTGTGGACTTTCAATTGGGAACCACTGGTTTAGGGGAAGCCTTTTACTGGCTTTTCCAAGACCATCTAAATTGGACGCCCTGAGCCAGCAAGCAACCACGCAGAGTGAAAAAGCAACTGAAGGGGGAGGAGCGAATGTAGACAGTACTAGCACGGAGCCTGAATTCTTGGGCACCTGCCAAGGACCACCCCCCAACAGGGGTCCTGCCCCTGCGTTTCCTTCTCCTTGCAGTCACTGCATCTTCACTTGTCCCCTCTACCTAAGCAACGAGTGAGTATTGATAGGAGCAAGAAGGAAGAGCATCTTCTGTCCACCTTGCTCTCTCCCTCTGAGCAGAGGGGTGCACTGAGGACAAGTGACTTGGCAGCAGTGACTGCAGCAAAGAAGTTCCTCTGAACAAACAGAAGTTCAGAGGAATTTCTATTTTCACACAAACTTTATTCGCATAGGCTTCTATTTGTGGGATACACACCACATGGATAAAGGCTCCATGTGGACAGCTTACACATGTGTAGAGCTTCCATAAGTTCTGTACAGAGTTCAGCACAATTTACAGAGGTTGGAGATGGGGCCAGTGTGTGTGTGGGAGAATCCCATCAGTTCCTGTGGTGTTATTGTTCTCCCTGGAGACACTTTCACAAGCATGGTGCCCTGCAGATGGACTACTACTTTCATGAGCCCTGACCTACAGGCCATGCTGCCTGGCATTGATGGGAATCGCAGCCCACGACATCTGGAAGGCACCAGCCTGAAGCAGGCTACCCTAGTGACAACTACACCAGGCTACGAGCGGCTCTCTTTAACCATATATTGAGTGGTGTTCGCTATAGTGTAAGAACAGCGTGGGAAGAGAAACGCAGAATCTAAGAATATGTTCAGTGAACGCTTAAAATGAAAGGGTGCTGAAGGTGCTTCCTGGTTTTGATTTCCAAATTCAGGTTAGCACTGGAACTTTCATGGCACGCAATGTGCCACTTACTTCTCCTTCATCTCCTCTGCTTCTCTCATAAAGAAATGTCCGCTAGTGGAGGCGGGGGGAGCATTGCAACACACTACTGTAAACCTTTAAAAGTTCCATTAATGTTATGGAATCTCCTGGGGAGTGTGTGTGTGCAGCAATATATATTTTAATAGCAAGCAAAGGTCATGTCAATTTATGATTCTAGCTAGTCACAGCATGCAATGAGAAAACTGCAGGGTACACAGGAGAAAATAGCCCATATGAAGCTGCTTCAAGATCTGCACTCTGTTTCTGAGAACCTTCTCATTGTCTCTTCATCATCAGAAATTTAGCTCAAGGGTACAAGAATGAGTTCCGACACCTAAACTATTAAATAACCTTCAAATAGTTGGTTTTGTTCCTGCAAGAATGTGTTAGTTTAATCTTTGACATTCTTACACATACAAATTTATTTGCACACCACAATAATGTCCACATGGTTTTTATTATGCTGTTTTATTTGCAAGTTTGGTTTATTTGTAAGTTTGTGGCATACATGGCCCTTCCCATCTGTTTTACCCTTACAAAAAAACAACCCTGTGAGGTAGCTTAGACTAGGAGGTGGCAACCGGCCCAAAGTCACTCAGTGAGATTCATGGCTGAGCAGAGATTTGAACTTTGATCTCCAAGGTCCTAGCCTGACACTCTAACCACTAAGCCACACGTACAAACAATCTTAAATTTGTTAGTAGCCAGAATCATCATGACATTGCTGGGCTAGGCAAAATTAACTTTAATCTAGTTAACCTAATGGCCCACCACAGACCTTCTTTGTTCTCAGAGCAACCAAACCAGGTGGCCAGCCTGGGAGCATGAATAGGTGAAAATAAAGATCGCTTTGATCTGAATGCCCATGCTTGGTGAAGATTCTTGTATGGTTCAGAAGCTCATGAAGCATTTATAAAGAACCCCTTTCTTTATTCTCTATGGCAAACAACATATAGGTTTTTACATAAAGGGCATACTCAGACATACCATTGGGGTGGGTGCTTAATTTCCCCCCCGTCCCATGTGACCTCATCTGTTAAGACATAAATCTGCTCATATCTGCATAGACATGTGTGGACTTGGTCATGCTGGAGTGTGATGGAATGTTGGGATCTGGCTTTTGGTTATGTAGGTATATGGCTGCAGAAAGCTGGAATGTAAGCAGAGTATATGTTTTCTAAGTTTCCATAACAGAACATGAACTTGCTTCTAGCCAATGAGAACTACTAGACAAGAGCATCCTGGTCAAAAATAATATTGTGTGTCATTTTAATGACTAACTCTGCATTGCTTTCCTGACTTACCTTTCTGTAGTGTTCGCATGGTGATAGATAAATAACAAAATAAAAAATGAAATAACAAGGATATATCAGCACCTGGAAATCCTGTTAATGCAACCCTGTACCACTTAGAATTACAACTAAGTTGAAAATATGTGCCCTTGCCCTTCTGAAATGTATTATTTCCTACACCTAAGAGATGTGCCCAAATGTGCTTTTTATTTCCTGAATCAAGCCATCAACTAAACAATTTGCCTAAATAGTTGACTTGGAATAAACACAGTTGCTTTCTCTTACAATTTCTTGAAACAAAGGCTAGTTAATAAGCATTTTTATTATCAGTTTTACTCCAGCTTACTTCAACCGTGTAGGCCCATGAAACAAAGACACAGTCATAAGAAAGTTACAAATATGTTTCAAAGACAGCTGCAAAGGTTGTCCTTTCATCAAACCAATCAGTGATAGAATCCTCAATCTGCCTTTCCCTACTCATTCTCATTCCATGTATTTTGTATTGCCCTTATTGTTTTCCAGGTGGGGAAAAATGAAGTGCGGGTTATTTTGTTCAGATTTAAAATCCAGTTTGATTCAGTGAAGTTCTCACCAGTCCTGGAGCTCCCTCTTGTGTATGCTTGTTAGTATAAGAAATGCTACAATAATGAAGTCTCCTCCGTAACATTAGCTTATTTCATAAATGCACCTGCTTGATTCTTTTTTTTTAATCACGTGAACTGTCTCTCTAAGAGTGAACTAAAGTGCTGAGCACCAACAGAAATGGGACTGGAATGGGACCACTGAAAACAAAGAGGGAAGTAGCGGCATGTTGCAGGGAGCCTGAGTTCTGCAGAAGTGTGAACATAAGCAGAGCGTGCTGGATGAAGCCAGTGGCCAGCATCCTGTTCTCACAGTGGCCAACCAAACAACAATGATAACAATAATCCGGATGTGCCAATCCACTGCTCTCACTCCCAATGAGACATGAGCATATTTAGTACATAAGAAAAGCCCTGTTGGATCAGACCAAAAGCTCATCCTGTTCCCACAGTGGCCAACCAGTTGCCTATGGGAAGCCCATGAGCAGGACCCAAACACAACCACACACTCTCCCCACTTGTGATTCCCAGTAATTGGCACACTGTCTCCAACAGTGAAGGCAGAACATAGTCATTGTGGCTAGGAGCCTTACCCTTCAGGAATTTCCCTAACCCTTTTCTAAAGCTATCCAAGTTGGGAGCGAATTCTATAGTTTAACTCTGTACTGTGCGAAAAAAACATGTTATTTTGTCCGTCCTGGGTGTTCTAACACTCATCTTCATGGGTGGCCTAAGGAGAGAATGAGGAAAATGACTTTCTGTTCACTTTCTCTCCACCATGAGAAATTTATACCTCTATCATGCCCCCCCCCCCCCCGCTACTCATCATTCTGGCTGTGGTCATCCTCATCCCAATGATTTTTTTAATTTTAAAAATGCTTACTTTAAATATTATTGTTTTATTATTAACATATGTATAGAAATTATATTACAGAGTGCCATCAGACTGGCTCTTTACAGAGGACAAGGGGATGGGCCCCCTGCTCTGAGGCACCCATAATCTATAGTTTGACACAGCCAAGTGATAGAAAGGGAGAAGGAAGGGGAGGGGGGCTGCCTAAAGAGGCAAGCAAAGTGTGGTTGATTCAAAGCAATGGCTTTTAAATACATTTCAAAGGCCTCTTGGAGAGTGGGGAGGTTTTGGGGGCCATTCTAAAAGGACTGGCTGAACAGATCTGGTATAGAACAAGGACCAACAGTGTGAATCTGGATAAAATCTGTAACCTGTACAGATGTACTTTGGTAAGGAAACTCTTAAGAGGAACTCCCATTTTAATGTTATATTTTGCCAATAGGTGGTGCTGGTAAATCACAAAGAGTTATGTGCTCCATTTTATTTATTTCAAAAGGTACTGATCTACCTCAGTAGCATCCAGGTGCTTTGAATTCTGCTGAAATTAATAGTGTTGATGCCTTCTAGCATGTTTCCTTGTTTGCAGGTATACTTTGTAGCAGACTATCACTAATAAAAAGGCTTGTGTGCCTTCTCTTAGGGGATATGTGTATATGAAATTATTAATCCATCAAAATTGGAGTTGTTAATATGCACACTCTTTTACCCAGTCCTGACTGTGTATTTTGTAATTTATTAAAATGTATATACAATTTTTCAGCAATAATGCTCTCAGGGTGGGTTGAGAAGAGCCAATAAAAACAACAACAATTAGAACAATACCTCCAAAAAATAGCAAAATATATAAAAGCAGCAGAAGCAAGAGCATAAAAACACCAGAGCAGAAGAATAAAAGCAATTATATGACATTTTAAAAGGCCTGGGAACATAAAAATGCATTCAGCTGGTACTGAAAGGACATTTATTTCTAAAATGTAAGTCCCACTCTTCAATCTCCCTTACATACTCTCAGATTAGATTTGGCACCTGATGAACAGTCGGTCTGTGAGCGTTTAGAAAAGGATGCTGTGATCCAGCATGGGTTTCTTAAAAACAAGTCATGCCAGATGAATCTCATGTCTTTTTTTTGATAGTTACAAGCTTGGTGGATCAGGGGAATGCTGTGGATGTAGTGTATATTGATTTCAGTAAGGCTTTTGACAAAGTCCCCCATGATATTCTTGTGGAGAAGCTGGTTAAAAAGTGGGAGGGGTGATAATGGCTAGGTGGATTTGTAGCTGGTTGGCTGACCAAACCCAAAGAGTGCTTACTAACGGTTCCTTGTCATCCTGGAAAAAAGTGACAAGTGGGGTGCTCCAGGGTTCTGTCCTGAGCCCATTGTTGTTCATCATCTTTATAAACAACTTGTATGAAGGAATTGAGGGGATGCTCATCAGATTTGCAAATGACACCAGACAGGGAGGGGTAGTCAATGCCACTGAAGGCATAATCAGAATTCAATATGACCTTAACATATTATAGAACTGGGCTCAAACTAACAGAATTAATTTCAATAGGGACAAATGTACGGTTATTCACTTAGGCAGGAAAAACCAGCTGCACAAATATAAGACAGGGGACATGTGGTTTGCCAGTAGTATATGTGAAAAGGATCTTGGGGTCTTAGTAAATCACAAGCTTAAAATGAGTCAACAGTGTGATACAGCAGTAAAAAAGCTAATGCTATTCTAGGTTGCATCAACAGAAGTATAGTGTCTAGATCAATGGAAATCATAGTTGTCCTCTAACCTGCCTTGATCAAACCACATCTGGAGTATAGAGTCCAATTCTGGGCACTACAATTTAAGAAGGATATTGATAAGCTGGAACACATGCTGAGGAGGGAGACCAAGATGATCAAGGGTCTGGAAACCAAACCTGCAACCTTGGTATTATCAGCACCACACTCTAACCAAGTGAGCTACCCAAACTGTCATGTACGATTTGGTTGAAATTCCTGCATGTCAGGAGTTTGGTCTAGATGACCCTCGGAGCTCCTTCCAACTCTATGATTCTGCGATCCTCTTTGAAGAGACAGTGTTTTGCAAATGTGGCATCACAGTCAAGAACACCTTTGCTCTGTTGCCACCAGTCTAACCTCTAAAGCTGAGAGCATCTCCAGAAAGGCTTCCAATGTGAGGCAGTTAATGGTAGCCTGTGAAGTTGCTCCAAGACTAGGAAGAGGTGTTCCGTTGAACTGCTCCCAGATAGTTAGCTTGCTGCTGTATTTTGGATTAACTGAAGCTTTGGAGTAGTCTTCAAAGACAGGCCTACACATAACACACAGCAGTAGCCTAAGCTGGAGGCTACCCAAACATGGATGCCTAGACATCTCTTCCCAGGAAAGCATCACCATGAGGGCATCAGTCTAAGTTCAAACTGTGCTCTAATTCAAAATTTTGGGAAAAGGCTAATGAGCGTTGACCATTTTGGCTGGGGCTGTTGAGAGGTGTGGTCCAATCACATCTGGTTGGCTACTCCTGTTTTATATGAATAATCATGAATGTATAAAGTCTTGGTCAGCAACTAGTTTTCCTGAGAAGAAATTTTGGGCAATGTAGGGTGATGGGCCAGCACCCTTGCTTTAATCCCATAAATGGGTGTGCTCTTAGGCTCCCATTTGAATGGCATTTGTTTGAAAAAAAAGATCTGCTGAACAGATTATGAAATAGTTCAAGCAGGGCTTGAGTTCTGTGTCACAAGATTTGAAGAATCCAGAGGTGTTCTTTGGTGGTGGGGATGCTTCATTTATGAGTTAAAATGTTTCATCTTCTGATATCCGGTACTGTAGCAAAGCAATCCTTTATTGCTCTTCCACAGTGTGTGTTTTTCACTCTTCTGCTACCTGTGTGTGCAGAAGAAAGGCAGAAGGAAGACAGATAAGGTACTTCTAGCTTTTATGCAAACCCTCTGTA